GCGTGCATGCGTCACGTCGCTACTCTTTTGCAACCACGAACCCACGTTCCCAGGACTGCCTCCGCAACAGCGTGTCCACGATCCCACGTTCCCACGACTGCCTCTCTCCTGATAGATAAGGAGGCTGCGAGTCCGATCAGAACGATCCGCTTGCTTCTTTCCCGGGTGTTAGTTCCTCCTCCTCCGCGCCTGTGCTGTTCTCGCCTCCTCGCTTCTGATCGCTTGCATGCACGAGAGATTGGAAGGAGCAGGGCCTCCGGAACCACACCTTCGCCTGAGATCTGCACCGAGTAGGCGGGTGATCAGGTTTTTAGGGAGTGCTTCCCACACGACTGCTCGTCCTCGCCCACCATGTCTGCGCCTAGAGCCGGCGCTGCTGCTGCTGCTGGAGGAGATGGCGCGCCTGGAGCTGGAGCCGCCGGAGGTGGTGCGCCAGGAGCTGGAGTCAGTGCCGCGAACAACAACATCAACGGAGGCAATTCTGCCTCACAATCTAGCGGAGGGCCATTCTCGGGGTATATCTTTCTCCTGTTTCTGTTGTTAGCGCTTTACTGCTATGTTCCTGTTCCTGTTATTCATGATGCCTTTAGCATGCTACTGCGTTACTGCTATGTTCTTGTTCCTGATATTCATGATGCCTTTAGCATGCTACTGCGTTACTACTATGTTCTTGTTCCTGATATTCATGATGTCTTTAGTATGCTACTGCGTTACTGCTATGTTCTTGTTCCTGATATTCATGATGCGCATGATGCATTTAGTATGCTACTGGTTATGTTACATGTTGTCACTAGATCACCCTACACTGTTTATGCCATGATTATTGTCTTAACATTTTGGATTAAAATATGCCGATTTATGACCATATTTTCAACAGTTTATGTGTGTAGGAAAGTTTTGATGTGATGGAAAAGTTGGAAGGTTGAAGAAAAAATTTGCAACTAAACACGGCCTAAAGGGAGGAGTTAATACTGGATATTCAGTGAACATGAGAGAGATAATAGTTAGTGACAGATATCAGTTGTAATTGCTAAAGCGATAATTCATGAAACCAGGGTTTATAAAGGAAAAATATCGGTAATTTTGTGTGTAGATCAAAACTTGTGTGCTTCCGATCATAAATATTGAGCCACCAGTTGCAGATGACATCAATTGGAGAGAGATGCTAAAGGACAAGATCAAACAAATTGTTTCTTGAATGAAGTTTGATACCGCAAATTAAAAATTTGTGCTTCCTCGAACTTCTAATGCTGTGTTCGGGAACCCTCACTTCCTAGCACGTAAAACGAAGCAGCGTCAAAGATAAGATGAGCAGATATTCAAAGACGGGAGGGAAAGAAAACAAAACAAGTTGATCAAAACGGCAGACAAAGCGAGAGAGCTCAAAGGATGACGACTTGACGAGCCGGCCGGGTACAGAAAAGTTACCGGCTCCGGGTTGCTTGCTCGCCGTCGACGCCAGCGTCCGCGAGGACCGCGAACTGGCGGACGCGGCGCGCAAGGCGCTTGGCGTGGCGCTCGCGCTCGGGGGCGCCGCCGCGCACGTCATGCTCGGCGTTTACGGCGCGCTCAATAGTGTGCTCATCGTCGCCCAGTCGGGGCCAGCGTCGCCGTCATCTTCCTGTGTTGGATAGTATAGAGAGAGAGGATACTGCAAATATTAGACACATTGTATTGAGCCTCAGGAGACTGGTATATATAGGAGTACATGGAGAGGAGATAAAGAAGGATTACAGTTATGGAAAGAGTCTACACAAATCAATCCTATCTTAATATGACTCTAACTACCATATACTCTAACATCCTGGACGACCTCCTCGACAAGGGCTACGGCCTGCACGGGGCGTCCGCCATCTCCCTGCTCGCCGCCACCAACACCTGCGAGAAGGTGGTGTGGCAGGTGTTCAGCCCCCTGACCGTCGACACCGGGCGGGCGGGCCCGGAGTTCGAGGGGATCGCCGCCATCCACCACGCCGTCCTCCGACCGGCCATGTTCGCCGCCACCTCCCGAACGTGATGGGCCTGCTGGCCACCTGCGTCGTCCTCCTCGCCACCGTCTTCCTCGAGGGCTTCCGCGTGATGCTGCCGCTGCGGTCCAGGGACGCGCGGGGACGGCAGCTCGCCCTCCCGATCAAGCTGCTCTACACCTCCACCATGCCAGTTGTGCTGCACTCCGCCGCCGTCTCCAGCCTCTACACGGTGTCGCAGCTTCTCCACTACAGCCGGTTCGCCGGCAGCCTGCTCGGCACCTGGAAGAAGACCGGTTACGCCGCCATCCCCGTCCCGGTCGGCGGCGTCGCCTACTACGTCACGCCGCCGGCGGGGCTATCCCACGCCGCCGCCTACGCCGCGTCGCTCCTCGCGTCCTGCACGCTCTTCTCCGGGGCTTGGGTGGAGGTGTCCAGGTCGTCGGCTCAGGACGTCGCGAGGCAGCTCTCGGTGCAGCGCCTCGCCTTGCACGGGGCGCGCGAGCGCGACGCTGCTCTCCGCTCGCACCTCAGCCGCTACATCTCGACAGCCGCCGCGCTCGGCGGCCTCTGCGTCGGAGCTCTCACCATCCTCGCCGACATGACCGGCGCCATTGGCTCCGGCACTGGAATCCTCCTCGCCGCCACCGTCGTCTACAATCTCATCGACGCCTTTCAGAAAGAGGAGTAGCCGAGTAGGGTTCGTTTTAGTCATTACTCCATGTTTCATAATGTAAGTTATTTTAGCATTTCCCATATTCATATTTATATTAATGAATCTAGACATATATATCTATTTAGATTCATTAACATCAATATACATATGTGAAATGTTAGAATGACTTACATTGTGAAACGGAGGAAGTACTGGAGTATACTATACTGCATTACAACTTTACAAGTCAGTCTTTTGCAGGAGTATAATCATTACTTCTTCCTCTTCTTGGGGAGGTTTTCGATTATGATCAATGATCCATGCTCCATTTTATTTAGCAATTAATTCTTCGAAACAAAAAGTTATAGTACATATTAGCAATAGGTTGTCTTGATATTCACAAATTACTCCTCTACGTGCTGATAAAATTAAGCTAGTACAGAAATTATAAGGTTTGGGTTTGAATTATCGATATGAAAAAATATTGGGGGCACCGATAAACATGATTATCGGAAATCTCGGAATTTTATTGAAGATAAAAAAATTTTGGACAAACTTTGTTAGATTTTGCCTCAATTTGTGCATGAAATCAAGTAGATTGTATCTAGAGCATTTGGTATAAAAAAAAGTAACATATATAATCCGCAAATGACCAGGATAGGTGCAAAGAATCATATAGACAGTCAAAGATCATAGTGTCACGCATGCAAATTCAAAAAAGGCTGAAATATTCGACCGATACTGTTTTTTTTTCGGTACCCACCGATAAACTCGATTTTTGAAAAATTCGGTCCATGTTTCGTCAATAATGTGAACCCTTCCCACCTTTACTGTATCCTATTATAAGTCGTTTTGACTTTTTTTTTAAGTTAAACTTCTTTAGCTTTGGCAAGTTTTTAAAAAGTTAGCAATTATCTATAACATCAAATTAGTTTCGTAATATTAAATAAATTTTGGTAATATGTTTTTTTGAAAATATTATTGTGTTTTTCTATAAATATCGTAATTTTTTTAAAAAAAAAAGAATCAAAGCGATTAATTATAATATAAATCAGAGGAAGCAGTAAGGAGCAATTTCTGCAAAGCTTAACCAGCCAGAGCTAAAAACAAGTTTGGGCGCTGAATTCTTCCACGCCAAATCAGGAATTGGAGAAATCAATCCTATGGTTTTTTTTCTGATCCCACATGTCAAGTATTGTTTTCCTCAAAGAAAAAAATGGAAAAGAAAAACAACACCAAACCATCCACCCATTTTTTTTAAGCAAAGGGCAAAGGCCCTCCATTTTCACTAATAGAATTGAGATAGTAGCATGTAAGCATCAATGGACATGTTCATTCTAGAATAGCGCAACCATTCTAGGCTGTGTTTAGTTTGTGTGCCAAAATTTTTTTAAGTATACGGACACACATTTGAAGTTATTAAACGTAGACTAATAACAAAACAAATTGCAGGTTCCGTCTGTAAACTACGAGATGAATTTATTAAACCTAATTAATCCGTCATTAGCAAATATTTACTGTAGCATCATATTACATTGTCAAATCATGGCGTAATTGGGCTTAAAAGATTCGTCTCGCAATTTACATGCAAACTGTGTAATTGGTTTTTTTCCTCCACATTTAATGCTCCATGCATTTATCCAAACATTTGATGTAACAGAAAAGTTGAAAGTTTGACGAAAAAATTTTGAACCTAAACACGGCCTAGGACTACTACTGCCTCGAGATCTGTGCCCGCCACTTGACCGAAGACCAAGTTGCGCTTACGTTTGGTGTTTGTGTTTTACGAGATGCATTTGACAGTATAGTGGCAAGGGATGTGTGGTTTCAACCCTAAAATCTCGTGTTCAGCTCCTAACACGTACATAATTTCTTTTAAAAGAAATATCTGGAGGGACGTTTTCTTGTTTGTGTTTTGCTGACGGTTGGGCCCTATAAAACGGGCCCACTTAGGGCCCGCCCAGTTACAGCCTGCTGCCTAACGCAAAGCAAAGCCATTTAGGGCCCGCCCAGTCGGGTCTGGGCCTGCTATTGCTCTCGCAACGCAAAGCAATTCATCTAAATCCGTCCATTGCCGAACGGACGGTACAGATCTCTTTGGCTGACGCGCCCGGATCACACGAGGAAGCGTGTCGATGTGATGTGATGTCACTCGTCCAATGGGAGACGCCCAAACACCGAATCAGCGGGCCCCACGCCGTGGCACTTATGCAAAAACACCCTTATACTCTGTGAACCCTTACATAATGTTCACGCCGTGGTACTAATAGAGGTCCTAAATCCAAATATCTCATTATGTAAGGGTTTAATTGTAATTAGGGATCACTCCAGAAGGCCAGAAACCTATATATGCAGATGCCACCCTGGAGTCTCGAAAATTTGAATTTCGAAGACCTTCTCCCTCTCCACCTCGCTCCTCTCTCCTCTCGTGGCCATGGCGATGGCAGCAAGGGCGCGCTGCTCGAGGCAACCCAACTCCCATCGCCTCCTCGCCGTGGTTGTCCTCGCCGCTATTCTGCTCCTTCCGGTGGCCTCCGCGGCGGCGGCGGTGGTGGCGGCGGTGGCGGAGGGGGACGGGGTGGAGAACCGGTCGGCGGCGAGGCAGTGGGCGACGGGGAAGGACGAGGGGGAGCTGGTCTCCGGGGAGGAGTCGAGGGGAGGTGGGTCGGTGGTGGAGGACGAGTTCGCGGGTGGGTTCGGCTCCCTCGACAGCATGCTGCAGTGGGCGATCGGTACGTGCAGCCCGAATCCCAAATTCTGCGATTAAATCTTTAGATTCGCTTTGGGATTTTGAGATTTTGAAGTGCGAAAGCAGCGGATTTCAGTGGCGCTGGCGAATTTTCAGCCCAGTAATATGATTGCAACTAGCTGTGTACAAATTGGTTTGATTCGGGTTAATTGGAAGTAGAGTGAATGAGTGGTAGTTACTGGAGTAGTATTCTGCACATTGATAATTTATTATAGTTTTGTTTGTGTGATGCTCACTTTGACCACCTGTAGTCTTAATCTTAAGCTGTTGGAACTAGTAGGCTGTTATTGTTACTGAAGTATGAAGTTTGGTTAATTTTGGAGACATGACTGCATTTTGCTGAGTTCTACCTTGTTGGTGCAGGAAATTCTGATCCGGATAAGTTGAAAGAACAGGCAGAGGGTGTGCAGAAATTGTCTGCAGATGAGCTGCTCAAGCGGCGAATGGAGATCAAGGTGAAAAATACTGCTTCAGGATCCATCCTCTGATTTTGTGTTGCCGTTGGTTTGTCAATGCATTATCTTATGACGCTTTCTGCTCTTTGTAACTTATTATAATACTGGCCATACCCCTAGCTTATAGCAGCAGATTGGAACATGCTTCTGTTCTTGCTGTGGTTTGGATTACCAACACATATTGTTCTGATGCCAACTGAGCAAACTTTATTTCTTGAGCATTTTTCCCATCCTTGAGGAGGTACTATGAGGTACCATGAGGTACGAGGTATCATGAAGTACCAATCTAATCTAACCGTTGATTTAGCAGGGGTATGATCGGACTAAAAAAACATGTGTACTCTCTTCATCGTCCGTGCCCATCCAGCCCACCGTCGTCGTCGTCATCGTCGCCGTCGTGCATCCAGCCGGCCGCCGCCGTTGCCCATCCAGCCCGCCGTCGTCGTCGCCAATTGAGGCCGCCGCCGCCGTCGTGCATCCAGCCGGCCACTTGCCGCCGCCGTCGCCCATCCAGCCCGCCGTCGTCGCCGCCGTCCCCCATCCAGCCGGCCGTCGTCGTCGCCAATCGAGGCTTCCGCCGCCGTCGCCCATCCAGCCCGCCGTCGTCGTCGCCGTCGTCGTCGTCCCCCATCCAGCCCGCCGTCGTCGTCGTCGCCAATCGAGGCTGCCGCCGCCGTCGTGCATCCAGCCGGCCGCTGGCGTCGCGCATCCAGCCACCGCTGTCCCGCATCCAGCCGCTCGCCGCCGCCGTGCATCCAGCCGCCCCCGCCGCCGCGCGTCCGTCCGCCCGCCGCCGTCCCCCTCGAGCCCGCCGCGTCCAGCCCCCTCCAGCCGCCGCGCGTCCCGCCGCCGCCGCGCGTCCGTCCGCTCGCTGTCGCCCCCCTCGAGCTCGCCGCGTCCAGCCCCCTCCAGCCGCCATGCGTCCCGCCGCTGCCGTGCGTCCGTCCGCTCGCCGTCGTCCCCCTCGAGCCCGCCGCGTCCAGCCCCCTCCAGCCGCCACGCGTCCCGCCGCCACCGCCGCCGTCCAGCCCGCCGCCGCCGTCACGCGTCCAGGCGCCCGCCGCCGTCCCCCTCGAGCCAGCCGCCACGCCGCTGCTGTGCTCTCCCGACGTTTTTTCTCTCTCATGAAACAGTAAAGGACATAAATACCCTCCCACCCATAATACCACTTCAATGAGGAGGTGCAGTACCATGAGGTACGGATGATTTCTAACCGTTGGATGATGCCAGATCAATGGTCAGGATTTGGTACTGCACAACCTCAAGGACAGTAAAAAACCTCTTATTTCTTACATTATTATGCCATCAATGCTGTCATAAGAGTGATATTCATGGAGGTATCCCAAATCAATAACATGCTCTCAGTTAGATTTTGTAAATTTTTATTTTATCCGTGCCTTACGTTGCACTGTTATTGATCAAATAAAAATAGAACAATTTATCACACTCATGTAACCGGATGATATGGGCTCCTAATTGCTGGTGATCCTTCTCTGCATAGATGAAAGACAAAGCGTAAGAATGTTTTCATGACATGGCCGTGTTGAACCCATTGAATTTTTCTTGCAGGAGTTGATGGAGAAATTAAAGATGCCGTCAGATGCTGACTTAATGAAGATTGCAATTGCTGACTTAAATAATTCTTCCATTTCACTGGAGGATCGGCAGCGTGCACTGCAGGAACTATTAATTCTCGTTGAGCCCATTGACAATGCTAATGGTAAACATGCTCTAGTCCATCTGAATACTATCCACTCAGACTCAGTGCTCTGCACATCAAGAAAAATATATTCTTATAACTTTATAAGTACCTCAGATTGAAAAATCTAACTTTTGGCCTTGTAGATGTAGGTGTCAGTAATATTATAGTTTTTCTTGTCATAGCGATTGTTTTAGACTAAGGCCGAGTTTAGTTTCAAACTTTTTTTTTCAAACTTCCAACTTTTCCATCATATCAAAACTTTCCTACACACACAAACTTCCAACTTTTCCATCACATCGTTCCAATTTCAACCAAACTTCCAATTTTCGCGTTAACTAAACACACCCTAATAGTGATTTACCGAGGTACTCCAAGCCCAAGCGTCACATATGTGTGACTGAATGACTGTGTATAGTTACTAGTTTTCACCAAAAAAAAAATCCATGCTTTTTTAATACAATGCTCAAATCCAATCTTGAAGTTGCTTGCTTGTATTTCTGATAAGCCAGCAGCATTTTCTTTTTTTTTTAACAATGCAACTTCAACTTGCGAATATATTTTTCAAAGTAATAAATGGCATGCCAACATATGGTTCTTAAATTTGATGATAAAAGGCACTGGTAGCCTGTTAATGAATGAACATGATTCAACTTATGAAAAAAATTCAAAATAAAAAGGAAGTGCATGCCAACATGCAAAACTCTGTTCCATTTGATGAAGCAAGGGCTTATATTTGTGCATGCAGTTCTTAGAATAGTGATGTTCTAAAATATATGTTTCTTGTGTTTATTATCAGATCTTGACAAACTAGGAGGCCTCGTTGCTGTGATTCAAGATCTTAATAATGCAAATGAAGAAATAAGGACCACTTCTGCATGGGTCCTGGGTAAAGCCAGTCAGAATAATGCCCTTGTCCAAAATCAGGTATCTTCTTGTTTGTTCGTCGAATCTGCATCATTGTTGTTTATAAACTTTATGCAGTGTCCTTAGTGGATATACCTTTTAATAGTCACTTCTCTTGTGTGGTTAAGCTCAGGGAGTAGTGATTCCTCTTTGTTGAAACTTGAACACACTTTTGATCATTGTTATCAAACTCGATGTTTCATCCTTGGCCAGATCCTAGGTTATGGAGCTTTGGCAAGATTAGTGAAGATGGGCTATGCAACTTCTGCAGAAGAAGCTACAAAGGCGCTGTATGCTATATCCGCTTTGGTTAGAGACAATATAAATGGTCAGGAGGCATTTCATTCAGAAAATGGAAGTGCAATGTTGCAGGTAGTTAAAACCTGGTCTTGATAATATTAGCATTTTTGTTTTAGTTGTGACATTTCCCTTTTTGCAGCACATATTGGCGAGTAATAGTGTTGACGTTCGGCTTCAGAAGAAGGCAGTGTTTCTAGTGACAGATCTAGCAGATTTTCAGCTAAATTCTGGAAATTCAGGACTTCCTTTCTTAAGTGACCGTATTTTTCTTAAGTCATTGGTTGATATGCTGTCAAGATTTGACCTCGACCTTCAAGAAAAGGTATTATCTGTGGTTCTGTACTGCTTCCAGTTCTGTACTTCCTTGTGGTTAGCACTGCTTAGCAGCAAAATTCTTCACTCGTCATCAGAGTTGTTGCTGCTTATGTGCAATAATTTGCTGATTTCTTGGTTTATTTGATATGCCCGTACTGGAATGTGTGCTGTTCCTCATATAAGGACTTCTGTCATATGTCAAGAGATGCATATGAGCAACACAACTTTCTGTCTGGAATCTGTTCTTTCAGTTTCCATGAGTTACTTATTTGCTTGGATTTTACCAGCCATTTCCTTCATAGCTTTTACTATTATATACTCAATCTGATGTTCTGCACAAAAAGGTCTAGAAATGTTTGCTTGTGTCCAAGGATGGGAGTAATGTTTACTCCAATTGACAAAAAATTACAATGGGCTGTAAAGTTTGCCTGTTACAACATAACGATTGATCTTGCTCTGTTTTTGCGTGTCATGTAGGTTTTGTTGGCTATCAAGAGCCTACTGAAGCTTTCATCCACTGAAGCCACAGATTTCGAGTCCTGTGACCTCAGCAGTGTACTGTACAGATTGGGCGTGCAGTTGGAGGAGTTGCCATCAGAAGAGCAAAAAGAGTATGCTGGGGAGGTGGATGACCTCCGGAGAGAAGTCCAAATTCTGTTCCAAGACAAGCTCAAAGAGGTAAACAAATCACCTCGCGCAGTTGCTACTGTAATTGAGGTGGTGCGATTACCTGAGCTAACGTAGCTTCTCTTCTGTTATAACCTGCAGGGCACAAAGACTGCATTGTGATGATATTAGGACGAATTAACGACGGATGTAGTATGCAATGGAGGCATTAAATTTTTCAGGAGTATAGTTGATGTTTGGGGCCATTCTTGCAGTGATCAGAATCCTCAGAGGATCAAATGGAGTCATGGAATATTTATCTGTGGATCTTCGGCCAGGTGGTGACATAGTGTCTGTAGGATTTGATGTAATCGTAGGTTAGGATTATTAACTGTATGGCTTCTTTTCCTGAAGCTACCTATGGTTAATTCATCATTCCCTGCACTATATTTTAACCACTGCAATGAAGCAAATTTTCCCCTTAAGTCACCTGTGTGGCTGTGTCTTCCTCTTGAGAATGTATCCACGTGTACTGGAAGTTGATGTCGATCATCTGTTTTCTGGCTTGAGAATCCTTCCTCGTTTTGCACTCTGCTCGAGTTAACTGTTCAGCTCTTTCCAGATCATAGAGCTGACAGACAGATTAAATTTAAACCTGCTATACTCTTGCTTACTCCACTTGTTTTGATTGCTCATGGAACATTTTTTGGCATAAGCACACGCATAGGGACAAATATAACGCATGCTTGTCGCATTTATTTGTTTTAACAGCGACGAAATTTCAGACCATTTTTCATAGGGTAATTTGGAACCATGCTATTATAATTTTACAAATTTTGAGATATACCATCGATATCTCAATAATACGTAGAATCCACATGAGTCAATAACATGTGGGTCATGATTGCATATCTTAAATTTTACAAAATTATAATGGTATGGTTTCAATTTTTCCTTTTTCATATTGGGAACCTGAGCACGTGAACGTCTACTTTTCGCCCTTGAAATGAAGCCACGAAGTTGGAAGAGCGAACGTTGAACGCCTACGTATTTGCACGTGAAATGGTCACAGTTTTCGTCATGATTATCCATTGCATTCGCACTAGCCAAGAAGCAAACTTGGCGTCCTGGAATTTTGCAGCTTGGCCGTTATGATCGGAGAGCGGCGCTCACCGTCACCGTGCCACCGCCGAGGACGGATTGAGATCCTATACATTCGAAGTTATCGTGTCTTCAGTCTTCACCACTAATGAAACTAATCCATCCACCAACTATCTCTTACAAAGTAAACGTATATCAATGATACTCTCTCTCACAAAGTAAACGAATATCAACTGGTTTATTTTTTTTCGTGAAACTAGTTTACTCGAGTTTAAATTCTAAACTTAACACGGTGTTCAAATTTATGGTTAATTATACTTTTAGTGATAGGCAACATATCACTTGTCCCATCGACAGCAAGACGTCCGTGATTACTTGGTCAATCTCAAAATATTTAAGTGTTTATAAGGATAATGACTTCGCTAATCTCAAGATATACCAAGTGCTCATAAGGGTGGTGGTTTCATCAATCTCAACATATAAAACTCAGTCTTTCGAAAGTGCTCACAGAGGATAGTGTACACATTCATAGGGGTGAGTTTACATGCGTTGTGAGTATCTAGGTTTTGTCATGTGTTTCTAACAAAGAAAACCGGATAACTTTAATTTCAAAAAATAGTTTTAAAATTTTAAATCATTAATATAAAAATGTTAAGCCCTGGTTACCAAGGTAACCGTCCCGCTATCCTCCGTTCCGTTCCACCCATGTGCCGCATGTGCACTGCAGCCTCTCGCTTTCGTCGGCTCCATCTCACAGGGTTCATATCCTCTATCATGATGACAACACCATTACATGTGGGTTCCACCTTTATATTATTCCATACATCAATTACTATAATGATACAATAAGCACATTGTAATATTGTAATGTAGGGACATTAGAGCAAGTTTAATAGTATAGCCAACTATCATCTCCAAATCATTTATAGCCAATTTAATAGACAATTCATATAATAGCTGCTTAATATACTATTAATACATGGTCTCACCTGTTAGGCCATTCCCAACCCAACACACTAGACATAGTTTTCATAAACTCCACATCATCAAGAAACTAGTACTAGACACTACTCTTCCAATGCAAACACCACTATTCTACTTAAATTTAATGCTACTTATCTCACATGATGTTTTGGATGTTGTGTAGAAACCATGTCTCATGCAATACATGGTTTCCTTCTCTTTCCTCATTTATTTACTTGTCACATCACTTTTTATCCTAGATGGCAACTTATTTAATGCTATGGACATCATCCTACTTATTGGGTTAGGAATGACCTTATACATATATTACGTTTTATAGTCCGTGTTACAGCTAACTATGGATAGACTGCTGATTATCTCTTTCATCTTTTTTATCTTTTTTAAATATATGTTTATAGCTGGCTATTATAGCTGGGATGCTCGAGGGGTAGATGGTTGGCTACCTCGTCCCCTCCCCCGCACGCTGCACGCATCCCCTCTCCTCTCCCCCTCGCCATCCTCAAATCCCGCTCCTCTCCTCCTCCTCCTCCTCTTCCTCCACCCGCTCCCCACCCACCACCACCACCTCTCACCTCGTCACCGATCACCGAGCGCATTTCGCATGGAGGCGCTCCGGCTGTCGGGCCCGGCGGCGCCGCCCTTCGTCCCCGCGGCGAGGGTGGCGGCCGCGTGGGGCGCGCGTAGGCGGGGGGCGTCGAGGTCGTCGTCGTCCGTGGTGGCGAAGATGGAGGGGGGCGGAGGCGGGAAGGGGGTGCCGACCACCAACTACGTGGTGCCGCTCGACAAGGCCACCGGGATGACGCGCCCGCTCGTCGAGATCCTCCGGGACCTCAACAAGCGCGTCCCCGACAAGATCATCGACCCCGACACCAACACCGTCCCCTGGTCAGTGCTGCTCCCCATCCCCCCTTCGATCTCTTCTCCTGCCCGTTCCGCTCTTGCGCTGCAGAATGATCCGGCTGATGTTGCAATAGGATTTAGGCACAGCGAAGTTATCGAATTGATAGGGTGAATGAATGCGCGACATGAATCATTTTGGGGATTTTGCTGGAGCAATTGTCGCAATTCAGGAATTTGGGAGTAAAGGTGGTGCCATTTTTTCACGTATCGCATTGGATGGAAGATTTAGCTTTGCTTTCAATAGCTAATGAATTTTCCACCGGCGCGAACAATTCGATCGGTTTTGCCTTGTGTTAATTACAAAATGTTCTACCTCTACCATCCAAGGGCCAAACAGGGGGCACGTTTCATCAACTATTGATGAGTATGGGTCCACTGGATATTAGGATGATTGTGAGATTCACCTGTTCTGCAGTTTGCACCTACCAGAATGGCTGACTTTGTCTGTTACAAATAAAAATGGGCTTTAAGGTAGTAGGCTATGCGATTAATTGGCTAGGCTTTATGATTCTTTCTGAAACAACTAGGCTTTATCATTTTTTTCGAAACAACTAGGCTTTAATATTCAGATAGTTGGTGTTCTACAGCCAGCAGTTTATGCTCTTGCTGGCTCGTTTATAGGTTTGGAACATCCATTTGATGGGAGAGTTGCTTGAGTAACGTGGTGTTATCCTGTTTCGATCTTTGTTTAGAATATATTATGAAAAGTCAATGGTCAAATGTTTGGTGTGTGGATTTGTTTAGTTACTCATTTAATACAAGGTCAAATGGAGACGGTTCTTCTAGTCTACAAAGAGGAAATGGTCTGTTACTTTGGAATATGGGAATTATTAGAACTTCTTAGTATCATGCCGTCTTTTTTTAAACGATGCACTTATGTCGGTTCAATGAAGCTAAGGCATTTGTTTCGTTGGTATAAAAATGCCATATCTTTGTGGGATAGAACTTTATGCTTTATGCATAAATAGTTAGTATTTCCTCCGTTTCACAATGTAAGTCATTTTAACATTTCCTACATTCATATTGATGTTAATGAATCTAGATAGATATATATGTCTAGATTCATTAACATCAATATGAATATGAAAAATGCTAGAATGACTTACATTGTGAAACGGAGGGAGTAGTTACCTTCGAGCTATTTTTTTTTTTTTAAAAAAAAGCGGAAACTAGAGTGTCACTAAAGGATGAATTACTTGTGAGACCTACCCTGGTGTTGGGAGAGAGTGGTGCCCCTAGGCTCTAGCTGTCTGCAGATCTCCTTAAAACTATGTGTAAAGGAATTATGGAATAACTAATACTTCTTCTGTTCTTTTGATAAGAAATGTTGTTGCTACATATGCTGGATTAAACTAGCAATGGAACAGTATAAATTCAAAGATATTTTCGTCACTAACACACAAGAATAATCGATGATGCTAAATTGTACTGACATAACTAAGACTTCTGCAATGACTACTTTCCTATTTTTCAGGTTTGACATGAAAGCGTTTGCGTGTTTCATTGCTTCCTTTTGTGTAATGTAATCATTGTTAATATTTGACTCTGCAGGTACCATGCCAATAGAATGCTGAGCTTTTATGCACCAGGTGAAGTCTCTTTAAGATTACAAACTACTTTGTGCTTTCTTTCCTTTGATTAGAACATTCTTTTCTGCTGGTTGCTGGTTGGTTGTACTATAGTTTGGCGCTCCCAGATATTTCTGTATGACACTTTAGTTCCAAAGTGGATGTGTTTTTGTTAGTTCACAGCCTTCACAAATCTCACACTAAGCAATGTCATGTAAATCGACCAGTTCCTGCAGACCTGCTACAAACGAACCTTGAAAGATGGCTGGTTACAGTTTGATGGTATGGTACTTGGTAACAGCTGTATGTTTTATCTGATAAAACATTATAAGGTGTATTTTGTTGGATAGAGCTATTATGATTGTAGCCCTGCATAAAGATTCGTTAGATAGCTAAACAGAAGCTAGGAACTACCACATTAGGTATTTAGGTGGTACATAAATTGGAACATCCACTGCAGAATGCACTGGAGATGCAAAGAAATGTGACGAAACTATTCTTTTTTCAGGTTGGTGTGGAGAAGTTCGCAATGTTATTTATTCTGACAATGGAACTGTAACCGTGGTTTATCGAGTGATTCTGAGAGGAACAGACGGAGAGGTATTTCATCTTTTTACACTGCAGTATTCTACATACTATGACATAGTTGATCATAACACAACATACATGAAAAGAACAACCTACTCGTACTATCTTGTTTTTGTAGCTGCCCTTATGTCAGGTCAGCATAACCCCTGTATGTGTGTGAGTGTAGGCATACAGAGAGGCTACTGGCACGGCACCAGTGCACGAGGGCCGTAACGACGATGCTGTTGCGGCTGCGGAGGAAGCAGCGTTCTGCAAAGCCTGCGCACGGTTTGGTTTCGGCCTCTACCTATACCACCAGGACGAGATCCCATAGAGATGAGGATGGCTTTGAGGCTCATTTCTGCAGAGGATCTGGTGGTCACAAAGTTTGTAGGAAAACCGCGATGAATTTTCGCACCTTGCTGGTAGCACAAGGCGAGCTTTTGCTGATGCATATTTACACAAGAAAAGCTTTAATTTGTTGCTGCCTCAGTTGTTAAATGTATTGAGTCCATGTCGTCCAGCATAGTTTGTCAGATAGGAAAAGAAACATTAAAATCGTGCCGTTGCATAGTTGCTGTGTTTATACCCGTTTTTTGTATTTGAGTCCACGGATGGATATTTTTGTTGTCATGATAATGAAGTTGCTTCGACAATTGACTACGACTCGCTGTTTCTTGTATCTCTTCGCACAAACTTGATCCTCGAATTTTGGTGACACAAAAGCTTTATTAATTGTTTTTCCGTATGGCTGATTAAACGATTATCAAGCTCTGTGACTAAATCATTTGCTATTTGGGTTAGAATCTTATCAAAATTTGGTAGAGATTTGAGAGTGGAAAGCTCCAGAAGTTGTGTTGGTAATGGTGTTTTACCCTATCAAACTTTAATTGTGCTACTAAAATTTAGTAAAATTAAAAATTGACCATAAACACGCCCAGAATAGCAGTAAAGAGGCTTTGTTCGAATCAATACATGGCTCAATTGATTATTAACTATATTTAACACGAAAATAAACTAATTTAAATTATATAATTTTATTTCAAAACACGTCATCAAGTAGTTTGAGAAAATGCTCGCGAGGGAATAGACTAGCCTGATAAGAGCAAGGTCAATAATATAGCCAGCAGCTAGCTTCACTTACCTTTATATTTTATAGCTAATACTAAAGCCAACTAGTACAATAGATTAGCTCTTATATATAGACTGCACCTCAGTGATCAAATAATTAATTATGTGTGCCAAGATAAATGTGTATGATCAAAACTAAACTATATCTGTGTAGCCATCTGTATGATGTGAACTTGTGATATCAACAAGAATTCGTAAAAAAATGATTAGTCTTTAGATAATTACTGCTAGTGAAGTGTTGATGGAAAGATCCAAATCTTATCACAATTGCATCGCTCCTAAAAAAATCATCTACTTTGTGTAAATAAACAACAGGTATATATCGAGAGAAGATGTAAAAAGAAACAGAAAAAAAGATCCCCAAATCCACTGACACAACAGAACTCAGAACCACTTCTTCTAGCTGCTTGTTTGCTCAATCAACAGAACAGCCACAAGGCGGCATGAGATATGGCATGGCAACAACGGCTTCTTCTTCTTCATAAGGACAACATCGATCTAGCGCGCAGCAACCATCGATCTGATGGTTCAGCATGAGAGGAACATGATATATGAGGTGCGTGGGCTTTGATTTGGCAACAGTGGCGGAGCTTCGCGGCGTACGTGGTTTCCAACGGCGGTGGAAATTGACTCCGAATCTCTGATGAACGGCGGTGGGGCTCATGTGGAGTAGGAGTAGGCGATTTGTGCGGACGGAAAAAGTGATCTAGAGCAGGAGAGGTGAGAGCTGATGTAGGGAAAAAAGTCACACGGGATCGATGGGGTTCGGTGTGGCCCAATTTTTTATCGCGGAATCGTGTGTATCGGCGGGCGATAGAAGTCGCCCGTTTCAGTGAGCTATAGGCTTACTATAAAGTTAGGTGGAGGAGAGAGGTAGTGAAAAATTAGGAATTTTGGCTCTCATGCAAGAGTTATTTATCACAAATTCCAAGACAAATACATTAAATGTATAAGTGAGAGATAGAGTGAGGAGAAAAAAATTGTAGCAAACCTTATAGCTAATCTATTACTATATATATGTTTTGGCTTTAAGATGGGCTAATAGTAGGAAGTGTGCTATATTATTATCCTTGCTCTCATTCTCTCTCTTTGATTCTCTCTCATGAATTTAATGATATAAATTTTTTTTAAGCCTGCTAAGTAGAACTATTGTACCTGCTCAAGAACTCACCCTTCTAGCTTCTGTTCGGCCCATCTGGAACACACTGGACAACCCGAACCGAACCATCAACCAACCGTCCACGCAAACCAACTCGCCACGTAGACTTCTATAAAACCCACGAGCCCGAATGCGCCCGCGCTCGAACCCACCCAAAACCGGCCATACATAGGCACGTAGCCGCATCGAACCGGATCCGATCCGATCCGACCCAACCGCGAATACCTTCTCGTCGAAGAAGCATCGAATCGATCGAGAGAGACCGCGTGACCATCCGCGGAGTTCGTCGTCGTCTTCGCCTTCGTCTTCTCCATCCACCACCGCGCTCGGCGAGGCGATCCACCGGCGGCGAGGAGAGGCGCGCGGGAGCGGCCGGAGATGGCGGAGAACCCGCAGCTGTTCGGGAACGGGATGCTGGTGCCCTTCTACGGCGAGATGTTCGTCCTCGCCCGCGACGGCGTCGAGTTCCACGTCGACAAGATCCCCTCGTACGTCCCCTCCCTCCTCCTCCTCCTCCGCGTGTCCTTTCCGGTTTCTGCCGCGGCGAGGCGAATTGAATTGAGATGCTGGGGCTTCGATGGCGATCGGGCGAGGGATCGTGGTGTCTTAGATGGGGGGAATTAGGGGATTAGGTTAGGCACAGCGGGTGTGATATTGGCGCGCCGAAATTGAGCATTGGGCTGTATGATTTTTGTCCGGGTGGAACTCAACGCTGAAATTGAGCTTCGCATCGAGTCTAATTGGCGGTTACTTTGTTGATCTGTACGGGTTGATAGGTTACAAACCGGGACGCTTAATCTTGCTTTGGTTGGAAAATTACAAAATGTTATCTCCTTACTGAAGTACAGCAACTATGGAAACAGTTAGGGATTTAGTGTCACAATAATGAGCATTATTCACCATCTCATTACCACGAGGAATGCATTTTTTTTCATTACATTCAAGTGTTACGTTTATGTTCCGTCTTGAAAAGTTCATCTTCGTTGTAAATTAATCACTGCTTTGGGGCTTGGGCTAATTAGTCTTCTCTTGTGGCTGCTATGCTTGTCCTCAGAGCTCCTGGTGGTCATGCGAAAACAAAGGGCACAATTTACCTGTCAAACATAAGGATGGTCTTTGTCGCCAGCAAGCCTGTTGGGAACTTCTTTGCTTTTGATATGCCCCTGGTGAGTAATGGCAGCCTGAAACTGATAGGAGCAATTGGTCAAATTTTGTCGGTATGATTTGTTTGATGGTTTCATTTTGCATGATAGTAAATTCTAAATGGTGTTGCATGGCAAACTCTTTGCAGTTGTATGTGCATGGTGAGAAATTCAATCAGCCAATATTTCACTGCAACAACATATCGGGTTTCGTTGAGCCGGTAAGTACTTGAGCATCACGGGAACACATGGATATATAATTTGACATATTTGGTGCGGCACTGACCTTGGAGGTTATAATGCAGGTTGTACCAGAGAACCAGAACAGGGCCCTGTACTCGACCCACACTTTCAAGATCTTGTTCAAGGAGGGTGGCTGTGGTACCTTTGTTCCTCTCTTCCTAAACCTGGTTGCATCTGTGCGACGCTACAATCAGTTTGAGGCCCAGTCTGCCGCAAGTATGGCGCCACGTGTGGACCCGCTACAAGCTGTTCAGACTCCTGTTGATGATATGATGCGTCATGCGTGAGTGCTCAACCTATCTAGTTTCCTGGTGTGCCATCTGTTTAGCTTTTGCCCTGCTAGAAAACTCACATGATCTACTATCTACAGGTATGTTGATCCGAACGATCCTACAAAGATTTTCCTTCAGCAGCCTGCGCCAGAGTCACAGCTGAGGAGGAGAAACTACCACGGACGGGCTGACAATGCGTACTAGTGTTCTTACCTGATTGCAAAGAACCCATATGTTCGAGCCTATGAACATATGGATTTCGGCCTCTAGTCGCGTATCATGCTATTACGTGGGTGTGAAATGAAAGCTTCATGTTGCCCAGAAACCTATTGTATATCTTTTATGCCATATTCAGTTGCATATCTCAATAATGGTGTACATATTCCGTAGTCCTCTGGACTTGGTGCAAAAAATGGTTTATTTGATCCCATGGTGTATGGAATTATCATTGCTCGTGCCAGCTTGTAAATCACAGAAACAATACGATTATTGCTTGTGTTAGGGATTCTTTTTTCTTTGGTCACAGGGGAGACTGAAAACAGATGAGTAATGTTGGTAAGTTAGGTTGGGTGTTTCTGAATTACTTGCTTTTTTTTCCTTCCTGACTTTCATGTTCCTTGCAAGACTCTGAAGAGCAATGGCTTCTGTCAAGGTGCAATAAATAACCAAGCTAACCTTGTTCTGTTAGCTTTTGCTTTGGGGGATGTGGCAGCATGGCATGTGAAAAATTCTTAGGGAAGATCTCACTGTCTGTATAAAATGTGTTTTTTAAGCAGAGTTACAGGCATTCAGGAATCCAAATCAGCAGGTCTTCAGGATCTGAATATGTAATAATCTGGGTTCTTATAGTTATATCGATTTCGTCAACAGGACTGTTGTGTACTCCTCTAAATTTTGCTTTCAATAAAAGCAAGGAAAATGTCGTCTGTAAATATATACAGACAAGGTTCCATGACAACTTTGATTGATAAACACCACAAATAATGTATACGTGATTAATTCAATTCACATTGGTCCACTTGTGGCATTATGTGCTACCAAAAGTGGATTGCCACCAGCTGCCAGAGACTCAACATGGAAAATGTCAGGCTTGCAGCTTAAAGCTGCAAACGTGGGGCTGACACTGGAATTTCTGAAAACAACAAGAGCAAATGATAAACACCAGGCCTTTGATGGTAATCTATCTTCTTGACAAGTTCCTGAACACATGGCGATACTGAAGTTTCTTTTGGCATTCTGATTCCTTCCATCCATTTGCTTGCTTGCACATTGTCAGGCTGCACGGATAGCAGCAATATGACTGGTACAAAGGAAAACAGACAGCCGCAAGCAGCAGCATCCAGACCATCAAGTCCTTGTCGAGACGAATTTAGATGCCTATTTCTTCTTTTCTTTTCAAGGGAAAAAAACACTGACCGTTTCTAAGGAATGTTGTGAACTTGACAAGTGATCTCGGTGTTAGTGTGTCATTGTCTCATTGACTATCTTACTTTCACATTCAGTTCGCTGAAGCGGGTAGCATTTGCATCATTCAGCTTCAGAAGCTCAGAACCATCATATAATTACAAGAAGTTTCTTTGTACCATAACCAGGTTTTTCACATGTGTAGTGGTAGATGAATGAATGCATCTACTACTTACAATGGAACCATCTTACCTTCAGTTCTGCCTGCTCCATGACTTCATGTAATGAGGTTCTTATAGATGATCATGAATGAATGAAGCTGGTAGTTGAGAGGCTGTATGAAGGAGACAGCTCTTCTGCTCGCAACAGCACCAATCATCCATGGAGCAAATACTGAGTAGCAGGAGAAAAACACAGCACCACTTCAGTTCAGTTGACAACCTCTCGAGACAAAACAACAGTATCAGACAATTTTGTCTGCAAGAAAAAAGAGGCATCTTCTTTTTTCCTTTTTCTTTTTCTTTATCAGACAATTTTGTCTGCAAGAAAAGCCGACTTGAGAGTATCTCTATGTATGACGGATACAGCTCATGATTGGCTGAAAGCTTTTCTTTTTTTTTTTGGCAGAATGAGGAAAAGAACAGCTCTCTATGAAAAGGACATTCAGAGTGCAAGACGAAACCTCAGCTGTTTTAGTTTTTTTAAAAAAAAACAACCCGCATGAGGTAGTGCGAGGTTTCATATTAACATAGCGGAAAAAATTACAAGATTACCGTCCGAAAGCTATAACCTGGGAAAAGAAAGACACACTACCACGTGATAGCGACTCCTTACATATCCCAGGAGAAGCACTAGCACCAAGTCGGCCGCCGCTATACGAGATCGATCGCGCTAGTCCTACACAGGATATTTTTAGCAATTTTGATATTGTCAATAAGTCAGTTCCATCTCTGTGTTTGCTGTCACAACTAGTTTCAGTTTTGGTTTTGCTAGCTTGAGCGGTTTGCTGCCATATGAACAGAGGAAAGTTTTTTTCAGATGCATCACGAGTGATCGATCGATGATGCAGCAAAGGATGGACCCGGTTTTCTATAACGCGTCGCAATGCAACTTGCTCTTGTGGGCAGTTCAGCAGCTGGTTGTTTGGAGTCCCACTCAACAAGATAGATTGATAGATGCATATAGATCAAGAAGGAGAATTGTATAGGCACCCCTACTTTCCAATCTACTCCCTCCGTTTCAAAATGTTTGACACCGTTGACTTTTTAGCACATATTTGACCGTTCGTCTTATTCAAAAAAAATTGTGAAATATGTAAAACTATATGTGTACATGAAAGTATATTTAACAATGAATCAAATGATATGAAAAGAATAAATAATTACTTAAATTTTTTTTGAATAAGACGAATGGTCAAACACGTACTAAAAAGTCAACGGTGTCAAACATTTCGAAACGGAGGGAGTATTAATTTCTTTTTCGATTAAACGTGGCGAATGCATCCCTTAACTATCGACCACCCATGCATTGCACTCCATATGTAACTTGGAATCGGCAAATGCATCCCTCAACAGTTTGAAACAGACTCAAATAGACGAAGGTATGAATAATTCTGTAAACTTCGCAAGAATCTATAAAATTTGGTTAAAAAAACACTATCCTAATCACCAACTAATTCTTATCAATTTTCAAGGAATAAAAAAACAAAAGGGCACTAGAATCTAAAGTTTTTAAGTTTCACCCTTTCTCCGTGGAGATTTCAAACAAAAACCACACAAGATTCTACGACTTCATTTAAAAAACCATGCCAATCACCAACTGATTCTTATCTATTTTATCAAGTCAAGGCACAAAAAGAATAAAAAGGACACTAGAATCCTTAAGTTTTCAAATGCCATATTTTCCCTGTAAAGAATTCGCATATAAACCACACAAGATCCTACTATAATTTTGTTAGAAAAAAATATGCGCCAATCACCAACTAAGTATTACTCTATTCGTTATACTATAGTATTATACTATAGGCCGTTTTAACTTTTCTTCTAATCAATTTTTAAAATTTGATCAAGTTTATATAAAATATAGTAATATTTTCAACACAAAACAAGCATACTATTAAAATATATTCAATGTTACTTCTAATAAAACTTATTTAGTGTTGTAGATGTTACTAAGGTTTCTATAAATCCAAAGAAATTTAACTCGAGAAAAAGTCAAAGCGACTTATAATATGAAACGGAATTAGTATCTATTTTCTCAAGAATAAAAGAAACTAAATAAAAAGCACTCTTAGAATCCTTAACGTTTCAAATTTCATCCTTCCCCGTAAAGAATTCGTATTCAGAATCAGGGACTTAATTTGCAATTAGTAATTTAAAACAGGGTTGGATCGTATAATAAAAAAGTACTCCACCCCCACCCCCGTATTTGATCCTAGTCAGCCACCCCTGCTTCCTTCTTCTTCCCAAGTTCTCATCGAGGGTTTTCCTCTCTCTCTCTCGCATCGCATCCATCCCCTCGTGTCGCCGCCGGCGGAGGCTGCGGCGAGCCTTCACCCCCCACCCGCCCACCGCCGGCGAGCCACGGCGTGGGCGACCTCCTCTCCTCTCCCGATCCCCTCTCGCCCTTAGGTAGGGGCTTCTCCCCAGTCCCCACCACACGCGCGTGCGTGGCCGACGAGCACCCCAGGTTCGGATCGGATGGAAGGTATGATGATGATTTGTTCTCGTCTCGGTGATCTCCCTCCTCGTCGTCCTTCTCCGGCGCGTCGCTTTCGTGAGTAGATCGGAGATCCGTTCGGGGGTTGGGGGTTTGATTTGGGGTTTAGTGAACACCCTCCCCAATCCCACGTAGCCGCATCGTTAGGTCCGCCTCCCAGTGATTATCTAGATTGAGATTTCGATCTTGCAGTTTATGGTGTACAGTATTTAGAGTGACAGGTCGAGGTGAAAGGAAATTGAATCTCCCTTGCTGCTGTCGTGAGATTTAACTTGCGTGTGGACAGGTCTAGGTGAAGGGAATTCAACTTCACCTGCTGATATTATAAGATCTAGCTTTGGGTATTGCTGCTTTATAAGAATTATTAGCTTTTTATTTTTTTTCATATCAATCAATTCGAAGTCCTTCACTGGTAAAGATTCTTAACTCTTGAGTAGTGCTTGTGATCTGGCTTATGCGAGTAGTTTGCATCAAGCAATGAATAAATTATTCTATAGCCTCTGATAAGCTCCTCTTTGTCTGCCCAATTACCTTTTTCAGACCAGAAGAAAAATGCAAAACCAGAGGGGTCTTCTGGCTCGCAAAGGGGAGCTCCCCCGGCACCTGATGCAGGCCTTCCCAATCCTTTTGATTTTTCTCAGTTTAGCAACTTGCTCAATGTAAGTTCTTTTTTTTTTCGCGCAGCTAAAAGCATGATATGTGCTCTCTTTTTGTGCATCACTTATGTTTAACTGTACTATTCTTACGTACACAACTGTAATGTGATGTGCAGGATCCATCTATAAAGGAGATGGCAGAGCAGATTGCAAGCGACCCTGTGTTCACCCAGATGGCAGAGCAGCTGCAGAAGAGTGCTCATGTGACCGGGGAACAGGGTGGCCCTGCATTGGATCCTCAGCAGTACATGGAAACAATGACACAAGTCATGCAAAACCCTCAATTCATGTCAATGGCAGAACGTCTTGGGAATACTCTTATGCAGGTATCATGTTATGTTTCCAGAGTCATCACCAGAAAAAATTTTCAGAATGTTTCTTCGCTTCAAGTTTTCTGCTACGCATGACAGGATCCTGGAATGTCCAGTATGCTCGAGAGTTTGACTAGTCCTTCTCATAAGGAGCTGCTTGAAGAGCGGATGTCCCGTATTAAAGAAGATCCCTCTTTGAAGGGGATTCTTGATGAGATAGAGAGTGGTGGTCCATCTGCTATGGTGAAGTAGGTGTTGTATGCTAGTATTTAGATATAACTGTGGCTTTTAAATTTGCTGAGATGGTTTGCCTCACTTATTTCAGGTACTGGAATGACCCTGAAGTTCTTCAAAAGATTGGTCAGGCTATGTCAATTAATTTTCCAGGAGATGCTGCTACTTCCACTACATTGTCTGGACCTGAAGAAACTGAAGAGGATGGTGGAGATGATGATGAGTCCATTGTCCATCATACTGCCAGTGTTGGCGATGCGGAGGTAATGAAGTTCGATAATAACTATAGGACGTGACTTCTGTTTTTACTTTGCTCTGAGTTGATCTGAAACTTGTGCTGGTATCTATCCGTATTAGTCTTCACGACTATGTGTAGCTATGCTGCCCATCAATGTAGCAGGTTGTTTACCCGACCTATCACTATACAACAAAGCTTGCTTCTCCAACTAAGCATATGACTAAACCATGCTTTTCCTAGATAGTTCTATAACATAACCTGGCTTCTTGTTCTTAAAGCTTTGTGGACCACCTGCTTATTGTGTTTATTATCCATACACCGTTTGCCTTTATTTGGTGCCAATTCTACACAAATGCTACGTAGAAAAATGACTTCTGTTTGTTGAATCTGATATACGCGGGGTTTAAATCAGGGCAGGTTTCTCATTTGGCTGCCCTTTTTCGTTCTTAATGTTCCTGATCTTTGCACTAGATATGGTCGCTCTTGATGTCAATCTCTTATTTATGTTTGAGCCTGAGGAAATATATTAAATCATTGTACTACTCATTTGCTGCAAGTACTTCTTTATACAACATAATGACTCAACAGGGTCTGAAGAAAGCTTTAGAGGATGGAGCAGACATGGATGAAGAAGACGCTGAGGGAAGAAGGGCCTTACATTTTGCGTGTGGTTACGGTGAGGTATGTGGAACTGCTGAATGGTTTAGAATAGAAATGAATCACGTAACACAGATTAAATACGGATGTTTGTAGCAATAACCAATTGGGTGAACTTGTCTGTTTTCAGTTGAAATGCGCAGAGATCCTTCTGGAGGCAGGTGCTGCTGTAAACGCACTGGATAAGAACAAGAACACCCCACTGCATTACGCTGCTGGATATGGTCGGAAAGAATGTGTGGATCTTCTGCTGAAGCATGGCGCTGCTGTGTAAGTTTAAACCAGCTATTTCATCTAAAACCGAGTCGATTTGATGCCCTGCTAGTTTGTGCCTAACTTGATGAAAATTGATGACCCCAGCACGCCCCAGAATCTGGACGGGAAGACCCCCATCGAGGTGGCCAAGCTGAACAACCAGGATGAGGTCCTCAAGGTGCTCGAGATGGACGCTTTCCTATAAAGAAACCAATGCCAAATCTCACGCTCATCATCACCGGCTCGTCGCTTTACAGTTCAGATTTTTACTGCATACCCAAATCATCATCGACTCTTTTAGCTTTGGTTTTGGTGTGGTGGTGGTACATTCGTTGAATCGTTGCTATGTTTGGTGCTCCGATTTGTAATCTGTTTCACTTCCCCGTTACACTGCATCACTCCGTTTCATCCTTTGTATTCCTATGTTGCTGAGTCTGGTGTTGCAGACGTTGCTCCTGTTTTTCTCAGCGTTTTCGTGTCAGATTGGTAGTTTATATAGATAAGAGATGCACTGCCCCGGTGTACATGTGTCTCACCGTCGCTGGTGCCGTGTTTGAACGGTGAGAGGCCGATCAATGCACGCGATCAAGTGGGCAATGCGACCTCGGGTAGGTGACAAAACATGGTGATCTGGAGAGTGCGGGAAGCGAGCGCTTCGGTGGTGTTTGTTTTTACCCTAGACGAAGCTACACGAAAAATGGAAAAAAAACTAATATTGCATGATTAATTGAATATTACTAACTGTTACAAATTTAGAAAATAGATTTATCTGATATTTTAAAGTAATTCTATATAGGAAGAATTTACACGAAATGTGTAATTTAGAGTTTGAAAACATGCTAATTAAAAACTGAGATAAAATGGAGTATATCTTAATTACAAACGATCATGGGCCTTCGTCGTCGGATTGGAGTTCTTCTATCCACTTCTATTTTCTTCCATGTTGCCATTTTGGGCGGATGCAACTGTTGCTCAAAACGAGCTTATCCATATGTTGAATTGTTGACTGAGATTGGCCGGGGAGAGCCGTACAAGTTTTAGGGAGCAGGAGAACGACAAGTAAAAGAAACACTTTCATGCGTACGTGGACGCCGCAGCTGCCGAGCTAGGCCTTGAATGCTTCGAACGCTTCATCTCACTCACTGGCAGGTGGGTCCCACCTCAGGGATTAAACCACACGTCAGCATCTTCCCCTCTTAAAGACGAATATACCCCACGGATTCCCTACCATACCTACTAGTTCGCGCACGGTCTCAGTGTCACTGACACTGGGCCCCCATCCCTGTGGCCCACATGTCATCGACACAAAGAATGTTTTACTAGCCACGTGCCGAAGCCGTCGATGGCCGCGGGGGGCAAAACGGCGAGGCGACAGCCGCCGTCCGATGAGAATCCGACGGCCAGGGTGCCGCCGTCAGCTGCCTCCACCCGCCGCGAGCGATTTGACCGTGCGGTGACGGTGGTGAGGCCGCCAGCCACGTCGGCGGCGGCGGCGACCGGCGGCTCACTTCGAGAAGCGTCTCGCCTCCTCCTCCTCCTCCTCACCATTAATACCCCCCCACCCACGCCGCGCGCGCGCCTCGCCCTCGTGCTCCATGCGCGCCACGCTGCGAGGGCGAGGCCACCGTCGCCATGGCCGTGCTGGGAGTGGGCGCCGCCGTCAGGCTGCGGCTCCGCGTGCTCGGCCGCCACCTCCGCCTCCGCGGGCGCAGGCGCACGCGGCGGCGGCGGGGAGGTGGTGGGGTGGAGGATGAGGAGGAAGGAGGGAGGGAGGCGGTGGTGCTGGTGTCCGGGATGGGCGGGTCGGTGCTGCACGCGCGGCGGCGGTCGAACCCCAGGTTCGACCTCCGCGTCTGGGTGCGCATCCTCCGCGCCGACGCCGACTTCAGGAAGTACCTCTGGTCGCTCTACAACCCCGACACCGGTGGGTCGCGCGCGCGCGCTCGTAGTGTTCGACGAAACGTTTGTGTGTGAGTTGGGGTGCGCGGTTTGTTTGAACGAGAGTGATTCGGTTTGCTGTTGTGCGCAGGGTACGTGGAGCCGTTGGACGACGATGTGGAGATCGTGGTGCCGGAGGACGACCACGGCCTGTTCGCCATCGACATTCTCGATCCTTCCTGGGTGAGCTAGCTTCTGGGTGTTAGTTCAGTGAAGAACACTAGAAAGAGGGTTTGTCTTTTCTTGCTTTGTAAGAATGGTATATTTGCGAGGGTATTAGTTCTTCCGCCTTTACTTGAGCGACGGTCATTCGTTTTTTTTTTAAATTGTTAACCACGCCACATTTGGTGTGTAATACTGATAATTGGTGTCACTGGTGCCGTATCAAAAGTACATATAGGTTAAGTGAAGCCGTAGTAAGTACTAACAGCTAGACCGTGCGAAAATATTTAGTAAGTGGTAGCATGCCCCCGTATCATGCCTATGGGTATATTCATGAGCACTAGCAATTGGTGATTTGATGCTGCTGCTTCGTGATTTCTTTTTGTACTCATTTCTTATGTTGACATTGAAGTGGAGGAGCGTGTGCTTTTAAGAAAAAGCCATTGATATTTGCTTCTCAGATTTCATGGGATAGATAGAATCTAAAAAGCAGATATTTGTCTGTGTAGTGCAACAATACTGATGTGTTAAATCACCTTCCTTCTTCAACTAGTCACACTCAAAGACCATAATGTTTCTGATTTGATTTTTCCTCTATCTTCTGTAAACTCAGTTTGTGGAGATTCTCCATCTGTCTATGGTGTATCACTTTCATGATATGATTGATATGCTTGTTGACTGTGGATACAAGAAAGGAACCACACTTTTTGGATATGGTTATGATTTTCGCCAAAGTAACAGGTACGATCTATGTGGGCTTATTTGCATAGTCTCGAGTCTTGACTCAATAGCATCAAAAAATAAATTAGTTTGAACATTTTACTGCTGAGCAAACACAAGGTGCTGTAATTATGGGTTTATCTGGCAGGATAGACAAAGTGATGGTTGGTTTGCGAGCAAAACTTGAGACAGCTTATAAGGCTTCTGGTGGGAAAAAGGTTAATATAATATCGCATTCTATGGGTGGACTGCTAGTGAGCTGCTTCATGTCTATGAACCGTGATGTGAGTTTTCATGATTAGAACAGTCTGTTGCTTACTAACAATCGTATTCTGTATTCAATATGTTTTCTCTTTTCTCCATTTTTCTAGATATTTGCGAAATATGTGAACAAATGGATTTGTATTGCATGTCCATTTCAAGGTAATATATATTTTGACATTCTGCACTTATAGTTGCTCTATTCTTGCGTTGATGACCTTTGATAAAATCTGTGTTCTATGTTTTTTGGTTTTACATCTTGGCAGGTGCCCCAGGATGCATCAATGATTCTCTGCTAACTGGGCTACAATTTGTTTATGGGTTTGAAAGCTTCTTTTTTGTTTCTAGATGGGTGATGCATCAACTGGTAAATTCTTGACTATTTCATATTCTGCTAGCTGAGTTTGTGTATGCTTACTACTGTAAATCTTGTTATTACATTCTATATAAAAACAACCACCGTGTGCTTTTCATCTCCTACCTACAGTAGGGGGGTCCCTATTGGAAATATATTTTAACAAAAAAAATGCATGTATATTCACATATATTCAAAGGATGAGGAATGGAGCTCTAGAATAACTAAACTGCTAATGAAGGGCTACACAATGATGGTCCTCTGCAAGCCTGCAAGGATTTTTTTTATTGTGTTGGTTAAGTTATTTGTTTGGTAGCATAATGCTATTACTCCTGCTCTTGGTTGCTAATGTTTAGTCATTATTTTACACTGACCAAAATCAAAATCAACTATCATTTTGAAGTTTTCATTCACTCAAGCATGTCCATATAGCTTCTTACAGTTCTCGAAATGAATTATGTTTACCCTTCTAAGTTGGTCTGTCACGTGTGCAGCTTGTTGAATGCCCATCCATCTACGAAATGCTGCCAAATCCACATTTCAAGTGGAAGAAAGCACCAGTTGTTCAGGTTTGGAGAAAGAAACCTGAAAAGGATGGAATAGCGGAGTTAGTTCTGTATGAAGCTACCGATTGTTTATCTCTGTTTCAAGAAGCTTTAAGGAACAATGAGGTAGTCACTCTCTGCTTCTAATTTGTAAATACTTTTAAAGCATAAGAAATTAGCACCGCACTAAGCGTTACTATCAAAAGTTGAAAAATCTTTTACATACAGATGAGAACTACTTTGCGCACTAACTGGAACTAAATCATCACACCATCCTTTAGTTGAGAGGGAAATACCCAGATAGTATGCAGAAGGCAAAAGCACGTTGGCAGTTGGTATTACTCATGAAAAACATAGTAATGCTGTCTACTCCATTGATTTGACAATGTTAAAATGGTTTATAGATTGGTGGCTCACTTCGAACAATTGGAGATAATGTTTACTGCATGTGAACCTTTTTTTATGCGGAACTGCCTATGTATTAACATTCTGTGTGTACCCACATCTGGGAGAACTTTTGTCCTGCCCATAAAACCATTAGTCGATAACTCGTTGCCTTACAAATACCATGTATTGTTTGACCTAAAAAATGTAATAAAAATATTTAGAGCTTGTCTCATCATTGCATCAAGTTTGGATACTAACATAGCCATGGTATATCCTTTTATTTGGTGATAGTGCTGTGTTCTGTTAATTGTATTTGAGTGAAACTTGTTTATTCTATTTATCTTTTCTATCCTAGCTCAAGTATAATGGGAAGACAATTGCACTGCCATTCAATATGTCAGTCTTCAAGTGGGCCACTGAGACCCGCCGAATTCTTGAGGATGCTGAATTACCAGATACTGTGAGCTTTTATAATATATATGGGACATCTTACGATACTCCATATGATGTTTGGTGAGTATTTTTGAAGACTGCTAATTCTAACATCATGTTGTCCTTCATGCTATTCTTAGTAGGCAACCAATCTAGATTCCCATTTTTATCGGTTTGCGACTCTCAACCTACAAACCAAGATATAAATAGTTCTAACAGTATCCATTACTTGAGCTAATTATCTGCTTAGCCAATATAATTGAATAGGAGTGCATGGAAAGCAGGATCCGTTACAGCCTTTGGTTGATAGAGTTCTCTTTTCTTGTTCCAATGTCCAATTGTGTGCATACTTCAAGATTCTTGTTGAATAGTTGATAAGTTATTAATCTAATAACAGATTTATTCCGATTTGACTTATCTAGCTTTGGCTTTGCTGTAATTATGTTCTTTCTGATTTGCAGTTACGGCTCTGAAAGCTCCCCAATTGGAGATCTGTCAGAAGTGTGCCACACAATGGTGCTGAACTTAATCAATTAAAAAATATCGTTTTTTTAGTTGTGTGATATTGCTTTTACTAAAATATTATGCTGGTCCATCTTATTTTCAGCCAGTGTACACTTATGTGGATGGAGATGGCACAGTTCCTATTGAGTCAACTATGGTAGTCGCTCTTTTCTGTCATATAATAGATTTCAGCTGTCTAGTTTCCTTTCTGTAATGTTATTCAACAAAACCCAGTTCACAGTATTACTCTTCATTATGCATCGAGAAATTACTCACTTGTTGCTTAATGATTTAGTAGGGAAGCAGAACATTACATAATGCCTTTCATAAACTTTGGATGTTAAACCTAGTTGGTTATGACTAAATAAAGTGCCTTAATTTTGTAAAGCCTAGCAAACATACGATCACAAGATCATCTTCAATGGCATATCAAACATTCTTTTGAAGACAAAAGGCATTGCACTATGACCCGCAATTTAGTGGCACTCTTTCGGATTTCTTCAGTACTGCTTGATCCTCGAGTGTTTTGAATTCAAGGGCAACTCGTTCAATGCTAAGCTTTGCCATTTACAGTTTAGGATACACCATACATACTTTTCCTTCCCCTTAAACTATAGCATCTGCCATGTTGCCTCATGAAAACAATCTGGGACACAATATGTCATTGTTTTTTTGTTGTCGGCAGGCTGATGGATTTGCAGCCAAGGAAAGAGTTGGCATCGAGGCCGACCACCGAGGGCTGCTTTGCGACGAGAATGTGTTTGAGCTTCTGAAGAAATGGCTCGGCGTGAAGGAAGAAAGCACACGGCGGCGTCGGTTGTCCAAGTCCAAAGTGACAGACTTTGCACCATCATAATGAAAGTACTAATCAAGTCAAGGTGCTCAAAACAAAACCATCACAATCTCTTCAAGGCAGCCATTATTTTTTGGGCTCTTCACTTGAAGAGAAGATGAATATAGCGAAACACTTGTGTTTAAAATGTTACTTGTTATTCCGGAAGGGGAAGATGATATGAACCCTACCATTCGTAGCTGAAAATTGTGACACTTTGTGACGTTGTGACGGTTATTTAATTTGCATCCAGTAACGGAGCAAAACTTAAAGGAAATAAATAAATCGTATTATTTACAAAGCATGTCATGGTTGCAAATTTGTTTAGCAATTTCCGTATGGTGTAGTTGCAGCCTGTGCTCTGTAGAACTTTTCATTTTCCCGGTTTCAACCATGCAGTGCTCGAGGACTCAAAGGCAATGCAGGATGGAACAAATATAAATCTTTGAAGGGGGTTTAGTGAGAGCAATTAATTTCCACCATGGCGGAGTAAAATTCTTGGGTTTAAAGCGGGCTTGTTAGATAGACACCAACTTCAAATTTAATTTTGAGTGCCTTGGAAACGGTCCTGCATCTCATGACGGAGTGCAGATGCAGATGTACGAGAAGGATTTGGGGTTTGATATCAACTTGGATCTCCACAATCAAATCGATCTAGTAAATTAGAGTAACCATGCGACGGTTCACGAACGAGTGTTGGTTGGACTTGGACCTGGCTTCCACCCCGGGAGTGCCAAAAAAGGCTTGCGCAGCCTTATCCTCCAGATTTCTTGAGAAATATGGAAAGAGCAAACTAGCGGGTGTTCAGACACCGGCAACATACCTAGTTGCCAAGATCAAAAGGAAGCAAAACCATAGACCTTGGCAAGAGCAAGGGCCCTCTCTAGTCTTGTTACTTAGGGTTTGTGTTTTTCCTTCTTTGTAAATAACCCGTTTATACTATACGGTTTTTCTCCTACTCTATTCAATGAAATTGACACAGTAAGTACCGGTTCATTAAATAAAATAACTTGAGCACTTTGGGTCATCTTCTATTGCTGTAGTTTTACTTTGGATCACCCCTAGGGCCTAGTCCAATCTTTTTTTTACCTTGCACTAGCTAACTTTATATTTGTTATATTTTGGATCACCTCGACTCTCTTCACTAGCCATGCCCATTCTATACTCTGGCTGGCACAATGTTGAAACTGACTGCCTGAAATACTCTGTACATCAGAGCCTCCATAGAAATCTCTCTGAACCATTTGCATTCCAACATCATGTCATCCAGGCAAGAAACCTTGACAAATACTATTATTACTCCGTGTTTACAAAACAATAGTAAAATCAGCCATGATACACGTATACTTTTACATTATGCAGTGAACCTATGCTAGCTCTTAACCCTATCTTGGTTATCTGGCGGTAATAAAATATCACACATCATCACAGTTCACACCAAACCTTGCCCATATGTACCAGGCTACCAGCTATCACACTGTACATAGTAAAACATTTTCAGTTACAGCACAAGTGTCAAGTGTGTGCTGCAGATAGAAGCCTACTACTACCTTGAGGTAGTAGCAGCCAACGAGGAGACCTCCTTGTTGGTGGAGGCTGGCTCATCGTCTCCGGCGCCGGCAACTCGCGTCGCGGCCTCCTCGTCCGTCGCGCCGGCGACCTGCGCCGTCTCCTCCGCCACCTTGGAGCCCCTGCTTGCAAGAGTTTTCTCAGTGATGAGTAGCGATATCGTCACAGCTGATTGCTACTCCCTCCATCCCAAAATAAATCGATGTCTTATGTGTAGGTTTGTGGCCAGAAAATAATTTATTTTAGGATGAATGAAGTACGTATCTTGAGGAATTTTACTTCCTTTGGAAAAGTATCTTGAGATACCTAAATTTTATACTACATTTTTTATACTTTTAGATATTTAGTACTTATTAGAGATACCAAATTTTAACTAAAAAATATCGTATCTCTAGGTACCTTCTTAAGGATGGTAAAAAATTTTTGACGTAAGTTAAGGATGGTAAAATTACACATGTATCTTATGTGCATGTTCAGAAGGAATGGCAGATGAAGAATGAAGGCTTACTTGTATGAGTAGATGACAAGGCCAGCTGCCGTGCCAGCAAAAGCAACGAAATACATCCAATCAACCTGCAAATGCTCAAAATTTGATTAAACAAGATCAATTTGAATTTTAAGATTTAGTATTGGCATGACTGTATGGGGGGAGGAATTGTTGTTCAGAGACCTTCTCATGGTAAGCGAAGATACGGATTAGAACAGCCCACATGTCCGAGGTCAAAAGGGAGAGATTGAGCATAGTTGCACCACATATCTGAAATTATTGGAGTAAATTTAGTAACATGCAATATTCAGAAATGCTGTGAATTTTCCCACAATCATGGCCTGTACCTTCAATATAATCGGTACTGTTGAGTAGAACAAGAACATTGCTACCGCAAATCCAATGAAAGGTAGAATCTGAAGAAAAAAAAAGGGTCCATGAATACGAAGCATGGTTAATTGATTATGTAGTAGAACATATTCTTCATTCTTATTAGATTGTACACACAAGAATTAAAATAATCTAGAACTGAAACACTAATTTATCAATTAAAATATTTGGACCATATAAATTGCCTCGAGTACCATGTATGAAAGGGAGGAGATCGACTTACCGCACCAGCATTCCATTCGGTTGACCGAAGTTCTTGTCGTTCAAGTATGCTTCTGTAGCAGTGTTAAGGAAATGGGATATAGAAGCATATTTTCTTGCTATGCCAAATATAAATCAGGTAATACAAAGTACAAAATAGTTACAGATGGGTTGGTAGAAACATGTCCCAGTTTCACTGGTTCATTGTTTTGGTCTCGTTGCTATTCAAGTAATTTCCCTTGTTTTAACTTCTAGTAACATGGAGAGGCATTCTTATAATATTCTTAGTTTAATCAAACTACAGTGGAAACAAGTCATCACTTAACTAATCCAAAGGATACATTTGTATACCACTTATAACTGCTCCAAAAACGCCCAGCATTGCCATCACCTCAATTCTGCTGCTTTTCTTGACAAAGTACTCCTGAAATGTTGTAGGCAAAACATGCAAGGTTCTTCATGTGCTACCTAATTTAGTTTTATGCTTAATCCGATGGGCTGTCAAGGCTAATATTTGAAGTGGTAATTATCATATCTCAAAGAACATGTTTTTTGCCGGGTCGGCCGAAAGATTTGGTCGACCAATTTCATTAAAATCTCAAAGAACATGTGAAAAATCTAGAACTGGGAGTTCTCCCCTGTGTTCTGAAAAGAAATGGAAAATAAATAGTAATAAACGAACTATAGATTTGCTATTACCTCGGTAACATTACTGACAGCATAAAGCATGGCCCCAGCAATGACAAACAAATCACCTTTCAAGGGGTTGGGTCCTTCTGCAAGACACTCCATTGTGTAAGGTCAACATGATTTACTTGTTATTCTTTTACTGACAAGTGCAAAATACTGTATTTTCTTTATAATCTATTTGCCACATTTCAGAAGAGCTTTGTGCCTTTGTGCTGAGAATCAAGTACACATTGCAAAGACTACATGAAACAGAGCAATGCAGCACCAAAATAAAACGCAGAAACTGAACAGATAACGGCATGCCAAGCAGATGTATATAAGTGTATAATTGTGTGAGTTGAGTAAACTTTCATTGGAATCATGTTCTTACTTGCTCTATCAGAGGCATGGACATCAGAAAATACTACCAATATAATGCCAGCCACACAAATCACAACACCGATGAACTTCCTCAATCCATACTTTGTCTTCAAGAAGACCCAAGTGAGGAGAATGACACACGGGATCGCCCAGCAATCGATGAGCATCACACTCGTTAAGGATGTATACTGATAAGCCTTCACAACTGTGTGAACAAATACAAGTCAAGTTTAGAATCTTCACATGAAGTTACTAACTAAAAAGAAGCTCCAATCTCAGTAAGAAATTCAGATTACATCATTTTCACTAATGGTAGACATTTACCAATATAGTTAGCTTCTACATCAACGATGCCAAGGATCAAGAAGTAGTACCATTTAATCTGCAGAAACAAAATGCAGAAAACATTTCAAGCTCCATGCTGATAAAAATATTCAGATTGCTGCATTGCAATATAATACCGTGGTGACAACGAAACAGCCTCAGAAACTTTTTTTTTTAGAGAAGGGTATTTTTTACCCGGCCTCTACAACCAATCGGATATATGCAGCCTTTTTAAATTAGGAACTTAGCCTATCAAACAGCCTCAGCAACTTGCGAAGAACATAATCAGAATAAGCATAAATATGTTTGGTAACAAAGTGACTTGTCATTGGTCCTGGCTTGGGGATAAGATACGCTAAATACGCAACGTACATGCATCAATCATACGAAAAAAAGAGGAACAGCACAACTCAAAATAATGGTCCTAGGGAATAATAATCTGAAGGTCAGGCCAGGGCACAGGACATGTGTTGTTAAACACCATAATAGCTTATTGACCTTTGGTTTCACCATTTCCAGTCTCCAGATATCAAAATCATAACCGAATTTTGATCTAAAAAATAGCCAAAATTGCATCCAAACATTTCTTTTCAGGGCAAAACGCAGCAGGCAGACATACCGTCAGGTGTTGCCTTCTGTAGATCAGTATCCCACCATAAACAAGCGCAAGAAGGACGTAATTCAGCAGAGACTGCGAAGTTGGCGCGTTGACGCCTGAAAACAATGCGCAGGATTCAATCTCATAATCAGAACTTCGTAACCCACCATTCACAACTCTCTATATCTGAACATGGCATGGTTTGTAACAACATAATAATTTTCAAAGATTATGAAATTCGAAACATGGTCATTCATCTACCAAGAAAATGAAAAAAAAAAGAACCAAAATGACCACGTATAATACAAGCCAATTGCACGAATACATTCTGAACCAAAAGCTCATCAAAACTGAAACTGCAACTCATCAAGAACCCAACTATTTTCAGAGTTCAGATTGCATGAATACATTCTGAACCAAAAGCTCATCAAAACTAAAACTGCAACTCATCAAGAACCCAACTATTTTCAGATTTCAGATTGCATGAATACATTCTGAACCAAAAGCTCATCAAAACTGAAACTGCAACTCATCAAGAACCCAGCTATTTTCAGAGTTCAGATTTCAGATAGATCGATACCATCATACCAACATCCAGTTGTTAGTTTCAAACAAAAGCCCTATCGAGCGAATACGCGAACATCATGCGGCGGCGGCGGCAAGCCGTACCTCGGCGGGCGAGCTCGGAGGAGGAGAAGCCGGTGGAGGTGATGAGCAGCGAGACGAACTGCCCCAGCGCGAGCCCCACGAACACCTCCCGCCGCAGCCACCTCGCCGCCGCCGGCGCCATTGCTCCCTCTCCCTCTCCTCCCCTCGGAGACTTCTCCTCGCCGTGGACAGTGGACACCAACGTCGCCGTCGTCCTCTCCACTGGACTCACGCCAAGCCAACAAGCTAATGACTTTCCAAAACAAAAATGCTTAACTACTTGGCCTATATATACGGCGCTTCGTTGCCGTCGTTGCAGTGTGGGCCCCGCCGCCGCTAAGCCGGCCGGTGTAGGCTAATTGCTCATTTTAATTACTGTTCCTTCTATGACGGCATTAACTTTTTTAATTACCATTCGTCTTATTAAAAAATTATGTAATAATATCATTTATTTTATTTTAACTTGATTTATCATCAAATATTCTTTAAGCAATGGTATAAATATTTTTATATTTAAAAAAAATTTAAATAACACAAATGATCAAACGTTATAGTAAAAAAAAAATAACATCGTCGTACATTTTTTTTAAATGGAGGGAGTATCTTTTTCGCTGCCCCCTTGCATTGTGCAGCTGTGTAAACTGTAAAGCAAGATATTTTTCCATGCATTTGATTTGAGCCAAAGACATACTATATTTATTTTTTAATGTATAACGTTGTTGATTTTTTAATCAACATTTGACTATTTATCTTATTCAAAATCCTTGTGCAAATATAAAAATATTTAAATCATGCTTAAAAAATATTTGATAATAAATTAAGTCACAATAAAAATAAATAATAGTTACTTTCTTTTGAATAAGGCGAATGATCGAACGTATCTCAAAAGGTCAATGACGTCATACATTAAAAAATAAATGAAGTATCAAATATGAACCGAATTTGAAGTGAATTCAAACTTTTTTTCGCATTTCAGAAACAGGCTGATCATGTCATGCCAGCGCTCAGGTTTAAGCTTTGAACGGGGTGGATTGGGTTTTGGCAGAAGACTCTCTAGCTCTCACCATCAACCTGGATTGGGTTTTTTTCTTAATTAAATTGATATCAAATTCTCCTTTTTATATCTTACAGTATTTTAAAACTTTCTTATAGCATTGTCACAACTCACAAGATATAGATTTATATGCTATAATGGGAAGCTATTGCTATCTAAAGTGAGATCATGGCATCATCTACATGTTTAATTAGGCCCTTAATTAAGGTGATATTGTTATGCACGTATGCTCTTGTGTACCGTGTGATTATCCAAGGAGGAAATAATCTTCAGCCACAGAAGATTTTTGAGAAAGAAAAATTGTAAGTTAGTATATCTATTTCAAGGAACCAAATAGTTGACTTTGTGCTAGTTGTGCATTATTTATTACAACATTTCTATGGACATTTGCTTGTTCTTGCAAGTCAACAAATTAAAAAGGAGCAAAAAAGAAATGGACATTGCAATCAGTTCGTTGTATCTTGGAATAGGACTAGTGCATGACGGCCACTCTCATGTGACATCACACTCATGTATATATGTGTTCAGTCAACTTGTGATAATATCATTTCCGAAAAGATAAGATGTGATTATAATTTATAACCTCTCTTAAGTCTCTAGAACATAGCTGTAAACAAGAACATCCTTTTTTCTAGTTTGCACTAGTTAAAGTAATTATAAAGTTTGTCCATTCAGAGTTTTTAAATCTCTAGGTCGTTTATTAGAATTTTAAAACATTTCCCCCTATTTTTAGGGAGAAGAGAGAAGTAGTAGATCCCAATTGCTTAGCTCATTTGAAAAGAAAAAAAAACATGTAGAGAACAAATGACATCTCAACTAGAGTAGTTATTTTTACAGTGAAATTAGTCCATCCAGGTTCGAGTCTCCAACTCTACAGTTAATTATTTTGTAATGGTAGTCCTTACCCGTAAACAAAACGTTGAAGTGATTTCGTCAATTTCATGTATTACCTCGGTAACAAAAAAAATATAATAGATTACATGTATTTATACTTTATTTTCTTAAAAAAATCCCTGTAAAATTACCTACCGATTTTTATCTATTTTATTTACATGGGCCTAAATTGGACATGGTCCAACGCGTATAACGTAAAGGAATAAGTTCATCTGATGTCTCTTAACTTGTCAATGAATCCGATTTTCGTCCATCAACCGAAAACCAAATGCAACGGGTCCCTCATCTATCAAAACCAGTGCAGATGAGGTCCCTCAGCGGTTTAGATGGCGGTTTTAGCTGACGTGGCGCTTACGTGGCTAATTTGACTCGGTCTTCATCTGACGTAGCATTGATGTGACGCTTACGTGGCAATTCGATCCGAAAAATAATAAATCTTATGGGACCCACATGTCAGTTTGAATGAATTAAAAAATGATGGGTAACATTCTCACCCCTCCTCTCTCCCCATCTCTCCCCTCTCCTCTCTCTAGCGCCACGGGGTCACGGGGAGGTCTGGCGGCGGCGGCCGACGACGCGGGGGAAGGGTGGGGCGTCAGTGGCGGGAGTGTTGGGGGACGCGCCGTAGCCTACCACGGTGACGCTGTGGTTGACGTCGGCGGACGGCGGTGCACGGCCCCGTGTAGACACCGCTGCCGTAGAGCTAGAACATGAAGTTGCCGGCGTCGACGGTGACGGACACCGGCTGCGCCGCCACAGCCCTCGCCAAGTCGGGCTCGCTGCTGGTGTCACGTTCTGGTAGCCCGCGATGCTGACCGCGCTCTGGTTCAGTTTCGCCGCCTGGCACGCGCCGTTCGCGGCGTGGTACGGCTAGCTCGCCTCCGTGGTGACTAGTGAGGCCGTGGTTGCCGACGATGAACTCGAACAGCTCATGTACCCACCGCCGCACCCCACAGCCTCGTCGTTGCAGTCTACGAGCTCCTGCTCTGACAGCGACACCAGCTCGCCGTTCTTGTTGATCCCCTCTATCACCGCCACGGCGGAGAACGCCCAGCAAGAACCTGCATCCACACAACACCCAGATTTCCATCGATTAATCTCCAACATTTTTACAGGTTTGAATCTTTCTTTACCATGCTATTGCTCACACACCACAATCTTCTTGGTACTCCACTTCCACCACTGCTCCTTTCTTCCTCCAATCTACGCTCTTCGGCAGAATATCATCACTGCTCTCTCCAGGCATTGCTTTGAGGAATTGCGACATGAGGTCTGAACCCCAGCATCTTGGCTCTGAACTCCTCGTTCGTCAGGTCGGCGAACGTACTTCTTGTCAGCCAGCTTGTAGCCATTGCACATGGAGTTGAACTTCTCAAATAACTCAACGTTGCTCCTGTACACCTCGAACCTCCTCTGCTTCTCTTCGGCAGTCGTGCAGCTCCCGGCACCACGCTCGCACGAGCTCCAGCTCGTCGGAGACGGGCGGCGCCGCGGCCCCGATCTCCTCCACGAGCCCACGCGCGGGGTCCGCGCCGACGCCGTGAGCGAAGACCTAGCGCTCCCGCCGCCGACGCCCTGCCCACTACCCTTCTCCCGCGTCGCCGGCTGCCGCCGCCGGACCTCCCCGTGGCCCCGTGGCGCCTGGAGGGAGGAGAGGGGAGAGATGGTGAGAGAGGAGGAAGAAGAGGAGGGGTGACAATGATATGTGGGGCCATGTGGGCCCCACCATTTTTTAATTCATTCTTTCGGTGAAACTGACATGTGGGTCCCATGAGTTTTATTATTTTTCGGATCGAATTGTCACGTAAGCGCCACGTCAATGCTACGTCAGATGAAGACCGAGTCAAATTAGCCACGTAAGCGCCACGTCAACCAAAACCGCCATCCAAACCGCCGAGGGACCTCATCTGCACTAGTTTTGATAGTTGAGGGACCCGTTGTATCTGGTTTTTCGGTTGAAGGACGAAAATAGAATTCGTTGACAAGTTAAGGGACCTTAAATGAACTTATTCCTAACGTAAAGTCCTCTTCTTTAATGCTTATATTAGGCCTGGCCCATATTAGCCCATTGAGAGCCCAGATGACTCATGGGCTCGTGGCCCGTGCAGCGCGGTCGCCGCCGCAAGGTTTATCTCCTCCGCGAGGCCGCGACCTGACGCCGCCGCCGCCGGCGGCCGCCGCCTCGTCGTCGATGAGCTCGCCATGGCGCCCTGCCGAACCCTATCTACGCCGCCGCGGTAGCAGGGTTCAGGTTTGGCGGCAGGCTACCCCCTTCTCACTGTCGCACGACGACAGACGACTCCTCCCTCCTCCCCACCTCGCCGTCGTCGTCGTCGACGACTTTGCTCTTCCTCCGTCTAACCAAATCCCAGATTCTGCAGGGCCGCAGGCGCGGACTAGGCGAAGAAGGGCCGTCCCCCGTTCATGGCACTGCCGCGCGAGCGTCCCATTCCCCACTTTCTCGCCGGTCGCGATGAGCAGTAGGCCAGAGTCTGAAATGTGTTCGTCTCAGCCGGCTCAATCGTTCGGCGGGCGCTGACGGTATGCTCTTACCATGATCCCCTCTCATTTGTTCTAGGGATGCAAGTGGGTGATCTCACTACCCGCATAAAAATTCACTCGCTAGTTCATTTCTTACATGATAGTATAAATTTCGGAAGGAAAAATGAACTAGAAGTGAGATAAGCGGGCAAAATAATCTCGCTTGCCCGCCCCACTTGCATCACTAATTTGTTTATTGTGGCCTCCGCGAGACTCTGTGGTGACTGATTGATTGGTGTTGTTATTAGTAATCTAGCTGCATTGTGGCTATTATCTGAAATTAGGGGATCTAACACTGAGCATTACTTTTCTCATTGATATCCCCATTGCATTGCGTTTATCCATGTGTGGATGCATCCAATTATTGCTATCTGTAGGAAACTAGAAATGGTTCTTCATCTCTGGGGTTTATTCCTTTGATTCAATGTATTTGGATATATTAGCCTTTCTTCCATTCATTATACTTTAAATCAGGCCCTGGCACCTGTATCTAGAAATGTTATGGTATATATGGTTTTGTATGCCATATAAATGAGTTTCAACTTGGTTTTTTGTGACCCTTTAGAAAAAAAGAATGAGAAAAAAATGTCCACAATTAGATGCTGCGAGTAAAAAGAATTCAGATTTGCATATATGTATGTGCTAATTTGTGTTCATTTTAAAGTAGAGAACACCAACTGTTGCACTATTCCTCATAATTACTGATATGAACATCAGCATTAATAGGTGACTATGAAGATATTGGACTTCTAATTTATTTCATACAATACAAGTCAATTACTAGACTACTTGATTGTCAACTGCTATATATATGCTGTTAACTGCGTTTTGTGCATTATGTTTTGTAATCTTGAATGATGTTGCATCCAGCCTTCAACTTGGTCCCTGAAACCTATTAACAAAGAATAGAAAAAAAGAATTAGTAAATGATGGCTTTTCTCCTAAAAACAGCATGCCTAGTTTGTTATTGTTTTGGTGTCTAGGTCTTGGCTTCTTGCATATATGAATAGGGGGGATAAACATGCCATCTTTGTAATCTAATGTATTGTTTGTTTCTTTTGAAACACCGGAAGTGTATATAGTGAGTAGAATAATTGTTCAGCATTAAAAAGGATGCGAGAAGGCTTATTTCTGTTGACAAAATTGCCATGGTAATTAAAACTACATATGTGCACTTATGTCATGGAAAGCTTGCTCATTATCATGAACAGGGTAAAGTAAGCGCACCCGTGTCCTAAAAAGGTACTAAGCTAGGAACTTAAGTTGATATTCTACTCTGAATTCACTATTCTGGGAAGAAACGTGTATTACTAATAAACCTATTTTGTATCTTCCAGATATATGCAATGAGCTTTAGCGATCCTCAGAATCTTTTCTCTAGAGCATCTTTGGAAATCTTATGCTTGTGTTAGAGTAGATGCCACGTCTAAGTCTATGAATTTTCAATCAAAAATGTCATGGTTATGTTTTGAGAGGGGGTGTATGAGTCTATCTGGCTCCTGTGATTTCATGACTACCAATATATGAATATTTATTGTTTTAGTCTCTCTTTAAGTAAAATATTAAATTTGTTCCTACCTTCTGCCACCAACACCACTCTCCTTCTGGCAGTTGAAGTATAATGCAGCAACAGGTGGTCCAAGATTGTAAAATGCAGAGAAATCTCTGACGTTGAAATTTTGCCGCCATCCTGGAGCATAAACTGTTTGTCGTGCTTCCTGTTTGAATAGCACAAAAACAAGCCGATGAATTCCAGCCGGTGGCCGTGGAGCTTCGTACGGAACTATTTCATTGCCTGAAACAGTGTGTATTCTTTATTAGATTTGTTTTGTTGTGGTTCATATTATCAAGGTGAATGTTAGCTTTCACCACATCACTCTACAGACTACATGTTCCTTGATAGTGTGGTATAGATTGTCCTATAGTTCAGTCATTCAGTGACATTACTGCCCACCCTTCAGTCCTGTGCCACTTGCTGCCAATTAAAGCAAATAAACAATACCCTGTGGTACATGTTGTTTCACGAAATATCATTATGGTTAGAAGTATTGCAACCAATTGCACATCCTGAATATCTGTCATGGCTTCCACATGAAAATAAATATTAAAGTTGAAATCCCACTAGTGAAAATGCATATATAAAAAAAAGAGGTGAACCATTTTTATTATGTGACCATTAAGTGTGAGTGTGTGACTAATAAAAAATAGTAAATGCCTGAGTTCTAGTATATTATGTGACTTACATTTATTTTTTTCAATATTCATAAAACTAGATTTGATGTTTAAATAATCACTTGCAATCTTGATAATTTAGCAGAAAAGAGTGTGCCTCTCTGATATCCTTGGGATGAGCCAGATGAGAGGATCAGGCGTGCTTCATGTATGCACTACCGAAGGTATGCTTATAAGTTATAACTCCAGCATTGCAGCTTGGCTCCAAAGAAGTCTGTAATTTGTAATGCTACTAGTGTTTTTTGTGGGAAAACAGTAGTGCTGTTTTTGAACTATTATTATTTTCAGTTGCTCACATGATTATTCCTAGTTGGCAGCTTCTTTAGGGAGGGACAGAGGGCATGTGATAACTTTACACCTTGGTTTTCCTTAAAACTCCAGAAACGATAGTATTATGTTTTCACTTGGAAATGAAAGATCTCATGTTTGAAAAATCTGAAGTATGTCACACAGATTAGGTGTGTGTTTCTGTGGGGCCCCACACAACAGAACCATTGGTCAACCATAGGCAGGTAATACCATAATAGCCACATATACTAATTTCATCAGTGGGCCCCACAGATGATCTGAGGTACTCAACTTGAGGCGCTGTTGGGCAGATAACAACCGTCCAACTGCTTAACCTGCATCAAAAATAGGTGCAGTCATACATTAGAGCGGGGCCCATCCCCCTCTCCCTAAGTTGCTTTACATTTGATTCACAGGTATGCATATTTAAGATGACTGTATATAGTTTAGTAGTCAATAGATCAATCGCAGACTTACTTTAAAATTAGGGACCTAATGTTTTTTTCTTAATTTTTGCAATGTCACCTTAAATCCAAAAGAACAACAAGTGTAGGGATATAGAACTAGATTTTCCAATTAAAGAAAAGGAATCTCGGTATGTGATAGTCTGATAGATGACCTACTAAATGCACCTTTAATGAAAATGCCATTGATTTTCAGTGTATATGACATCTAAAATAATTATTGACTTGATCCTTGTCTTGTTAGCTTAGTACAGGAGATAAATTGATTGTCTCAAGCTCCCTATACTTTCTTTGCAAAATTTGACTGTGTAATCATGGTCGATAGTAACATAAACTATGAAGACCAATGCATTCTTTTGAATCATTCCTTAGCATTTTTATCATGTCTTTTACTTTTGCATATGTAACACCCTCGTAGATTTCTACCTTGACACCCCAAACACCAGCCTACTATACAAATAAAATTCATCAAGTTTCATACAGTAAACTTGTTTACTTAAAATCTTGGAAATATATGCACTAACATAATTTTAGCAAAACAATTATTTCATGGAAGTATTAAGGTATTTGGTATTTTGGTTGGATCAAACCAACGATATTTCCAAACAGTTATATTAGTTATAGTAGTATTTCCATAGTTACTCCTGTCTCTATCATCATTTATTTTTCCAACTTGACATAGATTTTACTAACCACGTGGTTATTCCATTGCCAAGGGTACTTGTGAAATGTTTACAACCATATACAACAATAAATATCATGATTTCTGTTTGAAACAAATGGCAAATATTGGAAGTGATTTTGCTGTTTGTATAATAAAAATGTTTGCTGATCTGTACATGCAATTACTCAACATTGGAGGTTATGTAGGAGTAAGATGTTACCCACCAAAACGTGCATCTATTGCCTCTGGGATGTCTGTCACCAACCTGTAGAAAAATAACAAGAAGAAAGAAACAAGACCCTAGCTTTAGCTCTTTGATTAGGCTCAGAAGTAAGAACTGCTTGTAAAGGACACAAATAATAAGATACTATGATAAGTTATATGTTAATTAAAGAAACTTCATGTATGGTCAAATTGGAAATCTTTACTCTTATGAAAAACGCAAATCTATGTAAGGAGATATGAGTTGCAGAAACATGGATTAGATTAGATAATCAATATATAATATTTTAGATATATTATGGTACCACATTGTTAGTAGTACACAGCAAGCAAGAATTTGCCCGATCAACTGAAAAAAAAAATTCAGTGTTGCAAATGACCATCATGTTACATCAGATCATCCTTTGAAAGTTTAATTAAGATTAGTTACTCATAAGTTTGTTTGGTGGTAAAGGGCACAGTTCTTCTATATTAATATGCCATAGCAAGGCTCTTAATACATCTTCTAGATTAGTTAGCTTCTAATTATATTCAAAATCATAAACTTCCCAGTTACAAATTTTGATATTAGCTCCAGCACTTGTTTATAAACATAATAAGAATGATATTACAATTCTTATTTATAATGATATTAGTATTCAAAATCCATGATACTAGTATTCCCAGTTACAAATTATACAAAATCCATTAGTCTTGTTTATAAACATAATAAGAAAAACATAAATTTCAATTTAACACGCATTAATGTTATTTACTTATTTTAGCCATATGTGACATTACCTGTAAGCATTAGCTCCAGCACATGTTTCTTTTTTAAGGTATCTTTAAATTCTAGCCATTTTTTCCCTGTAACCGTATAATTGCATGCATGCATGCTATCTACATGAAGTCCTTCATGCTGATATCATAAATAATGCCGTCAATTAATGTTTTTTCATAGTTTATCATCTTATGTTGATATGTTAATTGATTGTAGCACCCAATAATGATGTCCTTAGAGTTACTCAGGATCATGACTGGTTTCTCCTTACTTTATCTATGAAGAAATTAATAGGCAAACTTCCAGAGTACCTTCTCCATGAGAAGTTGGTAAGGTGCCTTCTTAAATACTAGAAAGTATAAACTATTAAGATAATATGAAATAGTTTGAAGTATTGGCAATTTTATTTTGAAGCTACATAATAGTGCCAATTTAAGAACTAATGATTGATGATAAGAAATGACAATCTGAACAAAGAGACTTAGGTTGAGGGAATTATGGTGATGAAAAGAATTAAGTTATCACAGAAATTGTACTTTCTTACCCAATAGCATATAGAACAAGAGTTCTTCAGCTGTTGATGGTTGGATAAGAAACACCCCCCTCCTTTTCGAGAGGGCTGCATTCCAATCCTGCAGGTTATCTAGGTAAGGTGTTCTTGAACTATAAACATAACAATAGTGTGGCAAGTAGCACTCATTGGTTTCTTGCAAAATGTGGCTTTGTTGAGTTTTTAGGAAGGCATTATGCAACTCTTTGCTTGTATAATAAATTCAATAAGCTCACCAATGCAAATATTCCCTGTATTCTGGTTTGCTTGGACTTGGCGCATCAGGATCCACCATAACCTTATAAAAGGAAAACCTTTTATTTTAGCATTTAGACATAGATATCAAGGACTAGTTGCATGCCTTATAGAGGACCTAGGGCATAGCTCAATAAAGCAAACAGAAAAAAAGAGAGACAAAAAGGTATTCTGGAGACCATAAAAAATAAAAACCATATAAGTTTTCACCCTCTCCATGCTAATTATGTGAGGTTTTGTGATAAAATTAAAGTTGTAGAGTGCCTATTAGTGGTTAGAGCAGCACTGTGCAGGGAAGTGGGATCAGCTTAGTATCTTACAGTCTTACTTTTCTACAGTGAGTTCAGGCTGGATATTTTAGTGCGTGATATTTCATGGATAATTTGAAATGTGTGGCAGTGTCTATTGTTGTGGAAAGGATGCTGATATGAGAAAGTATGCCAAATTACCAACTTTAATACAGCAGAGATTCAATTTCTCACTTTAAGTAAATCAGACATGACAGGGCCTTATCCTATCCAATATTCCTGTACCACAGTGTACAAACAAGACAGGGGTGCACAAGTATATTCTAAAGTAGATTGTACCATATGTGTACTTGATCATTACCAAAAGGTTACAATATGATTACTTTTTTAGCAAATACCAGCTGGCATTATGATTTAGTTTTCCTGCCACTACAATATTCTGTGAAACCTAATAAGCTATATCCCTCATATTTCTATTATCGACAGTACCTATGGATCTGTTGAATAATCTATACTTGTGCAAGTTAGATGGCCTTTTCTGGTGAAGCACTAATTAGATCTGTGCATTATTTCTTTAAAACGTAGGGTGCCTGGAGTAACAAACATGTTTCATTAATTAGTGTGCATATGCATGAGTCACTCCATAAGAAATTATCTAATATTCTAGAAAATAAATATTACCTCTTCTGACACGAGAGAAATCTTTTTAACTTGAAGCTTTGTTTGGATCAAAAGTCATTTTCACCTTACCTAACAGAATGGTTCAAAAGACCTGTACACTACTCTGATCATGATCCTACAAATTATGACACTTACAAGTGTGTAGAGCTTCGTTTGGTCACGACCTTCAATCTCAACATGTGGTGCAGTGAAAACAGCAGATGATCGTACTCCAGTTCCATTTGTAATCTCCTTCTCACCATAATTAATCCTCATTGCAGCTGACTTTATGAAAGGATCCAACACATCGCCAATTACCTGGCTCAATGCCAAAGGATCCCTACCTCGTGACATAATTTTATTGATCCTTGGTGAGAAGGGAATTGGGAAATATTCAATAAGGTGGAAGGGCTAGCTAACAAATTTTCTGTGGGAAAGAACAGAGCGGTTCGATGTAAATTTATATTAGGAGTGAAGCATCCACTTTATGTTCACAACATTCCATTGAGCACTATGAGCAAATGGAATCTTGCTTTTTATATAATATTTATTTCCCTTATAGTTGCTTCTGTATTGCATATGGTCTTTGTGATTGATATCTATGGTCAGTTTTTCATGCATATATTCCCCAAAGATCTGGAGGTATGTTTAAAGCTCCAAGAGTTAGCCTCCCCTGCATGGCGCCTTGCCTGGGCTAGGCCAAAGGTTTACGATGAGTCATTTCGTGTTCAATGATACTTCTCTGAGTGGTGAGCACTCAGCTGGAGAGAGAATCTTTTGATCGACATCACAATGCAAGAGTATGAAACCTGGGGAGGTAGAGGCAGGTCATTAGCAATCTTCTTTCTTCTTTTATTTGCTTTTCCTTGACTGTAACGGGAGTATCTAGTACTTCATCCTTCATCCTTTGGTGAAAAACTGCTATCTGGACCTGTTCTACATGACCCTTGCATACTTAACTAAATATAATGATAAAGGCCCTACAAAATTTTCAATAAAATTTTAGCAATTGCTCGTCAAGTTTCTCATATAAATGAGATAAATACGATTCTTACAAGAGTCTCTTTCGACAAAATTGTAACATTTTTCAGTGCAGAGGAAAAAGATTAATGCATGTCTGGGAACAAGTTATTCACTGTGGACACTTCTGTTACAGGTAAGAATTACACATTAGTTTGCCATAATTCCATATTTTACCCAGTGCTGATAAATTTTCTACCATAGCAATGTTATTCTGTGGTATGTCTTCCTGTTTCTGTTTTATACATTCATAATGTATTCATATGCAGGCATGCAGGTACAACTTTCCTTGTCCACTAAATACAGCTGTACAGGATCATTCGGACCAAACAGGAACAGGAAAAGCATCTGCCTTGTTCGAGTTGCAGCATCATTGTCTTGATATCATGAGAATGAGGCCACATTCCATTTTCCTTGCAGCACTTAAAATCCAGTTGCACACAGAAGTTTCACCTTTGATGCTACAAACGGGCATTGGACTTTTCGAAGGACGGAGGATGGATACCATCACACTATGGGGTTGTGTTCAAGAACACCACATGTAGCTGCCTTTGCTCTCCATTCAAAAACATCACATGCGACTGCCTCGGCTCTCCACATAAACATCAATGTCGAGAATGCCATGAAGAATCCATGCAGATTTTAATATTTTTCAGCTGGGAATACAGGTAAGGACCACTGGCTCTTCATTTTGCACCTTTTACTTTTGCATAGGCTTCAGAATAAGTACTCCGTACTGTGCCATACCTTTTTTTGGCACCCTTTTTTTCTGGTCAACATGTAATGGCCTATTTGGAATAAATGAATCCACAGAAAAATTTACAGAGAACAATATAAAACTCCGTTATTCTTACCCATTTACATCTCTTCATCCAAATGGGCCTTAAGGATCATTCATGATAACAAAGCATCATCAGTTTTAGAATAAAAGTAACTTCATGTAGGACAGATTGTGTTTTGACATTTGGATAACTGTTTGGCACGTGTACTTAAAGGCTGACTGACGACATGCTATAATATTGCAATACACAGTGAGGCAAGGAATATACTCGACATCCAAAAATCTTGTTGGAATAAAGGTACAGTCTTCAGATCAGATGAGCATCTCCACCAGGGCACTGCATGGCTGCAACCAGAAAAGCTGAAAGATTAACTTTGAATTGTTGAAAGCTCTTGCATGTCAGTCACAAAAGGGGGGAAAAGGCACCAAGGAATTTCCCCGCACTGCAAACAACCTACACCCAGCTTCTGTGGATGAACTCGTGCCATGCCAGTATGCCACCGTCCCTGCTGCCTCAGGCCCCTCTAGATTGTTCGTGGACCAGCTGGAAACTGTGCTAAAGCTGATCTGATCTCCAGGTGAGAGCTGAATCTATTCTGATGGGGAGCAATCTTATCATTTTGACAGCATGCATCTGAAGGTGCTAGTGGATAAGTGGAAGCTTACTGAATACTCTTTTCTGTAAGTTCTTTTTTTCTTTTTTAGCAGCAAATGCTATGGCGTGCTTTCGATGAGCTTACAGATTTTAACTTTTCTATTGATTCACTTGTTTCACTGGTTTCTCAGGCAAAATTGACCAGTGATGAATCTCTTATAACAGGTGATACATGACAAGCTTCGTTGCTGCAGAAGAATGCAGGGTCAGGTGACCTGGAAAGATTGATGAGAAGAATTTGAGAATCTTGTACAGCAAATTGGATGGAGATAAGGTGAATGGCTGCGGTCCACTTCAAAGGTGAACTGGGACCAGCCGTGCATACAGAAACAACGTCTCTCATTTGTCCCGGTGCCTGCATAAACAATGTGAGCGTGAACGTCAAAGTGAAGCTCAACACAGTTCTTCTGATACTCTCTCTTGTTGGTCCATATTATAAGGTGTTCTGTTTTTCATAAGTCAAACTTCTCCAACATTGATCAAGTTTATGAAAAAAACACATCAATCTACAACATTAGATTAGTTTATTAAATCCACCTTAAAAAGGTTTTGATAGTGTATTGGACGTATGTATTATACTACCTATGTTTTAGATTATAAGACGTTTTAACTTTGGTCAAAGTTAAATTGTTTTAAGTTTGACTAAGTTTGTAGAAAAAAATAATAACATTTTTAACCCAAGATAAATTTATTATGAAAATATATTCACTTATTAATTTAATAAAACTAATTTGGTATTATAAATATTACTATATTTGTCTATAAACTTAGTCAAACTTAAAATAGTTTGACTTTAACCAAAGTCTGAAACGGAGGGAGTAGATATTAATGTATTTTTTTTTGTATAAACACCTTACAGTACAGGATGGATAGAATACATTTGTTCTTATTGATGGATTGATTATTCGTTCCATGGATGTGTGAATTGGGTCCAGTTAGTTTGCAGTTCTAATTAGATGGCAAAGATAGAAGCATAAAGTGGCCCAAACCCAATTTTCAGACAGCACCATGGGCGGCTCGACTGGCCCAACGAGTAGAGTAATCTGGGTTAAAAAAAAAACAACTTTTAAAACCAGTTTATAAATTCCAATTGCATATTGAGAGCCTTTTTTTTTTACACAATATACTCTTGAGAGCATGATTGGAACCTTGGATAATCCATTTGGTCTTCGTTCCCTAATCTGTACGCTAATCATGCAATTAAGAGAGAGACTCAAAGCGAATGTGCTATCATTCGGAGACATGGCCACTAACTAAAGGCCGTTTGCCGTTACTAAACTACTACTAATGCAAGTACATATCCAGATATCCTTCTGGTACACCAGCACACGCATCATCTGAACATAATAATTTGATAATGACCATCTTATATATATTTTAAAATAAGGCAATGGTGATAGGTACACCCAAACCGTACCAGCTCCCTCGCAAAATCCACCTGCCTGCACTGCACCAATATGCCTAAGCTGGAAAGCCACATGAACAAACGGAACAAACAATGACCCATTCCTGCTGTGCCGCCGCGGCGAAGCAAGCTAGAAAAGCCGGCGAAACGGCCAAGCAAAACTAGTGCCGCGTCTGGTGCACTCACGCCGTGTTTAGTCTAAAATAATTCTTCAAACTTCCAACTTTTCCAACACATCAAAACTTTCTTATACACACAAACTTTTAACTTTTTCGTCACATCGTTCCAATTTCAACCAAATTTTTAATTTTGGTGTGAACTAAACATAGCCTCAGTTATCAAAACAACTACGTTCCTGTAGGTCCCTGTCACTCGGATGGACATTAATTTAGAGTATTAAATATAGACCACTTACAAAACTAATTACATAAATGAGAGCTAATTCGTGTGACATTTTTTTAAACCTAATTAATCCATAATTAGCACATGTTTACTGTAGCATCACGTAGACTAATCATGGATTAATTATGCTCAATAGATTATCCCGCGAATTAGTCCAGGGCTATGGAATGGGTTTTGTCAATAGTCTACGTTTAATACTTCTAATTAGTGTCCAAATATCTAATGTGACAGGGACTAAAAATTTTTAAGTCCCATCCAAACAGCCCCTAAGTGCACAGTCTATTTTACATGGTAAAAATTTATGACGGTCCATTACAATTTTGTAGTAGCTTGAATAGTAAATGTGTTAGTTTGGTTTGATGCCAAATTTGGTAATACCTATATTCAAAATGGTACAATTCTAAAACTTTGTTCACCATAATATAAATTTTAGCTCTCAAACTTATCCACTTTCAAAACTACTCTACCATAACATTGGATTTTACCACTATCAATATTTTAGTACGATACTAAACCAAACAAGTTATTTGCCTCATGTTCAAGCCATTGTCTATGTTGCCCGAGGTCTGAGTTCCTCAGGATGTGTAAAAGAAAAACATAAACTAAAAAGAAGGGAGAGGTAGGGAGTGTTTGAGATATGAGAAAGGGAAAGATTAAGTAGATACGTAAAACGAGATAAGTTATCAGCGTATAATTATTAAGTACTCCCTCCGTTCCAAAATATAGTAACCTAGGATCGGATGAGATGTATTCCAGTAATACGAATCTAGATAGGGGGCATGTCCAGATATGTAGTACTAGGACACATCACATCCGGTACTAGGTTGCTATATTCTGAGACGGAGAGAGTATTAATTATTCTAAATTTAAATTGTGGTTAAGATGATTTTTTTAAAACATACTCCCTCCGTCCAAAAAAAGACAAACCCTGGGTTTCCGTGTCCAACGTTTGACTGTCCGTCTTATATGAAATTTTTTTATAATCAATATTTTTATTGTTGTTAGATGATAAAACATAATTAATACTTTATGCGTGACTTGTTTTTTTAATTTTTTTTTATATTTTTTTTAAATAAGACGGTTAAACATTTAACATGAAATCGGTCGTAGCAGTTAAGAGCAACCAACAAAACACAAGAGGAGACCAAATCAAGCGCGACAGCTAGGCGTGTACAGCCCCCCGTACAGGCGTGCAGCCAGCGCGACGCCCCCCTGTGGTGCGCTGGTAGTTCAGCCTTCGCGCGCGGGCGGCAAAACACGGCACGCCACGCCAATACGTGCGCGCGTCCCGCGCCGTCACGCCGTGCCGTGACGCCGCCCGCTGTCGCTCGCGCCGCGTCCGCGTGGTGTGTCTTTCCCCTCTCGCGAAGCGAAGCGAAATACAAAGACACCCAAACCCCCACCACCACGACGTCTCGTTCCCTCGTACTAGCTCGTCTCGTCTCTTCTCTACCCCAATCCCGTTCTCTCCCTTTCCCCCCACCCCACCCCCAACCCCGTGCCGCGGCCTCGCCGATCGATCGATCGTGCGCTCCACCTCCTCGAGCTCCCTCCCTCGCCGCCGCCGCCGCCGCGCGCCGCCGGTTCGACGCCTTCTTCGCGCTCTCAGGTGAAATCATCTTCTCTCTCAGGTTCAGGAATGAATGCGTGGGGGATGGGGGTTGATCGGTTTCGGCTAGGGGGTGCTGGATTGGTGGGTGGGGGGTGGCGCAATGCTGCTGCGGCGGGGTGGCGTTTTTGCCGGGTCGAGGCGGGCGGAATTGTGGGGAATTTTTTTTTTTTGCGTGCGCAATTTTGGCGTGGCTCGGGATGATGGCTGGGTGGCGTACGGCGGCGTGAGCTAGGGGGAACTCGCAGCGGCGCCGGGGGTGGGTTTCGGTGGTGGTTTGTGTGAGTCATTTGTCTCATCGAGCTCCAAGTTTGGAGGTGGTGTTATGCTGTTTTAGCACTGGAGGTTTTGTAGTACGGACTTGCTTGGATGTGGAGGATATGGTCATGTTTTTGTTGATTCCCGGAGGCCACCTCTTGTTTCTGATTTCCTTTTGGTTTGTGTCATTGGTTCATCAGGTAGCGGTAGACACTGAACATGATGATTCAATTGGTGTGACGGATGAGTCTGGTTGGCCATGCATAGAATTAGACAGGCGGATGCGTAGGTTAGTAAAATATCCATGTGAATGAAGCTGAGCGACAACTGAAACAAAAATAAATGCAGGACCAAACTTGATGTTGATTGGGACATAGGCATGTGAAATTTGCCCATGTTCACAGGATGAACGGCAGAAACCCAGAAAAGAACATAAAAATGGAACATGAAAATGATAGTTCACTTGCTTGGGTGGTTGGCAATCGGCAGAAGAGGATGCAATCCCTCTCCCTTAATCGCACTGCCTATCCATGATTAATGTCCATGTGCTTCAGTACTAGATTTTTTTTTTAATTTGGACCACTTCAGTTCTGATTATGAGTTTTGTCATTGAAGTATTAATGTTCTTAGCTGTATCGGTGCTAATGTGCTGTCTTTTCCTCCTTTTCTGAACTTAAGGCATAGAAAAGAGGAAGAAACAAAGGATACATCATTATGTTGCGACGCTGGTTCTGCTGCACTCAGTTTCACGCACCATATCGTGAACACGAAAATGAATTTCCTGACATCCCAGAGGAGAAAGAAGGTATCTTTCTTATTGAGCGCCCCTCCTTATTCTTTTTCCTTTTTTGAGCAGCTATCTTCAAGTTTATGGTATTGTATGGTCTCAACTCCCAAGTAGTCAAGTTGAGGAAAAAATTGCTGAGGTGTTCACATCATCATTGTTCATTCTATATGAACTAAACTTTAGTCTGTCCAAGGTTGCTATACTAGATGTCAGTGCATTTTCAGCATAGTTGTCAGAACCATTCTTTTTCCCCCATGGCCTTATCAGTTGAACTGCACAATTCCTTGCATGGTAGTAGTATTTTTATCTTGATTTTCTTTAATGCTAAAAACAAGGTCTTGTATTATATATCCGCGAATGCTTCATATCCTGTTGTATTTTTGCCTTTGAGACCTAAACCTATTTGTCAACATTTGGCTAGCAGGAAATGGTTTTGCTCCCAAAAGTGATGATCCCACAAAAGCACCTCCTCCCATTGAAGTACCAGAATTATCATTTGATGAACTGAAAGAGAAAACTGATAATTTTGGTTCAAAGGCTTTAGTTGGTGAAGGATCATATGGAAGAGTGTATTATGCTACTCTAGACAACGGAAAGCAAGTTGCTGTTAAAAAGCTTGATGCTTCAACAGAACCTGAGGTTGATAATGATTTTTTGACACAGGTATGGTTAATGATTATATAATCATATGCAGCTCTTGCCAATTATATGCATTCTGCTATTCGATGTTTGGAATAAGGTTTTACTCTAAACCTTACTTTTCATTTCTATTGGCATAGGTGTCCATTGTGTCAAGATTAAGACATGAAAATTTTGTGGAAATGCTTGGTTACTGTGTGGAAGGAAATCAGCGCCTAGTGGCCTACGAATTTGCTACGATGGGTTCTCTGCATGATATTTTGCATGGTATGAGAAATATGCCTTTACGGTAAAAAAATGCCATCGTATCTCACTAAACACATACAAGCCTTTTAATATAATTGTGTATATAATATAGATACTTCAAGGTTTAAGTTGGTTGCCTGTTTCTTTTGTAATAACTCAAAATAATTCATATATAGCAGTGCTCTGATATTGTTTTTGTTTTTCACATCCTTGTCATACATAAGGAAGAAAGGGTGTCCCTGGTGCACAACCTGGCCCAGCACTTGACTGGATGCAGCGAGTGAGAATTGCTATTGATGCTGCTAAAGGGCTAGAATATCTTCATGAGAAGGTCCAACCTTCTATAGTCCATCGGGACATACGCTCTAGCAATGTTCTTCTATTTGAGGACTACAAAGCAAAAATTGCAGATTTCAATCCTTCAAATCAGTCTCCTGATATGGCTGCTCGTTTGCACTCAACTCGTGTCCTTGGAACCTTCGGCTATCATGCTCCCGAGTAATTGCTCTACTCAAGTACTTGAATAGTTTATGCATTTCTTTTTTTTCCCAAGCAAAATATTTAATCACCTTTTTTGCTATAATAGATTACTCTGTAATATATATTGCTAGAAGATGATAGTGTTCTGCCTTCAATATTTTGTACTGTTGATTGCGTGGCTGTAGCATCCAGGCAATTCTTAAATATAGCTAAACAAGACCAATAGTTCTATGAATAACTGAAGTTCCCATTATTTGTTACCATGCTTGTTAATCATTCACTCAGTCATGTATCCTTTGTTCTCACTCCATGCAGGTATGCCATGACTGGCCAGTTGACTCAGAAAAGTGATGTATATAGTTTTGGAGTTGTTCTTCTAGAGCTTCTAACAGGAAGGAAACCAGTAGATCACACAATGCCTAGGGGTCAGCAGAGTCTGGTTACATGGGTAAGCATTTTATTTGTAAATTTACTACAATATTTAACATGAGAGCTGTTTGCCTCAGCTATTGGTAAAAGGAGAATTACTTTGTTGATAAGATCACTCTAGAATAAAACGAAGAAAAATGTGGTCTTAATAACAAATTACTAGGCATCCAGCTCAGATGGACTGAAGTTAAGGTTTTGAATGGTACTTCAAAGAATCTCTCAGACTAGACTTTGCACGTTAATGATTCTTCATTCAACAAGGCTTTCAAACCAAACAGAATTTTATTGTCCTTTGAGAAACTATACTATTTTTACTGTCACTGTGCATAGATGCTATTCTATCGTGTTATGTAACACACCATTCTAAGTTGTGTACAAGCTGCTCTGCATATTTCTGATTAGCTCTTGTTACTACTTATTTTGTACGCAGGCAACACCTCGTTTGACAGAGGACACTGTGAAACAATGCGTTGACCCGAGACTGAAGGGCGAGTATCCCCCAAAAGGGGTTGCCAAGGTCTGCCTCCCTCCTCCCTTCCCTTTAAATGCACAAGCACTCTCTTGTATGGTCACTGTGTGGAGCCAAGCAACATCGTAACCAAAATTTGAGCCCAATGGTTTCCATCTGTTTATTGCAGCTCGCAGCGGTGGCGGCACTCTGTGTGCAATACGAGTCTGAGTTTAGACCAAGCATGAGCATTGTGGTCAAGGCACTCTCCCCTCTTCTCCAGCATAAACCGCCACCGCCACCAGCCGTTGCTCCTGAGACCTGAGCTCCAGATTCAACTGCTTCTTATGCTTTTACTTCCGAGTTTCAACATGGATGTAAAGAGGGATGGAATTTCTTCATCGGTCCCTGTCGTTACTGTTTCATGCTTGCCAATTGGTTACCATGCCGTTTAAGTACTGGTCCTGTGAGCTTTACAATAGATTTTTGGTGTTTACACTCGGAGCTTTCCTTGTCATTCCTTTCATGTGTGCTTATGCTGAGTGCTGTGCTGCCTTCGTTGGTCGGCAAAGTTGTGTTTTTAGCTGCCCAGCGGTGGTGATCACCGAATAATCTTGTTCTGAGTTGAACTGTGACATGGGAAGGTTCTAAATCTAACTGTTCATGGCTTGACATGCTTTCGGTGTGTGCCTACGTGAGAGGATGATGGTTCTTCACTTTGTTAACATGTGAGTTATGAATGGATGCTTTTGGCTTGCTACAAATGTGAGTTGAGGCTAAATGCTCGTCACAAATTGAGGTTGACCAGCTAAAACATGCAAGTTTTGATAATTGATAACCTGTACGCCATGCGGATACAGCGACTTGAAGTTGCCCATCAACGAAACCGGAATCAATGATTTGCCACTATAAAGATTTGTCATTTTTATTGCATGTCATAGTGATAATTGTTGGGCTGAACTAAATCCACAATGTGCAAATGTAAATTTATCAGCCGGTAAATATAGGACACAACTACATATCGACCTGTTGTTGATTTGGTTAAAGCAACGACCACTTCATCCCATGCATAATAAATCCTTCTTTAGCTTAAAAAAAATGCAATGGTAGGTGCTATCTTTTTAAAAAACTTCTTCGATGACTTCTATCTTAGGATCTATTTTTAGCATTATACTCCAATCAAAATATGTGACAAAACAAGATCAATGTTGAATGTATTTAAACATTTTATTTAATAATTTGAATATATTCAATATTAGTCTTATATTTTGTCACATATTTTAAATAGAGTATGATGGTTCAAATGGATCTTACAAATAATATACGATCTAAAAAATATTCCTATATCATAAAAGACTAAAAAAAACTAATATAACGGTATGTTAGCCTCAGTAGCATGCACGTGAATCGACATGACAACTAACAACTAGCCGATAGTGTGTGGTTCTCTTTTTCTAGCAAGTGGTCTCGTTTATCTATTTGTCCGTACAACATCTACGTGTTTGTATCTCAGCCATCATTAACTGATTGAATGGTTTATAAAAGGGTCTCTAGATACAACCAAATAGAGAACGCATCTCACAAGGGTGAGGTAATCTTCACTACTCCCTCTGTTTTACAATGGAAGTCATTTTAACGTTTTCCGCATTTATATTTAGATTGATTAACATCAATATAAATGTGGGAAATGGTAGAATTACTTATATTGTGAAACGGAGGAAGTATATTGATTAATAGACAAATCAACGATTCATATAGACTAAACTCTTACGAGTAAATCGCAATGAGTCAAGTACAAAGCTCCACGTGAAGAGAATTTAAGTAGACCAACAACAATAATGACACACATGAGTACGCAGTACTCTATGGCAAACACTTCGGTCCGATCCGGTCCGGTCCGCGCCGCAAACACGTCGATGGTTCGACCGCAACCGGGTGACCCCTGCTCCGACCAGGCCACCCCCGTTCTCCTCCCCGCCGCCGCCACCGGCGCCTCCCGCTCGTCCCCGGCCGGCGAGTCGCGTAGGAGGGAAGCGCCACCGGCGGCGGCCGCGGCGAGATGAGCGGCGGCAGCGGCGGCGGCGCCGCGAGCGCGGTGTTCTACGCGGAGAAGTACCACCCGATCCAGGCGGGCAGCATCGACGGCACCGACGTCGCCCCCCACGACAACGCCGTCCTCCGCGCCCTCCTCTGCTCCACCGCCGGCCTCTGTGCGTGCTCTCCTCCCCCTCCTCCTCCTTTTGCTCCACGCGGAGAAGAGCGCGAACGCCGCCGCAGCTCCCTCACTGACTCGGTTGGGGTTCGGTTTCCGATTTTCGTTTTCAGATGATCCGTTCGGGGACCCCAAGGCCACCGGCGACCCCTACTGCACGGTGTTCGTCGGGAGACTCTCCCGCTACACCGACGACGAGACACTCCGGAAGGTGCGCGGATTCCCTTTGGTGTGTGTTGTACTATTAGCTTTGCTCGTTTTCTCATGGCTGGAGTTGTTGTTTCTCGTTGTGTATGTGAGAGAGCAGGAGATGAGCAGATATGGGAGGGTGAAGAGCATGCGGCTGGTGCGGGATATTGGTGAGTTTAACCAATGTGATTCATGAAAACGTTGCTTTTACTTTTTGAAGCATGGTTCATTTGTAATTGTAATGGTTATTGAACATAGCATCCATACAATTTATATTATGCCAATGCAAATTGACGTTGTATTCTGCGCGGTATTGATAACACATTGGAGCATTGATATATAAGAAAATGGGAAGTGCTGTCCTGAATTTTGGAACTGTACCTTTAGCGGCTATTGAGTTGTCGGTAGGCAGCAAATAGCAGTGCTTCACTGGAGCAACATGCCAGCATCTCATCCTTTTTCGCTTTTGCAAATTCAGTTTTTACTAACCGAATTACTTGATTTTCAGTTACTGGTGCTTCTCGTGGCTACGCATTTGTTGAGTATGAAACTGACAGGGAGATGCGCCGTGCCTATGAGGTTATATGATGTTCTTATTTCTACTGCCTGTTTGTTTCCTTCTTAATTCTTAGTACACTTGAAATATAAAAGAATACATGTTACTTTTGGGTCTATAGGATGCACACCATTCCATTATTGATGGCAGTGAAGTGCTTGTAGATTACTACAGGCAACAACTTATGCCTGGATGGATACCGAGGAGATCAGGTGTGGTTCTCTGCCGAAGTTTTATGCAGAGCTAAAAATACTTGAGATGGTTTTCATACTACTTTTATTTATCATTTTATAGGAGGAGGGCTTGGAGGGAAGAAAGAATCTGGCCAGCTTCGATTTGGAGGTCGAGAGAGGCCATTTCGTGCTCCCTTGTATGAACCCAAACTCTTGTTGCAGTCCAATATTTCTCATGTAAAGAATCATAGAAGAAGTTGCTTTGGAGTTTCTAGACATAAAGTAACAGCATGTTGTACTTCTGTAAAACACAGGAGGCCAATTCCGTATGATGAACTGAAAAGGCTTGGGATCCCACCACCACCTGAAGGGCGATACATGACACGTTATCAGGTAGTTCATCACTTCTAGAGGGACAGGCTATTTGACTTTTTTTTTATTTACATGAAGTATTATTGCAACCGTCATTTATGGTTTCAAAATTTCATCATTTAACAAAAACTTGTTGCATTCACCTCTGTCATGGTAAGAAACAAAGAAATGTGTTATTCACGAGTGAGCATAAGGAAATGATATGAGGTTGAAACTTGGAGCGATTGGCTAGTGAGAATAGCAGACTGTTGCCCTGAAGATAAGGGCATAGGAAGTACCATGTTCTTATGTGAATCACAGTCACATCACTTTTGCACAAACTGTTTAGCTCAACCCACATGGGGGTGATGGGAGCATTAGTAGCTTATTTGATGCAGTAGTATCTGTTCACAGCCTCGCAGGCACAACTGAACTTTCTAGTCACTTTGCTATCCAATGAAGTTGGAAGTGTTTCATTATGCTTGCTTACTGCCATGAAGTGACACTGTACTCCCACTATCACAGGTTCCCCCACCACCAAGACGAAAAAGCAGTGATATCTACAGGGAAGAGTCACCTCCCAAGAGAAGATCCAAAGACAGGGTTGATAGCAGTCACTACAGAAGATATTGTAGCCCAACCCAAGACGACGACAGCACGGTCAGCACCCATAGGCGGAAAGGTAGCCATGACCGGCGAGAAGAAACCGAGAGGAGGACAAGAGCATATATCAGCAGAGAGGCCGGCAGCTACAGTAAGCGGAGCCCAACCGAAGACGATGGTGATCGTCGTAAGAGGAGAAGAAGCCGAGAGCCTGGAGAATTATCTCCATACAAGGAGGATGATGATAACAGCAAAAGAGGAAGAAGTTCAGTGGAGCCAGGCTTCAGCCCTTATCAGTCTCATCACCACAGGCATCACAGGGAGCGTCATGACAGCAGCAGCCATTCTCGCCACGGTGAACGTCGGCATCAAGACGACCGTGGAAACCACTCCAGGAACAGGAGATCAGAGAGCCGGGACTACAGCCACTAGAGGTGTCGAGTCCATGGTGGGTTCCTAGTGTTTTAACCTGAATCCCTGGCTGCCTGTTCGCTGCTTCAACTCATGTATATGATCTAGTTTTCTCAGGCGTCCTTGCCTTGGGTTGCCTGTGTAGTGAGGGCTACTAAACCTGAAGTTTCGACTTTGGAATACATGAATTAATAGAATTCATGATTTAGTTCAAACCTACCTATAAAATTCTTTCATTAAAGCCTTATTCAGTTAATCCCTTGTCCAAGGAGGTTGAGAGGGACTGGAATTAATACTCCCTTATCCACTCCAATCACTTGGTCATTGGGACTAAACAAACAAGCCTAGAGTAAGCCTAAGCGATTGTGGAAAATCCAAATAACTCCATATAAGTTGCTGGTCTTTTCATTCTCTCCCTACAACTTAATTTCATACAAGATATTCTTCATAAGTTCTTTTTCTTTTCAATTTCCCCCATTTGTCTTGTTTCTAGTGATTCTCGTCATGCTCATCGATTTCTCACATCCTATGCACCTCCCGCATGGTGAGTGAATTCCTCCTTTGTTCTTTATTGTTGGGAATTAGATTTAATACACCTTATATGTAATACGTGATCGCTGTCGTGTTTTATCGCCGTACCTAAGAAAAAATTGAAGTATGCAAAAGCAAAAGGAGAGGTATCTTTGGTGACAGAGGCAACTTATTTACCTCACCATAATGCTCATAAGGCACAAGAAATTGCCGAAAACTGAATAGTGGTGGGAAGTTGGAAGAGAAAATGAACTTACGAGAATACAAGGAGAGTGTGTTTGGATAATGGAAAATAGAGGGTGGGATTGGGATTGGGAAATGAATGAAGGGTTAGGATTAAATGAAATAGGGAGAATGAATGTTTAGGATTTAAAGATGTCTTTTGGTGGGTGGGAAATCACTTCCATTTCCCATTAGCCAAACATTGCCGGAGTGTTTTGCACGAAATTACCTTATAGGGGAGATTTAGGATGTGTTCGGTTGGAGGGATTTTCTAAGTTTGTTTGGGTCGAGTCCATTTTCATAGATGTTTGGTTGTGAGATTAGGTATGATAGGATAATTCCAAAAGAGAATATATTCCACTAAAAAATGGGTTGAGTTAATCTAGAAAAATGTGACGGACCACTCATATCTGTGTATAGCAATCCGTATGAGCATGAAACTCTACACAAGAGCTCTTCGCATCATTTTCTTTTTTGACTTTGTTCGTAAAAACAATGCTCCTGTTTTTTATATCCTTTTAAGCATAAAACGTGTACCACTGGAATAAAAAATGTTTGAAAATAAGTGTACATTTTTCCAAGAAAAAAAATCTTTCACGCGCCACGATACAAATAACTCGAAAATCACAGCCAAGAAAAAAAAAAGCAGCTCACACGCACGCGTGAATCACATCGCCCCGTTTCCATTTTCCAACACTAGTCCACTTAACCACCGCTTCCTTCGCCTTCCAAAACAAAAGGAACCCCACCACCGCTCTTCCGCGCTTCGCTTCTCTCGCCGTCTCGCGGCTGCGCGGCGCGGCGCTCTCATCCATCCCCTCCTCCCGCTTCCCCCACCCGCCGCCCGATCTCGACGGCGGATCGCCCCGGGATGGGCTCCGACGAAGACGAGCTGCTCGACGACGAGGAGTACTACTACTACTGCAGCGACGGGGAGTGTAGCGGCGGCGGGAGCGGGAGCGACGAGGATGAGGAGTTCGGGGGCCGCGGGAGCGACGAGGGCTGTGAGGCCGACGAGGTCGTCTCCACGCGCGAGCAGGTGCTGTCTGTGAATTGCGATCAATGCCCTTGCGTGTTTCGTTCCGTCGTTCAAATGAGAGAGGCCCCCCCTTTTCGGATTTCTGGATAGCGAGTGGCGCTGCTGTTGTGGTGATGGTGATTTGTGGCTTTGATGCTGATTCGGTTTTGGGTGCGAGAATCCTGCGTGTTCTGTGGTAATTCGACGTTCTGAGCGACAGGTGCAATGCGATGTACGAGTGGTTTATGCTTGTATGGTGATGGTGATTAGTGTCTTTGATGATGATCGGTTTTGGGATCAGAAACCCTCGCGTATTCTGTGGTCATTTGATAGAATTTCTGGGAAACAGGTGCAATGCGATGGTGGTGTGCTTAGAGTCGCAGCGAAATTTGTTCATGGCTTCTCTGCTTTACAGATAGCAAAACGTTTCATCCTTCGGGGAAAAAAATAGCAAAACATTTACCAAGATCTCAATAGATTATAGATATGATGTTTTCTCTTCATAAATTGTTTCGATAGCTTGGATGGTTGTTTACTCTACAGATTGAGAGTTTGAGACTGCTATTTTCCTTCTCTGCATTGTATGTCATTAACGTAATTGTGTTTTGGTCCTTTTGTTCATGCTGCCCTGCCTTTCTGTTTCTCTATTCTTAATTCTTGTATACTTGGTGTCAGAACTAACTCAAAATCTCAAATGGGCCTCTTCTGTGTTCATTTTCTTATGAACAGAGATATGTTGTGTTGACCGAAGATGATATACGCGAGCGACAAGAGGAAATGATAAGCCGTGTGTCTGCAATATTTTCAGTTCCAAGGGAATCAGCATGCGTCCTCCTTCGTCACTACAAATGGTCAGTGCCGCCGCTCCAGCAGCTCGTCCTTTCTGAACACACTCTACTGTTTTATTTCCGTTGTAGTGAATTTGAGAAGCCCATCTCATGTATCTCTTGTTTACAAGATGTACTGCAAATGCTTTGTGTAGTTATATGTATATGTAATAGCATTTTCTTACTGCTGGCCTGCCACAAAGGTAGGATGCTTTTGAGCTAAACTAGAAGATCCTTTTCTATGTTAACAATGTATCTTCATTTTGTTGTTCAGGAGTATTAGCAAGCTAAGTGATGACTGGTTCGCAGATGAAGAAAATGTCCGCCGTTCTGTTGGCTTGCCATCAAATGTTGTTCATGTTCCTGACTGTCCTGAGGTAGAATTACATTCCTAAAAGATATGGAGCTTCATTGGGTTTTTTTTTATCATATTGTATCATATCTGGTTTGAATTGGTGACTAATGTAGTTAACTGCATGTTGTAATTTCTATTTGTTTCTTTGGTTGCAGCTAACTTGTGGAATATGTTTTGAAGGATGTGCTGCAAATGCAATGAGCTGTGCTGGTTGTTCCCATTTCTATTGTCATGAATGTTGGGAAGGTCTATCTGTCTCTCTCTCTCTCTCTCCATCACTCATTTTTACATTATAAGTTCTTTGTGACTTCAAGATTTTGTTATTTTACTTGTAACATTACGAATTGATTGCTATTGTAACTATAACAAATTGATAGATGACTTTGTTGTTCTCACTTTCAGTAGTTTGTAGCATTCTTGTTCTTAAAAGAATTCTGAAATTTATGGTGCTAAAATGAGGTAAATTTTCAGGGTATATTAGTGCTGCAGTAAATGATGGTCCAGGGTGTTTGGTGTTGCAGTGCCCTGAACCATCTTGTGATGCAATCGTTCTTGAAGATATGATTAATAGTCTGACGAAAGATGAGGATAAAGTAAAGTATGCACGATTTGTATTATGGTCATATATTGGAGTTAACAACAAGGTAATTCTTTAAAGTACTCAGCGCTCATAATGGTTCACATTATCGTTCTCCCAATTATGTTTATTAAACCTTACTGTATTGCCCATCAGATAGTAGTACTATTTACTATTTACTATATAGTTGGTATATACTTGCTTATATTTATGCCAAGTGTCACCCCAAATGGTTTTCAAAAAAACATATTTCTGAAGTAATAAAAATTAATTCCTGCAGATAAAATGGTGTCCAGCTCCTGATTGTACCTGTGCAGTTGAGTTTCTTGGTGATGGTAACTATGATGTCTCATGCAAATGCAAATTCAGTTTTTGCTGGAATGTCGGTATTTCTTTATTTATTTATTTACTTGTATACCTTTCAGATTGATTGTTTGATATTACCAGTTAAATCTTTGGTAAATGCAGTGTGCAGAGGAAGCTCATCGGCCAGTTAGCTGTGACACAGTCTCAAAGTGGATACTAAAGAACAGCGCAGAATCTGAAAACATGAATTGGTTTGTCGCACACATAATTTCCTTTTCATTCTTGTATTTGATAGTATGTCTTGTACTTTATTCTTTCCATCTTGAATATTTCTTGTGTAAAATACTTTTTTTCTTTTTAATTTCCTAAGTTCATAAGGAAAAACTGGAAGCTGTTTCTCAAGTGTTGTTTTCTCCCCCAGGATATTAGCTTATTCTAAGCCCTGTCCGAAATGCAAACGACCTATAGAGAAGAATCAGGGATGCATGCATATGACATGCACTCCTCCTTGTAAATTTGAGTTTTGCTGGTAAGCTTCCCTCTCGGCATATTTGTTTTGATGGTGATTGTGTACATTTTGCATTGAAATTGTTTATCTTTGGTCTGATTTTCCATGGTTGCAGGTTATGCCTAGGTGCATGGTCAGATCATGGAGATGGGACTGGTGGCTTTTATGCTTGCAATCGTTATCAATCAGCAAAGATGGGAGGCATGGTATATTTCATCTTGGATACTGTATTGTGCAAGAAGAATCGTGATTTTTACCTTGCTAGAATAAGCTTTTCTATTGCTACCTATTCATGTGTTTGCTCTAGTCTTTTATACTACTTTGCTGTGTATTTAATTTATTTGTTTTCCTTCATGCCAATAATCTCTTGTAATGTTTTCCTCATGTTTCAGTATGATGAGGCTGAAGCAAGGAGAGAGAGAGCTAAAAATTCGCTTGAGAGATACATGCATTATTATGAGCGCTGGGCGTCCAATCAAACAGTATGTCTAGGATCCAGTCACTTTACATAGTCTTTATCTGATTTTTTATGGTATTCATGCTTCTACATGCCCTTTTGATTTTCATATGGACCATGTAATGTGTATAGTAAGCTCATTAGGTTGGAGACTTTTAGTTTTGCTGACTGGAAGGATCTAATTTCATGTTGCTGCTGCAAAGTACAGCGTCTGGCACTAATGTCCTTGGCAAATCAGTTGTCTACTTACTTTTCATTTTATATTTACCATCCAATATTATGAGTGGTAAACACATACACAGTGCTTTATTTTATATTTATCTTTCTCATACTTTCATAACAATTTTCCACAATGCTGTATATTTCCATTCAATTTTCGCATACATAATGTGAAGGGTCTGCCATAAATTTACATTTTAGCTGTACTTTTATGTATGATACATTTTCTGTTTTCTTTTCCCTGTTGGCAGTCAAGGCAGAAAGCACAAGCAGATCTGCAAAAAGTTGAAAATGAAGATGTAAGTTTTACATTGGACCATGTGTACAGCATTTGTGGGTCATAGCAGAAGTTTGATTTTATTAATACTTGTAGCAAAACTCACTGTTTTGGCAGTCCTTTTATCAGTTGTAAATACTTTTAGTTTGGACTTCTGTGATGTTTCAGTTTTGCGTTTGACTATTTTCTCATGTGTATAGCTTACAAAGTTAAGTGATGTTGTTGGTATACCAGAGACCCAACTAAAGTTCATACCTGAAGCTTGGTCACAGGTTAGATATTATAAATCATTTTCTATTGCCCATTGACTGTTTATGTAATTTACATGTTCATTATTCGTTGTGACAGATCATAGAATGCAGGCGAGTGCTGAAATGGACATATGCTTATGGGTACTATCTACACAACAAAGCGAAGAGTGATTTTTTTGTGTACCTCCAAGGTAGTAGATAATTTCTGCCTTGCCAAGTAGGCGCTTATGCATACTTGACGGCTGTACATGTTTTAAAATTTATAGGTGAAGCTGAGTCTGGTTTGGAGCGTCTTCATAAATGTGCCGAGAAGGATATGCGTGAATTTTTACCTACAGCGGATTCCACTCAACCTTCTCTTTCATTGCAAGACTTCGGTGAATTTCGTGTGAAGCTTTCTGGTCTAACAAGGTATTGCAGAGATATCTTCACTCATCATCACTTCAGTGAATTTTTGTGAATGTATTTGCCGTTAATTTTGTAATTTACTTGGATCTGAAGGGCACACGCTTGCTCCAACCATCACTGTTATCCTTGCAGTGTCGCTTGCTTCATGCATGATGCAAATGTATATTTTCCAAATATCCATGAACTGCTCAATATGTCACTATGCAGTGCCAAATTTGCTTGATCATTTTATTCACTATAAGACTTGCATGTTTATGAGTATGTACAGCAACTAAGCCTTTTTGAGAACATGATCTAAGCTAAATATTTCATTGCAGCGTAACCCGCAACTACTTCGAGAACCTTGTTCAAACACTGGAAGCGGGTCTGCAGGATGTCCGCGCTACAGACCAATCAGCTTCAGTCAGTACCTCCAGCTCCAAGAAGCCTCCCACCAACACCAAGGGGAAGTCAGGGCGGAGTAAGGTGGCGAGAACATCGCAGGAGCGCTCAGGCGACAGATGGCCATGCGACCGCTGCACTTTCATCAACCCGTCCTCTACGAACTCATGCAACATGTGCGGCAGGAACAAGCCCCGCCGCAGATAGGAAGATTGGTCAAAATGCAGTTGTGCAAAGGAACACCTTCTCACTGGGATTCTGGTCGAACAAAGTGGTGCTCATTTGGCCCAACACTCTGGTGCTATGAACATGAAGCAGACTCTCCCAGGGATCTGATGATGCTCAGAGGAGATGTAAGAAACGAACAATCTCAGGAATGCAGCGCAAGAGGCTTGGACAAAATTAGGTAGTAGTAAAACATATATGCGTGTGTGTTGTTAGCTGTAAATATTACTTCATGGAGAAAATTAGGAAAGTACCAGCCTGGAAAATCTGCGAGTTATAAAATAGGATTGCATGTGAGAATGACATGTGGGGTCCTCACATGTGATTGTATTTTTCAACTTCGTGAATTCAGCTATGGTTCAAATTAAAATTGGCCTGTATGGATGAGTGGTTCCATTAAATTGGCCTTTGCTGTATTCTGCTCTCAGATTGGAAAAGCTTAACTGTTTAAGTTTGGTGATTTCAATTCTGACCTGTAAATTGTCCTCTATTTTTTTTTACAGCCGTGGAAACAAATTCTTATGAGAAAGCCCATTTTGCCCTTTGTGCTTCAGAACATCGAGCCTACAGGACGATGACTCCACACGGATCTGACGACCGGAGCTCAGATGATGGGAGGAGCTGGTCAAGGGCACACTTCAGCCTGCAAGTGGGGTGGGTCGACCCGTTAGGTCCGTGGCCCGAACCTAAATTTGTGGCACTAATAGGTTTTCGGGCCGGCCCATATTTTCTTAGGTGACAATGGGTCCAGGAGTCAGTTGACCCTAGGGGTTTTTGGGTCGGCCTTGTTCGAGCGCTCCGCTTGCTCGCGTTCACATGGCGGCGGCGGCTTTAGGGCTCCCGGCCTGAGACGGTGCGGCTCCACCGCGGATCGAGCCGGCGGCGGTGGCTCCCGGCGGAGGCGGCAGCGGTGGCGGCACGGCTCCATCACGGATCGAGGTGGCGGCGGCGGCTCCCGGCGGAGGCGGCGGCGGTGACAGCTTCGACTTCGCGGTGTGCTCCACCGCGTTTTGAGGCGGCGGCAGCTGGGCGTGCTCCTTCAGTCCTCCTCCCGTCTCCAACTCCCCCCAAGACTGGTACTGTGGTTCACATCATAGCAACTAGCAACGGATTCTTTTGTTCTTGATTTTCTTTTTCTTTTCTTTGGTTCTTGATTCTTTGGTTCCTCTTCTATGCAGTTCCTTCTTTCGGCGGCGGATGGAGGCACCGGCGGACGGCGGCTACCTGCTTGGTGGCCAACCGGCGAGGTGCTCCGGAGGACACTCCACCGGCAGCAACGGCGAGGGTTTCGGAGGACACCCGGCCACATCGCCATCTTCATCTAGCTGGGTTTCTCTCCCTCGTGAGCACAGGTATGATTTCCAGATGATGGGAGGAGCTGGTCAAGGGCACACCGCACACTCGACCTGCAGGACGATGGCACCATGTGCTTTTTGTTTTTCTGAACGAATCGGCAAACTGCCAATTTCATTGAATAAAGAATGAAGAAAACTTTACAAGTATGAAAGGAAACACAGCTTCAGACCTTCGGTTCAGTCGAGCTAAGAAATTAAAAATCTAGCCAGCTACCAAGATACCTCGCCCCGGCCAATGACCACGTCTTGGCCTCCTCTTTGATTTTAGCCAGTAGGCTTCCCGATGATAGCTCCTATGCTGGAAGATTATACAGTTTCTTTCATTCCAGATTTCCCAATTGACCAGGAGAGTTAGCGTGCAGATTGCTTTCTTTGTAGCTTCCTTCAAGCTGGCAGTGGCCTCCCACCATGTGTTTTACTAGTACTTTATAAGCATGATTTACATCTCATGCATTTACATAAAGTTTTTGAACAAGACAAATAATCAAACATGTTTTTAAAAGTTAACAACGCCATCTATTAAAAAAGAGGAAATAGCAAACAAAATTCTATGCATAATTAACTACTTATGCAAACACATTGGCTTTATAAGTTATGCAAAGTGCAGGAGAAAAATATTTCAGTGACGGTACAATTTTTTTCTCTCGTCGAAACTTGTCACGGTGTCTGCACGACAAAACATCACTTGCAACCACACCGTGTGCTAAGGCAAAACAATCCATTTTGTTTTTCAATAATAGAATTCGTGTGTGCGTGCGTTGTGAGTGTCTGCGTTGTACTGTGTAATTTTAAAAAAAAGTTACAGCTAATTATTATAAGGTTACATGTCGAAGACTACGACATATAAGATCACAACTTGATTAAAAATAAGAAAACTAGTTAAAACACCAATCTAAAAGATAGAGAAAACAACTTTCATCTATAATTAGCAAGGATCTGCATAGCCATTTGTTTCACTGACGCTTGCAAGATATGTAGTCCTTTTTTCTCAAATCAAGAAATACCATCTCTAAAATATGTGTTAAACCCAAATTTAACTCCTAGAGTAAGAAATAGGAAACTATAGCCTAATTTATAAAGAACCTAGACCGCAGCCATCGGGCGGGTCTAGGCAACGAGGCGGGTCAGGAGTAGGTTAGGCTGAAACACGCCCGCCTTCGCTCCGCGACTTCTCCCCCCGGCCCTGCAGAGGTTGTCGGGTAGGAAACATCACCCGTCCCTTGCCTCGTAGGGGACCCGACGGATGAGCGGGGCCCGCACCACCCGGTTGGGCGACTGAGGTGACGAGCGATGAGTAGCTACGAGAGACAACGAGGATGGTCGAGCTCCGGCGACGCGCCGACCAGGTGAGTACGACAGCAGACGGCAGCGAGGTGGCCAGCAAGATGAGGAGGCACAGTGTTAACACCAAATTTCGGCAAAGATATTCGGAGTTGAAGATGAAACCGAAGAGGATTTAAAGGAGATAGTTCGTTTCCAAAGCAGGCGACAAGATACAGGTGACAACACATAATACCTGAAACTGTATAACAAAGCACAAAAAAAAACATACGATAAGATTCTGAGTTGTCTATCACATGCATTATGGGTACAAGAGTCTTGAAAGCGAAAGCCCCAGGATTATTCAGAAGATAGAACAGATCATGGTGCTACCAGACACGCAACATCTTGACTTGTGCTTTTCCATTCGAAGTTTAACCTTCCCATTACCATCGCCATTGTGCCCAACTGGCATCACCTCCACACCAGTGAAGACTACAACACTGTCAATTACTTCATTATCATTATCCATGGACCTAATATGGAAGAACCTTGAAATGCAGAACCTGGCGGAGCCGAGGTTGACAAGCTGCGGTTCTTGATATTCCAGCCATCCCTCAGGTGGGGCAAATTCATTCCAGTCGCCTATAAGTTGTGGCTGGGAGTCAGAGGAGATCAGATCAGCAGCAGCCAGCAGGCGGCGGCTGGGCTCAGCAGAGAGGCCAAACCAGAGCTTGAGCTCGGGCACGTACTCAAGCTTGCCAGAGAAGAATGGCAGCGGCATCTCCTTGGCAAGCTACAGCCATGTGTTCATCTCCGTGTCCAAGCAGTAGGAGCCATTGCCTCAGCCCCCACTTCTAGCGTGAAGACTATAAGAGACCCCACGAAGACCCTACTAAATTTTTTTTATCATATGTAGATGGGAGGGGACTCCTCCACTACTAGTGTGAAGACTACCCCACGAAGACCCCACTAACTTTTTTTACCATATGTGTAGATGGGAGGGGGGACTGTAACTCTATCTAGTTTTCTCAGACCCCACTAAATTTTTTTTACCATACGTAGATGGGAGGAGGAATGTAACTCTATCTAGTTTCCTATTTTTTTTACCATATGTAGATGGGAGGGGGACTGTAACTCTATATAGTTTCCTCAGACCCCACTAAATTTGACCCCACTAAATTTTTTTACCATATGTAGATAGGAGGGGGACTGTAACTCTATCTAGTTTCCTTATACCCCACTGCATATGTAGATGGGAGGGGGACTATAACTCTATCTAGTTTCCTCATACCCCACTGCTGAGGAGGTGGCAGTGGCAAGAGGACTTGCCCCAAACAAAGGCCTCAAATTGATTAATGTATCTGACACGGAAAACAGAGCAATAAATTAGTACGTGGTTAATTACTTATTAGCTTATAAAAACTTAAAAATGGATTAATATGATTTTTTAAAATAACTTTTCTTTAGATTTTTTTTTCAAAACATGCACCGTTTAGCAGTTTAGGAAGCGCACACGCGGTAACCGAGAGAGTGAGGTTGGTAACTTGAACTCAAGAACACAACCTCAGCTGCGTGCCGTCCTCCGGGTCGGGATATCTCTCCATGACATAGAGGCTGCCACCGCCGCTGCTGGGGACGAAGAGAGAGATGGGATCTGACTTGGGCTTGTGGATGTTTGGCATAGCCATCACGCTGCGGGCATCAACGTCACAGAGGCGTGTGATCCCAGTGTGGTCCACCATTACCACCTTGCGATCTGCAAGGGGGAAGCAGTCGATATTACGCTGATCATAGGGCATATATGTGCATTTCAACCTCAACATCGGTCTGGGAAACCGAATCCTCTCTATTTGTATCCTTAAGCCCCGTTTATTCTTCGGATTATAGGAGTCAGCAGCCGGTGCTGCTGCTGCTGTGTTGCCGAACAGATGGCGCGTCAGGTCGATGGAGCGCAGCCATTGGGCGCCCGCGTAGGAAGAGTCCACGATGAGATTCTGAAACCGCCGCGATAGGCCCATGGCGGATTATTCGATCCCAATTTCGAGCCGACCTTTGCTTACTGACCGACTGTAAAAGGGAAGGATGGGAAAAAAAAAGAAGAAGAAGAAAGGAAATTATATTGGGTGCATGGAGAAAAGAGGAAAAACCCCTCAGATCGATCTAACAGTTATGAGCAGGGTTCACAATTTCAACGAAAATCGGCCGAATTCCGCGAAATTTCGAGTTTCGACACGGCTCGGAATTAAGTTTCGATTGGAATTTCGAAGGTTAAACTGTAGATTTGGTCCAAATTCGAAAACCGATTAAAATTTATCGAAAACCGTGACACCGATGGGGCTCGAAATTTAGTGATCAACCGGTAATGTAATCCCTGATTATGAGGAAGGAAGAAATAGTACCTTACCTTCAATTCGCAAAACAGCAGCAAACAGATGTAGCCTTCAAATCGGAGATGGCGTCACAAAATCCTCCTATCAAATACCGCAGACAAAGAAAGGATTTGGTTTTCGACCAAGCAGGATGAAGGATCAATCTACAAGCGATGTCCCTCAAAAAAAAAAAATCCGTCGGAACTCAGAAAGAAACCATCAATCATGGGCTCGTGGCGTCCATGGATCGAAGTGAAACTACTCGACCCAATAGGCCTATCAAAATTCGGCCCACTAGAACTGACTATGTGGGACCAGGATAAGCCACGTCAGCGTCTGTATAAAAGAAGACCGTTGACTCGCCTCCCTCCTCCGTCACCTACCTCCTCTCGACTCTTCGAGCTCATCACTCATCACCTCGTCTCGCCGCCGCTCACCACACCACCTTCCGATGGATGCCACCGCCTTCGCCTCCGCTCCGAACCCTAGCCACGCGCCCTCCTCCTCCTCCTCTCTCTCCGCCTCGTACTCGCGGGTTCTCCGCTTCTCCGTCCGCGACCCGTGGCGGCGGCGGCGGGGGCAGCGCCTCCCGCTCCACGCGCTCCGATCGCAGCGCCCCGAGCCGGCGCCCGCGTCCGCGTCCCACCACGACGTGGTGGTTGTTGGCGCCGGGATCATCGGGCTCTCCATCGCGCGCCACCTCCTCCTCCACACCCCGCTCTCCGTCGCCGTCGCGGACGCCGCCGTCCCGTGCACCGGCGCCACCGGCGCAGGTACCCTCAGTGCGCGTGCATGTGCGTGGGGGGAGTTGGGTAATATGGCCTCTAGGGTTTTGATGTCCCGTTGGTGTGTGCGCTCGCGCAGGGCAGGGATACCTATGGATGTCACACCGGACGCCCGGGAGTGACACGTGGGAGCTGGCGGTGCGGAGCAAGCAGCTGTGGGAGGAGCTCGCCGCCGAGGTGGATGGCCTCGGGGGCGGCGGTGCGCGGGAGAGGCTGGGGTGGATGAGGACAGGTAAAATCCATGTGATGGTGAATTGCTGTTTTTTCAAAATTTGTTTGGGGGATTTGGGACCGATGGAGTCGCGTCGTCTAAATTGCTTGCCAGAGTGATTATAACTTTGTAAGTAGTGGTGATTTCAGTTAGAGAGTACAATGGACATTAATGGCATCCCCTAGACTCTTACGGTCCAACAGATTTAACGACCAAGGTAATTGAGGTACTTTTGTACTCCAATACTCCAGGACTGTAATGTTGATGCGGTAGTTGGAAACTATGCTCGTTCAATGATGAAATGGCTTATCATATACATTGCATTATGTGTACTGTGTTTGATCAAATTTTAGTTCTCTATGGCAGTCAGAGTCTGAATGAAATGTGAAATTCTGTTATCATTTTTGTTAAGGAAGCTTACTAGTTGGGAGAACTTCCGAAGAGATGGCTACATTGGAGGAAAGGACCAAAGCTCTATCTCAGGCAGGAATACGTGCGGAATGCTTGTCTGCTGCTTCATTGCATGCATTGGAGCCGGAACTCTATGTTGGACATGATGGGGGTGCTATGTTCTTGCCTGAAGACTGCCAGATTGATGCCTTCCAGGCTGTCTCATTGATTGAAAAGGTTTCTTCTGCAGAATTTCGATTTCATATTTGTGCAATTAGCAGTGGTCTCCAACCGTTAACATTTTCATTCAATAGACCAATGGTTCATATTCCTCAGAAGGAAGATATATGGAGATCTATAATGATCCTGCCATGTCATTAGTAAGGTATCAAGGCCTCTTCTTTTCAGATAACTTATGTTGGTTGGTAGATGATTACTTGTCTATCAGGCTACTGAGATGGGCTTTCAGCTATGCCAAACCATCTACCTCTATCTGCATTACTGATAATTGTGTTAATTTAATGCAGATCAGAGACTACTGGAACAGTTCAAGGTGTCCAAACATCTAAGCACATCCTATATGGCAGAAAAGCTATTGTAATTGCTTCTGGTGCCTGGACTCGAACCTTATTGCGTAGTTTTCTTGAACCGAATCCTACATTGGACATTCCTGTGATGCCACGTAAGGTACATGATACATCTGAAATTTCTTGAATTTACCTGTGATCTGAAAAATATTTGGATTGAAATGATCCTAATGACATGCTAGCTAAAACTAAATCATTACAAATTGTTCACCACATATCTTCAGTTCTTCCCTAATATAGTACTAACATGATGGTCATTTCTCTGTAATATTTAGGAATTACATTTTTTTTCTTCTTGTACCCAACTCAATACCTAACAACATTAGGGTAAAAGAAACTTCCTCTGTTGTTTCTTAAACTTTCACCGAGTCCTTATACTCAACTTTGACAATTACTCTTTCCTAATTGCATGTTTGTAGAAATTATTAACTTAAGAAATGATACTTTTTTGGGGGTAAATCCACTCAGATCATTTTCATGCAAGTATGGTCCACATCTGTTTGAGGATGGGGGTTGTAATGCTGTAGTCTTCCATTTCAGGGTCATTTGCTTGTGTTGGATAAATTTGACAAGCTTAAACTAAATCATGGACTAATGGAGCTAGGATACGTTGGCCATCAAGTTGCTAAATCAAGCGGCACACCCCTATCTTCAGAATCCAGTGAAGATGAGCATGGTGCTTTATCCATATCAATGACCGCAACAATGAATACAAAGGGAAATTTAATCCTAGGTAATTTATGAACTAGCAAACTTCATCCTTTGTAACACGTTTTGTTCGTGTGGATGAACCAAACTCCTTTTCATTTAACCAACTTAAGATACAACACAAAATGACAGATGCAACCATGCAAGATCACCACATTTCTATGTTACAGGAAGCAGTCGAGAGTTTAAAGGATTTTCAAGAGAAGTTGACATGTCCATCCTTAAATGTATATGGGACCGTGCAGCAGAGTTCTTTCCTACGCTGAAGAATGTTCATCTTGATATTGATGAAAACACTGAAATCAGGATCGGGCACCGTCCCTTTAGTAAGCCCTTCTCATTTTAGAACAACTCAGGAAGAGAATGCCACATAGTCTTTCAAAGATATTTCATTGCAATGTTATTAGTAGTTTTTTGCTCTTTTATGTAGTACCATTGGAAATAAATATCTCATTTGTTTCAGTGCCTGATGGGAAGCCAGTTATTGGATCTGTTCCTGATCTGCCAAATGTTTTGATTGCGACAGGACATGAAGGAAGTGGACTTGCTTTGGTAAGGGCAATGTATAAATCTGCTCCAGTTAGTAGCTTTGTCTCTTATTATTTATGTAGTTGAGCAATCAAGCATAGGACTTCCTCAGTCCTTGGTTCTCCTGATGACAGGGCTACAGGAGTTGGGACGAATAGGCCCAATAGAGGCATGTGTCCTGTGTCGTATACAGAAATAGTCGTGTTGTGTTCGCTTGATTTTTTTTTTAATTTGTAGAGATTGGTTCTACTGTTATCTCTTTTAAGAAGGTACAGAAGTTGATGTTCATGTGGTAAATTTTACTTCAGGCATTAGGCACTGCTGAAATGGTCACCGACATGATTCTTGGGAATCCTGGAAAAGTGGACTTCTCGCCATTCTCCATAAAAGACAGGTTTTCAGGTAATTCTGGTAAACATTTTGTGATAAATTTATCTTTATGAAAATCCATTTGTTATGTTTTCATAATCACAATTTCTCTTATCTGCAACATTGTCTCACTGATTTTTTTTTCTTGCCTTGTACTCCCTCCGTTTCATAATGTAAGACTTTCTAGCATTGCCCATATTCATATAGATGTTAATGAATATAGACACATATATATGTCTAGATTCATTAAAATCTATATGAATATGAGTAATGCTAGAAAGTCTTACATTGTGAAACGGAGGAAGTATGAGGGAATATTGATGAATATCACTGTTTTTTTTTTACGGACTGGCAAGACGAATATCACTGTGAAGTGACCATTATTGAGAAATTCCACTGGAGAATGACTGTTTTAAAATTGCCATCGCAAACATCTCTTTTCACAAAAATGTCAGTTTCGATGTTGTTGTAGTGGACAAAATTGCCCATATCTAGTTTCCCATCCCCATTCCAAGGTCATCCATGGCCTGATTGCAGAGCCTCCTCCCACAGCCTTCCTGGATAGCCCTCCTTCCTTATTTAACTGTATGAAATAATTCAGCTTAGCCTTAGCTTCCGAACATGATTGTTACACTGATTCATTTCATCTTAATTTTAAATTTTCAACTTGAATTTGTTGTGAACTTCTCGTATTAAGTTTTTCATGCATTTTATTCCTTACTGTATGAATTATGAGCCATGATGGATGGAAATCGCCATGATTCCTATTGGGAGTTCATAGTGTAGTTGAAACCTGAAAAACACGTTTTTAATAAATTATATTTGGGGTTTCTGTCAGAGTTAGCTTCTTTTTCTTTTTAAATTTGGCAAAGTAGTAAAACATCAACATTTGGTAAGTGGATTGCATGTCGGCGCTTCCCTTACATGTGCCTATGCTAAGTCATGAATATATATCCTAGATATGGAATGTCTTGATTCCATTACAAGGGACGATGCTATAGGGCTCGCTGCTTGATGAACCTTGTCATCTATGCAACTGAGATACAAAATCTCCTTTCACCCTGCTGATGTCCTCTACCCAGTAATCTGGTTTTATATTTTAGGCTGTCCACTGATGCTTTGTTTTTAGTTGATTGCTTGATGCACTCAGTAAGTAACTGTTGCTCAGATCCTCCTCTGTTTCATGAATTTCCTTTGCACAGCTTACGACTGAGGGAGCTGAAATTTGCTTTTGAGTATCGTCGGGAAGCATTTCTCCAGTCTGATCCAGATATCATCATTGATTCAAACTCCTGATAGCTAATGCGACCATCCTGTTGAATATATGCACAACATGTCAGTTATACTATTGAAGTATTGATACATGTGTGTAAAGTGTAAACCCCAACTGGAAAAAAAAACATGGATAGGAAACCATCAAATTACTGTTGCTTCCTGGGTTTCTTGTACACTTGGATGAGGATCCAAGATATTTTGCTAAAAAAAAGAAGAGAAGACTAAGTTTAGTAGACTATGCCTAGAATTCAGCAAGTTTTGTGAAATGGGAATTTGTTGCTGATTTGCTTCGAATCTGCCCAATGTAACATTTCTTTTGTAAACTATTTATAGTTTTTGGGAAAAAAAAAGGGGAGGGGGGGGGTCGCTTATTAATTTTCAGTTTTCTCTTACTGGAAATAGTTGAAAATTGTGTGGTTTTCTACTTTTTCTGGCTTAGTTGATTTGGGGGTTTAGGGTAAATAATCCAGTCAGCTTAATACTACCTTAGTTTTGTTGGAAATGGGTTTGATTTGCGTGCAGTTCCAGGCCCCAAAATGGCTAAAGAAAGGCTTTAGAATTTTGTAACTGGTGAAATCTACACTCAAACACAATATGATACATCTTTAAGTGGTTGAAAGTTTAATTAATTGGTTAGAACTGACCTTATCAGTGTCAATGTCTCGAATAATATCTTTAACCACTTGCTCAGTAGGGCCCAGTTCATCACCTAAAGCATCCATCAACTCCTCCATTTCAATGAAACCATTACCATCTTTGTCGAAGAACTTGAAAGCTTTAGGTAGGTACTCCTCATTACTCATCTTCTTTATGTGAAGTAATACCGTTACAAACTCCTCGCAATCTAATGTTCCATTTCCATCTATGTCACCCTGGAAAAGGAAGAAATTTGTCAGAACATTCAGCACTGCAATGTCAAGTTACATTAATCAATCTATGTACCTCTGGTGTATTAGGTGTAAAAAACAACAGTACAATTTGGACAGATACTTGGTTGCAATGATGACATGTATTTAGACTTATGTCATAGTAGTATTTACAATTGCATTTGTACTGCTCTCATTTTATTCATTTTAATTCAGCTGCCGGTACCCCAGTTATTCTAAACTCTAAATTATAAAAGAATAACGAAATATAGTGCTATGGGAATGGATATAATAAAGCACTCACAGCTTCTAACAGCATTTCGATCTCTGTCTCTGGAACAGGATGACCATTTATCTGGAGGCCCAACTTCAGATCCTCAAGCGTCAAATTACCGCTGTTGTCTTTGTCCATCTTGTGGAACATCTGAGTATATTTATCCATCTCCTCCACCGGTAAATTCTTGGCAACGACCTTCATCGGCAAATGCTTCACAGTGAAGAAGTACACCACATTTGAAGAAAATAAGAATAGTAGCAGCAGGTTCTCTGCAACTTACTCCAAGTGCCTTCTTTTTGAACTTATTCATGGCTGAGAATTGCATCAGTCTGGATCGAACAATCTCTCCGAGCGAAACGTTTGGAGCCCTATCGGCATTCTTGAGCCAAGGATGCTCTGTTTTTTGCAGGAGGAGAAACAATCTCAACTGAGCATGTAATGTAACACTACTTACTGTACATTATTAAACTTCCCCCTTTTTGCAATAATGTCAAAGACATGGCAAAATTCTAGATTTCGATATGGCTATGAACTTGAATTTGAACTGAATGAGATTCGTTTTTTTAAAAAAAAGAATCTGAACTGGATGAAGGTTGTTTTTACCAAGGACTTCCTTTGCTGTCAACCGGGTAGAAGGATCGGGGTCAAGCATCTTGCTGACAAGGTCCTTTGCATGCGGGGACACCTTGGGCCATGGCTCCCTCTGGAAGTTGATCCCACCCTGGAGTATCGCCGTCACCGTTTTCTCATCATTGTCTGCACATCGTTGGCAAAGGAGGAGGCATCAGCGATCGATCAGCACCAGTAATTATCAGAGAAGTATCCTTTTATCTAACACATTCTGCTAGCTATTGTGGTGAAGAACAAGCAGAGAAAGCATGGATGGTTCGATTCACCTCCCCAGAAAGGAGGAACTCCGCAGAGCAGGATGTAGAGGATGACGCCGGCGCTCCAGACATCTGCTTCTGGGCCATAGCTTCTGTTGAGAACCTCTGGTGCCATGTAGTATGTGCTCCCAACCACCTGGGTGAATCTTTCTCCTGCAGCCAAGAGCCAGGTAATTGAGATTTGAGACTTAAGTTCGTTCGGATTTGATTTTCTTTGCGTTCTTTGCTGCATGTCCAGTGCGTGATCACATAGTATAATTGTGTTGTTGAGTAGTGAGTTCCTTCCTACCTGGCTTGAAGAACACCGAGAGGCCGAAATCGATGGCCTTGAGAGGTGAGTCCTCCGACTTGTTGGCGAACAGGAAGTTCTCCGGCTTCAGGTCTCTGTGCATCACCCCGTTCTCGTGGCACAGCTGCATGCAACATGCATTGATTCATGCACTACACCAAGTGACGTTGATGGTTGAACAGGATGCAAGAATCAATGGCGATGTTGATGGTTGAACAGGATGCAAGAATCAATGGCAGAGCATTCGATGCAATGGCAATGGCGGGTGGGGGGTTAAGGAGGTGCCTGGACGACGCCGACGATGGTGCGGGCGAGCTTGGCGGCGGCGCGCTCGGTGTAGTGGCCGCGGGCGAAGATGCGGTCGAAGAGCTCGCCGCCCTCGCAGAGCTCCATGACGAGGTGGACGCCGTCGGAGTCCTCGCAGGCGTCGCGGAGTCGCACCACGGAGTCGGCGCCGGCGCCGAGGGCGGAGATGCGGCGGAGGATCTCCACCTCCCGCCGCACGTCCTCGGCGTCGCCGCGGCACCGGCGCAGCCGCTTCCGGCGGATCGTCTTGCAGGCCAGGGCCTCCCCGGTGGCCGCGTCGGAGCACCGCCGCGTCACCCCGAACTCCCCGCGCCCCAGCTCCGCCCCCAGCCTGTACCTCTCCGCGAACCCCGCCGCCGTCTTCACGTCGGCCGCGTCCCCGAGGATGGCGTTCTTCCTCCCGCCCCCGCCACCGCCACCGCCGCCGCATCTCCTGTACTGCCACCTCCTCCACGACTTCCCCTTCTGGTGCTCGCCGCCGTCGCATCCGCCTCCGCCGCCGTCGTTGTTTTTGTTGTTGTTTTCAGGGGAGCAGCTGCAGCAGGGCTCGTCGTTGCTGGTGACGGGGAGGATGGCCGCCGGCACGCGGCCGCGGCTGAAGCGGATCATCCTGGTGGAAACCGCGAAGGCGGAGGAGCAGCCACCCATGGCGTCGCCGACGCCGACGCCGACGCCGCAGATGGATGCTTTGCTCCCTCCAGCCTCCTCCCCCCTTTTCCCGCGCGTCGCCTCGCCCTCCCCCGCCTCCTCGCGCCGCGCGCGTAAAGCGAAGGGGAAGCCACACGGGTCGAGGAGGCTGCGTGGCTGGCCGTTGGTCTCGGCGCTGCGTCGCGTGGGCCGGATGGGCCGGGGCGGGCCCATCGATGGCCCCGGAGCTAGTGGCATTTCCGTAATTATCTCGCAAATCGATGGGGGCACTGGCATTGGCAGTTTGGCACTGAGAAAAGCAGTTCGCAGTTTCTTCGGTCTCACCAGTCGCCAAACTCGCCACCACTCTTCCGCATCCTGTTTTGATTAGCTTTTCTCTATCTTTCTTCTGCTCATCTCATATCATCTGTCCCCCCTCCTGTTCGTAATCTTGATTGATTAATTTTGCGTTTTTGTCCCGACTTTTCTTTGGAACCTGTCTGTGATTCTTGGGGACAGATCTTGGGGGTTCGTACAAGTAAGTGTTTCTTCCTTCATCTTCTCTCCCTCTTTTCGAGATGTCTTGATCTTCTCTTGAATTTGTGATGTTGGAACTTGGATGTGATGTTTCTTGGCTCTATAGTTTTAGCTGTTGACAACAGGTCTTTGGGCCGTTTCTTGTGGCATTTGGCATTTCAATGGGGGTTTAGCTCATTGCGATTTCCCCTCTACTTTGGGTACTCTTGATGTGTGATGTAGCTGTAAGTTTTCCGGCTATGAAATCTCATCCGGTAGGAATGGGTGTCCTATTGTGCCCCAGTTGTTGATTTTCTGTGTCCTTTGGAAGTGAGAAGGGTTCAAGAAGAGTTATCCCAGTAGAAAGAAATTTTACATGCCCAAGATTTTGATAATTTGACACTTTATTTGTCGTCACTTTGATTGTATTGACATTACGAAGAATTGTTACATTTTATTTTCACCATCATTACAGTGCTACTGCATTACATTTCTTTTCACCGTCATTATGATTTGGTCGTTTCAGGCAATGCGGTCACCTTCAATTCTCTCACAGTGCCTGGCCGGCTTCCTGTCGCATGAAAAAGCTGCAGCCCACTGCGTTAATGTCGTGCCCGAGAGAGAGTCACACCCTCCGTCACCAGCAGTCGAGATTGTCCCGTCAAAGGTGGAACTTTTGTCTACACTTTCTTGTTCATTGCAAAGTTGTGTGGCCATGGTTGGCTCTTTGTGCATAGATATACTGATGGAAAGGACTGTTATCTACTGACTAATCTCCCATTCTTTACATTGTACTGTAGAATGTTCATCCATACAAGTATGCAGGCGAGAATATTGAAATGCATGGCATGAATATATTTAAGGTGATAATTCTTTCTTAACTCCCTACTTTTTTTTTTCATTTTACTAGATTACTTCATAGAACCATGGAATTAGTATTACAGAGTTGAGTTTTTATTCATAGTGGCCATTTATATGGTAGGCAAGTCATGGTAAACATTATTATTTTCCTCTATATAAGCTATATAGCATCCTAATCTTTTGTGGCTTTTGGAATTAATTGTTCTGTGTTTTAACCTTGTTTCAGGGAAAGGTCAGTGTTGTCGATATTGTTGGTCTATCTGGATCAGAGGTTATAACTCCAAAAGGTGAAGGTAAGTGTCATACCCCTAATGATAATCATTTTGTACTGACTACCTAAAACACTGAGAATCTAAAAGTAACGGTTTTTATTATAGGGCCTCTGAAGTGCTGTGAGAGTTCAATTGACCTAGTGAATGTTCTTAAGAATGAGATCCGTGATGGACTATTGACATTCAGAAGCAAACAGGTTTTAGAGGTACAACGCTTTTATGTGTTCAGTACTACTCACTTCGTTCGTGATTGATGAGCGCATATGCAAAACAAAAAAAAAATCAGTATTGATGAGTAACTAATGGTGTGATTGTTGATTTCTTGGCTTCTCATCAATATGCACATTATTCAAGCTGCATGCATACGTCGTTCACCATGTGTGCATCCGTTCGTAGCTTAGAAATCATAATTAAGTCCATTCATCATGTAGGAGTCCATGTGTCGCCTGCTTCATCTACCATGTTTTGATTGCTCCTTGATCTCGCTGCACAGTTGTTATATGATGATCAAAACTGAATGGAGGGAGTACTAGTGAAGCTATGCATTCCTTGACTTCCATCTCTGTCATTGACTGTTTGTTTATTTGTTAAATATGTCATTTATTTAAGTTATCTTGGTACACAAAACTCTAAAGGGTGTGCGCATATGTAAAAGAAAATGGAAGGATATGGCTTAGTCCATGGTTCTGGTGAATTATGATCTGTATTCAGATAATGTTATGTTCTGATTCAACTTGTATAAATTCCAACTTGCACTCCTTAATCCCTTGGACATGGAATTGTTATCTTTATGTTCCAGGAAAAGGTTCTTGACTTATAACTTACTTCTTGGTCTTATTTATTTCTTTGGTCCCTCAGATGCCAAACTCATAGCTTGGTTTGATTAGTTTATGGTACTTGGGCAAACTGTAACAGTCCTTTTTTTTTTTCCCAAAATGCAGCTTGGCTGTGGATATGGGCTTCCTGGGATATTTGCTTGCCTGAAGGTACTGTAGTTATCCATGGCATCTCTTCGTTACTTTTATAGAATGTGTTATTGCTAGCCTAATCTTAGATTTACCGTAGCCTTAAATCTTGACTAGCATGAATCCATGTATCTAGTATTACTGTTGCATAGTTGTTGCATCCGTGCACAATGAGTTATATATTAGCTGTGTTCTGCTCTGTGTTTGGCTACTGTGATAACTGACATTTTCTTCTCAAACGTTCTTAGGGAGCTTCAACAGTGCATTTTCAGGATCCGAGTGCTGAAATAATAAGGTGCAAAACAATACCCAATGTGCTTGCAAATCTTGAGCATGCTCAAGACAAACATGGTCAACAACAAGGAAGCCCCCTTACTCCATCTCGGCAGCAATTGCCTCAAGATATCCATTTCTATGCCGGGGAATGGGAGGAGCTTCACACTGTTCTGTCAGTGATTCAGGAGGATGAGGTGGACACATCATCAGGTGTAGCACTAGAGTTCTGTGAAGATGACTTTCTGGATGGTTGCAGTAGCCAAGATGCAAGCAATATTTGCCATGAAACCTCTTCAAGGCGATCAAGAAAACTATCAGGAAGCCGTGCATGGGAGAGGGGGAATGAGACTACCACAGGAGATGGTGGATATGATATACTGTTAGTCAATGAGATCCCTTATTCTGCAAGCTCTCTTCAAAACCTCTATTTGCTCGTAAAAAAGGTTTGTTCTCCATACATTTTTTCTTCAGGAAATTCTCGCCATGAGACATCATATATAGACAGCATACAGACAATCACTGCATTGTTATGACTTATGACTAGCATAATATGATAGCGATAAGCGCAGAATGAGTGTAGAGCTCCTCCCTGAGGTCACTCTGCATTGATATGCAGGAGATTAGTATGGGTAGACGAATTTCCTTATATCAGACTTTACAGCAGACCAAGAACTGAGTTTTTTTTTTTTTTGGCATTAGACTTAGGAATTGGCTTAGCTTCGCTGCAAGGCTCTTTTCCCCTTGTTTCTGGGACTGTCTTCATCTCATCCTTCTCGTTTATCCAGATAATATCAAATGCATTGTCCGAATTTGCCGTCTGCTCTGGAACAGAACCTGCTTCATAGCCTTAACATGTACTCCGCACTAAAACTTCTGTTCTTGGTTCTTGCAGTGCCTAAGGCCGCCATATGGGGTGATGTACCTTGCTGCAAGGAAGAATTACATCGGCTCGAGCAGCGCGGTGCGGCAGCTCCGATCCCTGGTGGATGAAGAAGGCGCATTTGGCGCGCACCTCGTCTCTGAGCCCCCAGAGAGGGAGATCTGGAAGTTCTTCTTCAAGTAGTAGTAAACTAGTAGTTCTTCGGTGTGGCGCTGCAAATTTCATCACAAGCTGCGATGATCACCAGTTCTGTACATAATATACTTTCAGAGTTCCAGCCATGTTTTTTGTGTCGTTTTTGGGCTTTTTTTCCCCCTCGGAAGTGTGGTATTATTATGATGAAAATTCATGACAACTCAAAACCAGTATTCGTTGTTCAGCTGCCAAATATTTTTGAGTTTGTTATGCTGAGTTATCACTTATCACCAGTATTGATTTGTTGAATTATTATCATTTTTAAGTTTGTTTGGTTGTGGGTTATAGGCTCTATTTCAAACGATTTATTTACCAGATTATTGCAATGGATTATCCTCTCGATTATGGGTTAAATATTTTTTAAAAAATTAACAAATATGTTATAAGTGGTGTAAGCAATCTAATAGATAAAAGTTCTTTGGAAAAAACATACTACTAGCAAACGTATATTTTGGGATGGAAGGAGTAATTTATATTTGAAGTAAATAATCTATGGAGTATTTAGGACCAAAACCTGAATCCTATGGAGTAATTAGGACCAAAACCTGAATCCTGCACTGTTTTTAAGTTCGTTTCTGAATTCTGCTGATTACTCTTTTTGTACTCTTTAGTTTGTTACTATCACCCTGTGACAATGTTATATGGAACCCATTGAGTCCATGACAAGTGGGTGCAGATATAGGCTGAAGTTACAGCCTTGACTGCAAGTCAAAGCAGCGCAGTCATCACCATCCAGCCGTTGAAGAAGCAACCAATGGCTGGATTAAGGTCATAGCGCTTCCAATCCTCCTCCTCCTTCCTCCGCTCGCCGTCTTCTCGACGACGACCCGCGGCCACCGCCGCGCCGCCCTCCTCGCCGCCGCCGCCGCCGCCGTCTCCGGTGAGGTTTCCCTCGCGTTCTTCTCCCCCCTCCCCCTCATCTCCTCCTCCTCCTCCGCCGCCGCCGCCACATCCGACTCCCCTTCGCCGGCGCTGTAGGGGGAAGAGAGACCTGATCCCTTCCACCGCCTACGTGGAGTTCCTCTACTATCCTAGGCCGGCGTGGAGTGATACGTGAGCCGTGAGCGTGGAGATCCATCCATCCCACTGCGGTTTAGGACTGCAGTTAGTGGAGGATTTGATTCGATTTTTGTGTTTTTTTTGTTTGATTTCTCTGGCTGCAGCAGAATCTGATCGATGGCGCCGTCGTCGACGTCGTCGGAGGGTGCCTCCGACGAGTGGTTGCCACCCAGCCGGCGGCCGGAGCTGGCGGACGTGGTCCCCGTGACGCAGGACGACGGGCCCCACCCCGTGGTGGCCATCGCCTACCGGGACGAGTTCCGCGAGGTCATGGACTACTTCCGCGCCCTCTACTTCGCCGGCGAGCGCAGCGTCCGCGCCCTCCACCTCACCGCCGAGGTCATCGACCTTAATCCCGGCAACTACACGGTGAGATTGCTCGTGTTATTCCCCCTTTTTTTTCATGTTGGAAATTGAATTTGCAGTGCAGGAGATTTGCTCATTTAGAACTATGGCCCTGTTTAGGTATATTAATCCATGATTTGCTACAGTGATGCTACAGTAATCAGCCGCTAATCGTGGATTAATATACATCATTAGATTCGTCTCGCAAAATAGCTTAGGGGTTATGGAATCGGTTTTATCGGTAATCTATGTTTAATACTTCTAAATAGCAAGATTCCGGAGGGCTATTTAATAGCTCGGAGCATCCAAACAAGGCCTATGTACATGTAGAACTAGCCTTCACTTGTTATAGTAAGAGTAGCATGTTGGGATATTGGCAAATTCCGGCTTAGCTAGTGGTATCTTGGCGGATTTATCTATTTCGGAATTTGATTATAAAAGTATAACTGTGATGGCAAGCTTGACTAGCATATATAATGTTGTTTTGGAGACACAACGCGGCAAGACAAATTTAGGAAAATTGATTAATTTTTTTTTCTTGTGGACGCATTGAGAATGTCTAGATTTATGGTAGAGCAGGAGAAAACAGTTAGTGTTTGATTTTAATCTGCATACTGTGGTGGTGTCTCTTTCAGACTTATCAAATTTTCAGTTTTTCCGCTGTACTTTTCATGATCAGAAAGATAAATATAATTAAAATATACTGTAGTACTGTACCAAATTATGTTTGGGGCTTTTAGTCCATATCCATAATAGGACTTTTACTTTGTTTGCTCCCTCCAAATTTGTACTCAGCCATCTGTTGTTGCCTCATTGGCATTTTGCATGCAGAATGTGCAAATTTCTCCCAGTTCTGAGTTTAACAAGCAACAAAACATGGTGGCATGTAAAATTGTCTTTCCTTGTTATGTGTTTAGCGTCATGCATTTCATTTGGATGCCAGTTTTGAACTTAATGATCTTTTTTTGCTTGATAGGTGTGGCATTTTAGGCGTCTTGTTCTAGAGGCACTGGATGCTGATCTGCGTGAGGAAATGGATTTTGTGGACCGAATTGCTGAATGTAACCCAAAAAATTATCAAATCTGGTGAGTGACATTAAGTTTATACCCATATTTGGTAGCTGTGGAGTTTTTCATGAAGTTTATACTTGCTATCATTAATTCTGAGCGTTCTGTAATTAAAACTTCATTCTTCTGCTTTTTTGTTGGGAAATCTTGATTAACGTCCCAGTACTATATATATTTTCTCAGGCATCACAAGAGATGGCTTGCGGAGAAATTAGGACCAGATATTGCAAATAAAGAGCACGAATTTACAAGGAAGATACTTTCTATGGATGCTAAAAATTACCATGCTTGGTCTCATAGGCAGGTATATAATGTTTCCTCTCGATGTGCGCTAAAATTAGGCTGTTGATACTCGTTTGAGTTCATTTATCTATATTTGAGTGCTGCACTGAGCAAACCTTTGAGGGAAAGCTGAGTTCTAATAATATAATTTATGTATCATTACTGCTGCAGTGGGTTCTTCAAGCACTGGGTGGATGGGAGACTGAACTACAGTATTGCAACCAGCTGCTTGAGGAAGACGTCTTCAATAATTCAGCTTGGAATCAGGTCAGTTGATATGCTTGTTTGGCTTTAAAATTTCTAGTTTATTATACAATTTCACTTTTAATTCGTCCCATCTTGAATAGTAGTCTGAAAATCCATATGCCGGTTCATGATTTATTAACTAAATTCATTGATTCTTTCTCTTCTTGCTTTACGTGGTATTTTGTCCTACTACTGTCTCCTTTCTGACTTTTTTTGGCTGATTAACTAAGATCAAATGATTACACTGAAGTATGTTATGTTTGTTTTGCAACAGAGATACCTTGTAATAACAAGTTCACCACTTCTTGGAGGCCTTGCAGCAATGCGTGACTCGGAAGTGGATTACACAGTTGGGGCTATTCTGGCTAACCCTCAGAATGAAAGCCCCTGGAGATACCTCAAAGGCCTGTACAAGGGTGAAAATAACTTGCTGATGGCTGATGAGCGCATCTCTGATGTTTGTCTCAAGGTCCTGAAACATGATTCGACCTGCGTATTTGCTTTGAGCTTGCTGCTCGATCTTCTTCAAATTGGTTTACAACCTTCAGATGAACTCAAAGGAACTATCGAAGCAATAAAGAACTCTGATCCTGAAGCAGATGAAGCAGTAGATGCTGATCTTGCGACTGCAATCTGCTCAATATTGCAGAGATGTGATCCCCTGCGGATAAATTACTGGTCCTGGTACAGGACCACTATTTCTTCTCAAACCTGAAGCATGCAGTGGCCTCCATGAGGTCATAATGGAGATATCTTCTATCTTCGTGTGATTCTGGGCGTTGAGGTGCCTAGCTACATTTGTTATGAACTTTCCTTGGGCATAACTGATCACTGATATTACTCCAATATTGTGTTCTTGTGCATCGTATGTTATTCCAGATATTATATTGGGTTGCAATTCCTTGTGATGTACTCCCTCCGTTTCACAATGTAAGTCATTTTAGCATTTTCCACATTTATATTGTTGTTATTGAATCTAGACATATATATTTATCTAGATTCATTAACATCAATATGAATATAGAAAATACTAGAATGACTTACATTGTGAAACGGAGGAAGTACCGTATATGTATCAATTACACTGCTTCACAAGTTGCCACCGCGGTGTGGCCGTGTCAATGGAAGGGGATAGGGGCAACGGTGAAGGTGAAGGTGTGCTAAACTGCTAACCTAACCTCATGTACACAGAAGAGAAAGCGATGGAGAGTTTCAGGTAGAGGTGAACATAGTTTAATTTTCTTGATACGTATTTGGTACAAATGATGAAATGCGTGTCTCACTTTAGAGAAATATTGTTGAAACGGTCAAATGTGTTACACACGTTGCATTAGCATGTGAGCACCACCTGTTATACAAGTCACATCAAGCCTATTTGATAGCTCTAACTCTTAAATTTATCTCAAAGGAGTTGGATTTAGAGTTAAGTTGTAGAGCAGTCTAGATCTTGCTCCACCTTGCTAGTTTATTTTATGAGAGCACTTTAGTTTGCTTGGCTTCTGTTTTTGGTGAAGCTGAAATTGTTTGGTTGGACTCCAACTCTAGAAGCGGTAGAGTGCCAAACAAGCGCTTTATTTTAATTTTAGCTCTTGACTCTACTTGTCGAGCCAATTTTTTTTTTAAGCTTAGTCAATTCTAACTAAAGTGGGCATTTTCGATGAAATTCTTTTAACGGAACATCGGAGAGACTGGTGGCTATGAGGTGATGGGTCCACCGTTCTTCGATATGCTTAACCTCGTGAGAGACTGGTGGTGGGTCCACCGTACTAAGAAATGTTTAACCTCATGATATGGCTATGAGGTGATGGGTCCACTGTACTTCGCTATGCTTAACCTCACGATATGGCTACGAGACCCAATAATTCACTATAAAATGACATCTTGCCCTCTCGTCTTTCCATTGTCTCCCTGTTATTTCCCTTCCCACCAAACCACTTCCTAACGCAACAAGATCGGCGTAGATGGCATGCATCCTGAAACCTATGGGTAAGGAGAGGGATTCGTTGTTAATGTTCTTTTCCTTGTATTTGATTTAGTGCTTATGATGATATGACTAGCTCAATCTTTTTGTGTCATCTAGATCTAAGAGATAAGGAAGAAACTAGCTACCAGTGGCAGATCTTCAACGCCAAAGTAAAGCTAGGCGTCAAACACCAGCATCGGTTAAATTAGTTGTGGTGGCATATCGGCAAGTTGTGTTTCATCCATCTCACAGGTTAGATCAAGAAATTTTATTCACTTGAGGTTAGTAAATTAAGTACATGTGTTGACTTGTAGATTTATTTAGCTATTTTACATTATTCTATTCGATTGTTAGAACCATTTCTTTAAACAATAGTTAGAATCAACTTCCCTAACAATGAAGATGGGAACAACTGAACAAGTTAGAATCCTAAGGTAAATGATTGAATTTCTTTTTATCGTTTTGTTGTTTTATTAAAATGCATTCAACACCTCTCTTTAGAAACACAATCCTAGAATATCTACATAATTGAACACTTACTTTAAATTTACCATAGGAACTTGTTTTGTTGTTCACGCCAGCACATGCCAACCCTTTCTTTGAAAACATAACCTGGAATACAGCCTGAACATGCTAACCCTCTCTTTAAAAACACAACCCGAAATACAGCCTGGACATGCCAACCCTCTCTTTAAAAACACAGCCTAGAATACATCCTGGAATATCCACGTATCAACCCTTCATCGGAAACACAAAGATAGAAATTCCATAAGAACATGTTCATGCTAGTGCATATTTAGCCATATGTTTAGATATAAATATAGGAAGATTCACACCAATACCCATTAAAGCATAGCTATGTAAATTATTAAAATATTTATACTCCTAGATCTTTCATAGGAACCTGTTCACACCAATACATGCCAACCCTTCTCTTCAAAGAATATCCATGTAATTAACCCTATCTTAAAAACATAAAAATAAAAATTTCATATATACCTCTTTATACCCGCACACATCCACCCCTTTAGAAACAAATCCCAAAAAATCACATAATTAATATAGCCATTAAAACAAATCCCAAAAGATCAGCTATGTTTTAATGGCTATATTAATTGTGTGATCTTTTGAGACTTGTTTCTAAAGAGGGCTGGCCAGATATGTGTTGTCCTTTAGGAAACAAATCTCGAATACGGTTAATTATACCCATTAAAGCATACTCCATTCATTTAAAAAAAATCTTTTAGAGATGAATCTTGTCAAATGCTTGTCCAGATTCATCACTATAAGTTGACTCTTTCGGGATTGGAGGGTGTAGCTGTAAATTATAGTATTTACAGCTTTATTAATTACTTGATCTTTCGAGATTTTTTTTCCAAAGGGGTCGGATTTGCGCTAGTCTTTAAGAAACAAATCTCGAAAGATCACACAATTAATTATATCGTTTAAAACATAGATGTAAATTATTAAATACTATAATTTACAGGTATGTTTTAACGGCTATAATTAATTGTGTGATCTTTTAATATTTGTTTGTAAAGAGGCCAAATATGCTCTACTATGAACACGTCAAGGTTTCCCTTACTGTCCAGGGCAGGGTTACCACACTTTGGCGGTTTGCATGGTTACCGCACAGTAATTGCCATGAGAAACCGTACAAAATTTTATCAAAAAATTAAATTATTTTAATTTTTATTTGAATTTAGTGGGGTTACCGTAGTTTAACTGTTACTATACCATGGAGGTAAGCCGGTTACCATGTTTGCAGCCGGTTTTGTAAACCCTGGAGCAACTTCCTATGAAATTTCTATTTATATGTTTTTAAGTAAGGACTAATTACATGGATATTCTAAGTTGTGTTTTTAAAGAAAGAGGTTGGCATGTATGGTGTGAACATGTTCCCGTGAAAGATTTAAAGGAAGGAATAGAAGTATTTTATAATTTACAACTATGTTTCAATGGGTATAATTAATTGTGTGAATCTTTTAGGATTTGTTTTAAAAGAGGGCTGGATATCCCTGGGTATGAATAGGTTCAAATAAAAACAATATTTTTATGTTTTAAAGGAAAGACTAATTATGTTACGTGAATATGCTAGGCTGTGTTTTTAAATAGAGGGGTTGACACGTACTGGTGTGAACAATAGGTTCGTACGAAATGTTCATGTGCAAAACACAGCCTGGAGTATTCAAGTAATCAACCATTTCCTAAAAACATAAGAATAGAAATTCATATGAACTTGTTCACACCAGTGCCTATCCAACCCTCTCTTTAGGATCCAATATTGAAATATTCCCACAATTAATTACACCCATTTCAAACATAATTGTAAATTATAAAATAATTTTATTTATCATAAATTCTAGCCTAGCCAGCAAAGAATCCAACTCAGCAGCAAACCATCAAAAAAAGAGTGCAAACTACATTAACACAAAGAGATGTGTAAGTGTCCACATCAAGAACAGGAAAAAAAATGCCTCTTTAAAAAACGAAGAAATTTCTAATTATTTCAAAATAAAATTAAACTATTTTTTAAAAAATAAATCATGTTAAACTTGTGGTACTACGTTCAAATGGAACCCTCGATACCAGTTCATGACCCATCCATCTATTCATCTACTTTTTTTATCATAAAATACAAGAACATAGGATCGGAAATATTTTCTAGTAGGGACGGAGAGAGTAACATTCATGTCACCCATGTGAGCAACAATGTAATGGTTACGTTATGTAGCATCTAAGGGTTCAGTTGGACAGACAGAGAGAATATAGTACTACCTCTAACCCAAAATATAATAACTTTTTGTTACGAATTTGGACAAATGCTTGTATTTTAGAACAGAAAGAGTAGTAATTTCTTTTTAAAAAAATTACAAATGAAATAAACAAGAAAAAAACATGCTTACATTCTAAAATAAAATATAGTAACTTTTCGCTATGAATTTAGACAAGGTTTTTGAAACGAAGAAAGTAGTAATTTTTTAAAAAAAAATACAAATGAAATAAACGAGGAAAAGAAACCCCTGCTTACCGGCCCCATTCATCAGCAATTCAGCATCTCCCGTCCATCGCATCCCATCACACAACATCCATTCACAATATATATCCACGTTGAAAATTTTTAGCGTGTCACATCGGTAGATTAAATAACAAAACAAATTATAAATTCCGCATATAAACCACGAGACAAATTTATTAAACCTAATTAATCCATCATTAGCAAATGTTTACTGTAACACCACATTCTCAAAGCATGAAGCAATTAGGCTTAAAATATTCGTCTCGTAATTTACACGCAATCGGTATAATTAGTTTTTTCTATATTTAATAACCTATGTATATGTCCAAGCATTTGATGTGATAGGGTGAAAATTTTTTAAGTGAGAACTGAACAGGGCCAAAGGTGACACGTCCCGTCCCGTCGTCTCCCAGCTCCAAAGGCCTCGTAAGCCGTAACCGATGCGCACCCAACCCAACCCAGCCTTCAACCCGCTCATCATTTTCTCCCCTCTCGCCTCGCTGGGCTGCACTGCACTGCACGCTCCTCTCGTGACGGCGCCAACGGACGGCCCAGATCCGCCCAGGCGACAATCGGACGGCCCAGATCATCGCGCGTGGGCCCCACTCCACCCCCCTCCCACCGTTTCCCATTTCCGCCTCGACACCCCCCTACCCCCCTCGCGTCCCTTCGCGCCTATCCGACACAGCTCGCCTCGCCTTCTCTCTCTATAAAAGGAGGCCTCGCCGTCGCGGAGGCGGATCCCGAGGCGGCGACGGCGACGGCGGCGGCGGCGGTTTGGTTTCCCTCTTGTTTGTATTTTAATCCGTCGTGGGTGGGTGATGGAGGTGGAGCGTCGTGGTGGTGGGGAGGTGAACGGGGTGGTGGAGATGGAGGACGCGGTGGGGATACTGGTGGACTACCTGGTGCGGCCGGCGCTGCGGAAGGGGAGCAGGATGACGCCGGAGAACCAGGCCGACGTCGCGCGCCAGGTGAGCCTGCGATGCGAGAATGGATGGACTTTGGTGGTGGGGTTTCGGGTCCCGGGGTCTATGGGAGGTTTGGGGGGGTTTCGGGTGGTGGTCGCCGTCGGCGACGCGATCAGGGCGTGTGGCGCGGGTTTGTTAGCTTGTTTTTGTGGGGGCGCCGCGCCGCGGGCTGCGACGGCGCGGCGCGGCGTGCGGAGCGAGCGCCATGGCTTGGGCCGCGACGCGCCAGCGGGATGGTGTGGCGGCGGCGCGCCGTGAGCGTGTGATGGTTGGCATGGGCTTCCGAGTTCCGACAAGCCCGAGAGTAGCGGAGAAGGCGGCTGCGGGCGTAGGTGCCAACGAATAGACGGAGGCGGATTTCAAAAGAGGGAAGACGTAAACTAACTGGGACGTTCCAGATCGGGAAGGCTTTCCCTCTTCTGGCAATTGTGTTTTTTTTTTCCATTCCGAGGAGGGATTGGGATTTTTCAAATTTCAAGAGGAAAGGGAATTCAGATGTTTCCATTAAACCTCTAGGAAATCTCGGGAGTTCTAATATATGGAAATTTTTTGGTTTTTTTTTGTGGGGTGGGGGGGGGTGCGCTCATTGATTAAAAAAATTTGCAGGATCGTGGGAGGCGTGACAACATCTCCTATATTCTGTATTATAGTTGTGTACAAAGATAGCATTATAGAGTAGCATGTTACCTAACTTTATCTCTTATATTCTGTAATGTAGCTGTGTGCAAATATGGCAAAATTGAGTGCCATGTTACCTGATTTTTTATCTCTTACATTCTGTACTGTATCCCTATGCATCATACATTGCATTCTCTTTAGGCAACTTGTAATACACGGCTGAATACTTCCTCGTTGTGCCACCTTGTTTTTGCAGGTTCATATGGCAGTCATTCTGTATAACTATTACCACCGGAAGCAGTTCCCACAGCTTGCTTTTGCTGATGCAATGAGGTTCTTCAAATGTGCATCTCTTACTCTTGGTGACAGTTTGCTCGCGTACTCCAATATGGTCCACCAACATGAGAAGAGTTCTGGAAGTCCTGGGGAGGGTGTGAATCTCTCTGTGACTGACAAAGCAGTCGTGGATGCGTGTGGAATTGCTGAAGCCCTCGACGCAAACCAAGACTCTCCAGACATGGCCATGTGGCCAATTTCAAAGGTCGCTGTGCTTCTTCTTGATTCAACTAGGAAAAGATGTCTGCTGGAGAGTGGTTCTGTCGGTAAAAATGTTCGCTCCCTTTTGGAGAAAGAGATTGACACATCTAGCACTAGTGAGCATGGCAGCAACAAGCCAGAAGGACAAGATTTAGAAAATGAAGAGACTGGACCATATGTCCTCCAAAAGTTAGCATTTTCAGAGGTGGAGCGTAGAACAGGTTGTTACTATACCATTTTGCTCTATTTTGTTTTCCATGTGTGGCTATTTTCTTAACTAAACAAATTTTGCCCTCTTTTTTTCATTATCAGTGTGCTTCATCCGTTGAGACTTTTGCACCCCCAGTATGTTAGTTTCATTCGATTTGAACTATTCAATTAGCTTCGGACCATGCCTATGTAGCTTGAAAACTTTGGTTAGTTGAAAATTACCAACCAGAAAAGCTATTGGTCCCGAAACATGAATTTATAGCATTGCTGATACATCAATAAATAACTAGGAACATTGTAGTGTTTAATTTCCCTTGTAAATGATATGGGCTGATATCAACCAATTCTCTGTTCGACTATATTATTTTATCTGCTTTATTTTTCATTTATGAATCATATAACTGAAATTAATGTATTTCATTTCTGTGATTTTCTTAATAGAGATTAAGCGGTCAAGCTTGCGTCTTCTTGATGAGCATTTAGCATACTCATTGACTAAAAAAGGGACAACTACAAAGCTGTTCATCTTACAGTACGAGCAAACTGCAAAAGGCAACTTCGCGGAAATGCCTATTGAAGAATTGATCAAGAGGTTTGCTGTTTACACACTTGCGAATTTGCTCTCTGATCAACAATGGTTTTATTTATTAAACAAAATCTGCTCACTGTGTATTACTGTATTGATGTAAATTTATATCCTTTATAGTCCATAGTTTGTTTAGAAACATTTCTATTGTATTGAATGCTGTGCTTGCTAGGTGCTAAAGCTCTTCTTTTTATTCTCGTTTGAGCTTTTGACTAAACTTCATTACATGCATGCTTGATGTTCTTTTGTTATTATTATACTAATCATGAAAATATTGGCTAATTGTACTTCCTAAGGCCGAGTTCATTTGTGTGAGTTCCCAACTCACTCCCCTCGTTTTCCACACGCACGCATTTCAAACTGCTAAATAGTGTGTTTTTTGCGCCCCCCCCCCCAAAGAAAATCTAAACGAAAGTTGCTTTAAAAAATCTATTGATCACTCACTCGCTATTCCATGCGGGGAGGTGGAGTTCCCAACTCCACCTTCCGAATACAGCCTAATTTATGTAGCTGTCTTTCAATTGCTGGTAGCTTCTACTGTTCTCAGTATAACAGTTTCTAACGTTTTCATTTTTTTTTCCTATTTCATTTCCTGTTTAACAGGATGATTGGTCCTGTAGTTGAAAAACATCCATACCCTACAACAACAGTTGTTGCTGAGAGCTATCACATACTCCCATATAAGGATATTCTGTTTGACTGCCTGCACAGGTAACATATGGTTTTGTTTCAGCTATTTATGCATGAAAGAGGTATGTTGCAGGTAATGTAAAATGAAAGGAGTATAGGAAATTACTACTTGGCCTAATTATGGTTAAAATAATGCTTCTTGTTTCAGGAAATGGCATTTTGATTCTTCGCTGAGCATGCCAAAGGAAGAAACACGTCGAAATGGAAAGTCTTCATCGCATTCTGAAATAGATGAAAATTCAAAAGAGCAAGAATATAATATAAAAGGGTCAACTCAAAAGAAAATTAAACGAGATATAAAAGTACTTGGCAGTAGTGACAAGAACTACAGCTGTACCAGTAGAAACAAAAGAAGCAGTAACGTGAACAGCAAAAGAAAATCTGAAGTCTTCAGGGCCACAGCTGCTGACGGTGCAGAGGGTCTTGACAGTGAGATACCCAGAGTTAAAAATGCACTGCCTCCTGTTGTAGATGTGTCAACTATGAAGTTCGTGAGCTGTTCAGTTAATGTAAAAGAAACAGCAGCAGCAAATGCAGGATTTGTGGATATGGAAGCAGGTGAGTTCTATCAATCTACCATAATTTGATTTCTGTTGACCCGTCATTGTTTCTCCTCCATGTTTTGATAGAATCAATTGACTTTAGGTGTTAAAATGAACAGCAACAAAAGAAGAGAGAATCACTCTCTAGACTTAAATATTTCTCATGATATGGCTATGGAGAAGGTAAGATAAATTCTTGACGATGTTGACATATCAGAATTCTGGAAAGCAGAAGGATCACATGCACCTTCTGAACAAAGACATACTGTATTGTTGATTTTTTTTTTTAGTTTGATGATTATAGTATGTAAGTTTGTATGTGTTTCATTTACCCTTCTCAAGTTGAAGAAGTAATTATTGTATCAGGCACTTGTAATAAAGAATACTGAGTTGGAATGGAGAAGTGCAGAAGTGTCAAAAAAGTCAGGTTGATGTAACCTTATCCAAGCCAGCTTATTTATCCTATTATTATTTATAATTTCCCTAATTTTTTAATGTATGCACTGCAGATTTTCATCAAGGTGGCGGTGCTAAGGACAACAAGGATCTGAAGTTTGCTTCCTTCAAGTCATATCTGAAAAAACGGGATGATCTTGTATGTTGTGTCGGATCTTTCATTCGAAACCTTATTGTTCTTGGTGCATCAAATTGTCCTTTTACTCAACCTGATATGAACTCAACTGGCTATTTTTATGTTTCAGCATCGCAAGCAACGCATGATTGAAGATGAAACTGTTCAATTTGATATGGACATCCAGTCAGTCTTTGCTGGTATTCTATCTTTCTTGAATCTAAACATGGCTAAACTTCGCAACCACGATTTGTAGTTATATGATTGTGAAAAACATCATATCTGTCCACAAGGAAACAGGCATACAGATGTGGTAAGAATAGTTGGATACTTCCCCATTCCATGTGGATCATATACCACACGGTTGGGCAGGGATTCCATCCCACACATCCAAACACAAACATGCCTATGTTATTTATTGTCTTGTAGACAACTAGTAATTGCCAAGTTCTGAGTTTTTATATTTATGTCAATGGTTATCTACTCTCATCATTTTCTCTTAAATCCTACCAGCTCCAAATTTTTCAGTATTCATTATGTTTAAACATATTCAGGAGGGGAGTGGACACCAGAAGCGATGTCACTACTAGAAAAATATGGAATTCTTGTCGATAGCTTAGATATGGTGGAAGTTAATGGTTCATCCTATTCTGGAGATGGATATGAAACCTTAACCATTGAGAGGAAGAAATTGACAGTGGAAAGACTCCTCCGCAATAAATGCCAGGTACTCACTCACTCACTCTCTATCATGTTTTCCTCCTATCCCTGCCTTTGACATTTAGTTGATGCAGGAGTTGGATGAGGTCTGCCGTGAGAATAATTGGATTCTTCCGAGATATAAAGTTATGCCATCACTAACAGATGGTATGTGGAAATATTACTTATCTCTTATATTCCCCGCCTGGTCAACAGGCCAAGTATGGGTCCTTGCACCTCATAGGCATAAGAATTAACATTGCCATGCTAATAGGTCTTTTACCACACAGAGTTTGATTGCCATTTTAACGATTTCAACCCAAAAACTGAACTTTTTCCTTGCATTTGTTACGATATTGCACATTCTGTTGATGTCGTGATCCGTATTGTAGATCAGTTATTAGCCTTGCAATCACTTGGTAATAATTTTCTAGTCTCCAGTTAGCGATGATCAGAAATGGCTGTTTGCCCAACTGTCAACCTCTCTCTCCCTCCCTATCTTTATTGTTCTTAAGCCGTTGCATTGCACATCATGTCAAGCACTTCTTTTACAAGGTTTTCCTATCTTGTCAGGCATGTACGTGGCCAATGTAGATATTGCATGCCTGGAGTTCAGCCAAATGACATTTGGCGATCCAAAGACGAACCCTCGTGATGCACGGGAGTCTGCAGCTGCCAACCTGCTGGCTGAGCTTCTTAAGAAGGCCGATGCCAACAGGGAGCACACCTGACGCAAGATTACTGAAGTAAACACCTGAAAATTGGTAGACGGCAGGTAGCTGCAAAGCTGCAACTCAGCACTGAACTTTCTGAAAGACATCACCTTCATTTAGACATTTTACCTTACATTGGTTACTCTTGTCATTCAAACTGTAGCTGTTGCTTTTTTAATAATTCTTCGGTCGCAAATTATGTGACGCTGCAGGTGCAGTGTGAATTTTGTAGTCATTTTAAACAATAGATCTTGGTGAACATGTCTGTTTCTGCCTCATGGTTTTGCTGTAGGCTTTGTCCGCAGTTATCTAGTTTTGTTATTGGTGTCATGTTTTTCGTTAAATATCCAATCTATAGTGTTATTTGGAAGTTTTGTTTGGTTATCCACCTTGAGCTATTGACCCTCCTGGTCCTGGCTCAGCTTGCTTCTTTCGGTTTTCCTGTTCCACCTTTTGGCTTTCTTTTTCCATCTTCTGTACTGATCTTTCTTTTGGTTTGGTTTTCCTGCTTCATCTTCTGTATTGATTTTGGTAGAGCTGTGTTGTTCCATCACCTGTTTGATTATGGTTCCATCCTCTGTGTTGACCCCTTCTTTTTGTGGTTTTCCTGTTCCATCTTCTCTTCTCTATTATTGACATTGGTTTCGGTAGATTTGCCTTGTTCCCATCTTTTGTAGTAGTACTTGATTTCGGTGGAGTTGCTCTGTTGCTTTGTTCCAGAAGCATGTATTGAACTATTGATTTTGGTAGAGCTGCTTTGTTCTATCTTCTGCATTGATTTTGGTAGTGTGGCGCTTAGTTGCAAACGTCTTTAGCAGTGATTGGCATTGTTTGGACTATCAACCATGAAGAATCTGGACGTTAATGTGCCAAGAGTAAACCAGACCTTAGGTTGCATTACGTGAAAAATGATCAAGGAACCAGCGCACATAAAGCATTAACGTAAACCATCTCTTGTCATCTTGTAAATCTGACACTAACTGCCACATTTCCTATGCCTTCTTCACCTTTCAGACAGTCAACAGTGCCGTGTGAAAAACGATAATACGACTGTTTTGCACCAGAGCAAGACAAACTGCAACATGTTCATCTGTAGTTCTGAGCCTGAAAAGTTACATAAGCTTGTAGCATTCCAACTATTTGAAGTTCTAAAAGTCTGATCAGTATTGTGCAGCAATTCCAAATTCCATTTCAGATATCTGAAAGTTCTGAAGTATGAAAAATACTGTGTAGCACTAACTCCGAATTTTCAGTATATGAGTGAACTGCTTATGCTTCCCCCAGGCAAGCAATAACCTGGCCAAACCACGTGAAAAATAAACAAGTCTAAGGAGGCTGGTATAAATATTGTCAGGCAAATGTGGATCATCTGGGATTAGCTGCTACGATAAATTCTGGAAAGTGCCCAACGTGTGATCCATGATTGTTGTTAATACTCCATGATTGTTGTTAATACTCAATAGGAACGATTCTACCTCAGTTGCTGCAAAATTTTGATTTCTGAGTCACTCAACGGAAGATCAACTCTTTCTCAAACTTCTTTACTCGTGTTCCCATCAAGTATACCAGTAGCATTATCATCACAAATGCAACAGCAGTACAGCACCAAGGTCAGTGACAGAATTCTGACCATTACAGCTAGCCTTCTTCTAGGTTATATTCTAATTTTGCAAATAAACAACCAATTCATGAACATAAGAAACATGGGAGCATACCAACAGTGAAATAATTATTCACGATAGCATGCTTATGTTACTTCAGTACCAGTTGATGCGCCAGCAAGCTTCTTCTTTTTCCTATGATTTGATACCTCAAAACATCAGCACTCCTATAATCCATTCACCTATATACTCCATCCTCCCAAATCCTAGATGAAACAGAAACAACCCATTCACCTTATATACTCCATCCTCCCAAATCCAAAATTAAACAAAAAAAACAAGGCGCTCTGCCACTGTGTCAAACTCTCCATCTACTACTTACTTCCTCCGTTTCACAATGTAAGTCATTTTAGCATTTCCCACATTCATATTGATGCTAATGAATCTAGCTATACATTAGCATCAATATGAATGTGGGAAATGCTAAACATGACTTACATTGTGAAACGGAGGGAGTAGTTAGCATTGAGTTGCAACAGCCAAAAGGCATTCTTCACATTACAAGTAACTAAATTAAAGACATGATTACCCTTCTAGCAAGTTGATTATAATCAGTAACAACATGCAGTCATATACTAGCAGTAAAAATCAAATGGAAATGCACAGGATGAATCTTAACTCTGGCTCCAACACCATTCATCAATTGAACTGAACCGAGGCAATTTCAAGGGATTCCACATTACATCATCCACATGTTACCACATTCAAAGTAAACAAAAGTTTAAACATCAGCACTAAAGTTTTGCCCATCAAATCATTATTCTTTCATCGAATCCATAACATAAAAAAAGCGTTGGCGCGGCACGAACGCACCCGCCGAGGGAGACGGTGGGGGAAAGGAAGTCTCACATCACCATCGCAGCGGCGGCTCGCAATTACGGGATGTCCCATGGCTTGGGCTCCGGAACGGCGACGACCATCCCCTGGAGCTCCGGTGTGAGCACGACCTGGCACCCGAGCCGCGCGTGCTTGTTGAGCTCCCGGTTCCGGGACGCGCGGGTGAGGACGTAGCGCTCCTCGTAGGAAGGAGGGGGGAGCTTGTCGAGCCACTCCTGCGCGATGTGGACCTCGCACTCGGCGGAGCAGGCGTCGATCTCCTCGAGGCGGTGGGACTCCGGCTCGATGAGGCCCGCGTTGGCGAGCGCGCGGAGGACGGTCTGGCCGGACAGGCCGACCACCTCGCGGCGCGCGCCGTCCGGGTCGATGGCGAGGAGGCGCACGATGCGGTCGGCGACCTTGGCGGAGGCAGCGGCCGGGGCGGGGGCGGCCGGCGAGAGCGCGCAGAAGGCCCGCGAGAGGGAGGGGGCGAGGTGGAGGGGGATGCGGCGCAGGGCGCGCGCCGCGATCGCCATGGCTAGGGTTCGAGGTGGGAGATCTGAGGAGGAGAGGGGGAATGGAGAGAGAGAGGGAGAGATGGTGGAGGGTGAAGGGGGAAGTGCACCTCTGTCGCTGATGAGTGGGCCCTACCTGATTGCGTACGAAACTTATGCAGGGCCCACTGTCTGTGACTGTGTGTCCAGTTGAGTTCTATCGGACGGAGAGAGTAGTTAAGTGACAACTCCCTCCGTTTCACAATGTAAGTCATTCTATCATTTTCCACATTCATATTGATGCTAATGAATCTAGTTATCATATGAATATGAGAAATGATAAAATGACTTACATTGTAAAACGGAGGGAGTATGGTTTTGGATGTTAAATCTTAGAGAATTTTTGTACGAGTAACATTTTCATAAGTTAAGATTGTACAGATTGTATTGGTTTGGTAAATATTACTGTAACTAGAGTAGTCGTTCTCTAGTGTATATATGCTTATGAGGCCGTGACATGATCCGGTGGCTACCAATGCTTCACTTCAGTGTTGGCTAGCCTTGGGCTGAGAAGCTGCCACGGTAGTCTTGGATGGTTGGACCATTTTTCTATTATGCTCCCTTCTATGTGAGATGTGGGGTGTCACGCTATTGTGATTTTTGGAACCACATCACTACTATACTTACCCATCATAGGCACCACCATTCCCATTCACGATTAGCACGCCTGTAATTCATCTATCAGTGGGCATACTATCTTTATATGTTCTATCAAGATATTCCCTATTTACGAGACACGCTAGATATTCGTTTGTTCTCCATATTCCTTTGTTGTCACGTGTAAGACCTTCCAATGTTCACAAACATGTGCAAAAGATGGACATGCTCCACTCAATTCAGTTCACGTATTCTATCAAATCACAAAATAGCATGCACAAAACTGTAAAGACATGCATGACTGTGCAAAACGGAGGCACGCTCCTCATGGCGGTGTGGAGGTACTGCAGAGAAGTATCGCCTCTCTTTCCCTTGTCATAAATGTCGTCTCTCTCATCTAGAAGGTCTTGATCGATGATACCCCCTACCTTTTCAGTTCTCAATATAAGGTTTGATACAACTTGATTTCTCTTCTCGTTCCTGTAATCCCCTTGTTCTAGACTTATAGTTAGTGTGAAATGAGATTATCGAGCTCTTGGAACCTAATGGTGAACATGAACAATGGTGACGAATCCCTGAGGCTAGACTTAGGACCTTAGCTTCATAAGTGTTCCTAAAGCTAGGTAAATATTGATTATGAGGTTGGAGTTTGGCTAATAATAGCCTCTCTCCCCATATATAGTCACAAGAAAGAGTTGTATGGTGTGGTTAGGGAGGACGGTTTGATGACAGATGGCTTGGTTCCACAACATAACAAACCAAAATACTAGCAAGTTAGGCTCAATGTTTGGATTTGGTTATTTTATGGTAGTTTGGTCAATAAACCAAACATGCTACTTCATGTAAATGTGAGAAACAAATACAAAGTACAACTTGATTAAGTGGTCTAAAAAATTGCTTCCTATGGCAACTTGACAACGATAGGAATAAGAGGGGTAATTTTAGATCAATGAGACACAAACTCTTATAAATATACACTATAAGTTGTTTCATAGAAAAATACATGTTCGAAATTTTAGGGGATTCACACTAGTTTGGGATAGTAATTTATGATCTTATGTTTTGTTGATTGGAAACTGAAAAGAAATTAAGAGAAACACAATCCCTAGAGCCTAGAGGCCACATTCCATGAACTCCCATCTAACAAACACCAACACAATCATCATAACCTCCCATTCACAACAAATTCCTCTATTAAAGTGTAACGGGCGCTTCTTCTATCACCAATAAACCAATAAGCAAAAGTGACAAAGTCTAATGAAAAGAATAAATATAAGGGAAGGGAAGTTGAAGATAGATAATGTTATGTTTGATACCCTGAGTTTCCATCCTTGCCTCTTTCGTTTTGTGCGCGCATGTCTTCCAAATGACTAAGGCTGTGTTCGCTAGTTCCGGTTGGAAACCCATGTCCCATGCACGAAAAACGGAGCGATCCATTAGCGCATGATTATTTAAGTATTAGTATTTTTTTTTCAAAAATGGATTAATTTGATTTTTTAAAGTAACTTTCGTATAGATTTTTTTTTTGCAAAAAACGTACAGTTTAGCAGTTTGAAAAACGTGCGCGCGAAAAACGAGAGAGGAGAGTTGGGAACCTAGGGAAAGAACTCAGCCTAAATGATTTTTTTTTGCAAAATTTATCTATAGGAAAGTTGCTTTCTAAAATCATATTAATATATTTTTAAAAATTATTCAACTAATACTTAATTAATCATATGCTAATATATGCTTCTTTTAGCGTGCCGGAGTGAGGGGTTCTCAACCCCTCCTTCCGAACACATCACAAGTCAATGTTTCTAACTTTAACTTTATCGTTTTCCGTGCATACTTTGTAATTTGCTAAACGGTGTTTGTGTTTTTTTAAATTCTATAATTTTTTTAAAAATCATATTTTTTTAAAAAGAAAATAGCTAATACTTAATTAAGACTACACTAATGCATGATTCGTTTTGCTCGCCAAAGAGGAGAGGTTCCCATTTCCCAACCGTCCTCCCGAAAACTCCCTTTGAGATTGCAACCAGCCAAATGACGAAAATTTGACACGCAAATTTTGACAGGTAGCGAGCCAAAAATTCAAATTCGAACTTACGTCATCATCATCCATCCACAGACCTATCGCCAGAAGTCCACGCGCTGATCCCCCCACCCCCGTCCCGACCCGAGCCGTCCGGTGCGGCGGGGCCCACACGCCACGCCACGCGGGCCCACCCGCCAGCGAGCGGAGAACCGAAAGCGACGGGGCGGATGGCTAGCCCCTACCTGACACGTGACACTGTCAGGTGGGTCCATCACCCCCCACCCCCCGCGGTCCCGGCAAAAGCAGCAGCGTGGGTAGCGTTGCGCGCGTGACCTGGCAGGTGAGGTGAAGGTGAGGTGGCCTCCCGCCGCGCGGTGACGGTGCAGAGTAGACAAAAGCCCCAAGCCCCCAAGGCGGCAAAGCAAAAATCCTCTAGAAGGAAATCATCAGCTTTGCCCCCGGGCGCCGCCGCGCGTGCTGTGTCTCATTCCCCCCCAAATCCGCCGCCTCCCCAAAATCACGCGAGGCGCCGGCGAATCCGCCTCCACCTCCGCCGCCCGCCGCCCGCCGCCCGCCGCCGACCTCTCCTTCTCCTGCTTCCGCTTCCGCCGACGCTGGTAAGCAAAGCTCGCGCGCTCCTCTCTCTCTCTCTCTCTCTCTCTCTCTCTCTCTCTCTCCGTGCTCGCTCGTTTTTCGATTTCGGCGCCGCCACGCGCGGCGAGGTCGGGGCGTCCGCGTCGCGCGCGTGTTTGTTCGCTGGGGCGGTCGGCGTGAGCTGGCTGGTGGCGTTTCGGTATGTTTCGAGTGGTTTCTCCTGTTGGTTGCGGCGTTCCGGCGGCGGGGGGTAGGGTAGGGTAGGGTAGGAGTAGGAGTAGGATTGATCTGCTAATCGCCGCCGCCGCCGGGGGTTCGCCGTCTGGGTTAGATCTGGTTTCCCTCGGTTTTCGTTCGGATCCGTTGGGGGAATTTCGAAATCGTGGATTCCCTCCATGTTCGACGAGGGGGTGGCATATGGGCCCAGGCTTGTTTGTGCGCTAGCGGACGCGATGAGCAGATACCGGTGGACAAATGGCGGATGCCATTTTCGTTCGCATGTGTACTAGCGAGTAGTAGTAGTGACTAGTGCTTTCCCTTTATTTTAGTTTGAGTTATGCGGTGAGCTCAGCTTCCTCTGATTGTCATGTTTCGATAGGCCTGCCTCGCTTCGTTTATGATATATACATATATATGGCGTGTTCACTTCCTTCTTGTCTATGGCTGACGAGGGACTAATGTTGTTGTTGTCTTTGATGTGCTTCCACAGTCAATCTGATGGGGTTGGAGGAAAGCCAAAAGCATCTCCTTGGCCTTAATTACCATGAGCTCCAATCTTTGTGCAAACAGTATAATCTTCCTGCAAACAAGAGTCACTCTCAGCTAGCAAGCTCGCTTGCCTTGTTTCTTGAGGTAAGCTATATTGTCTGTTTTAAGTTTGGTATCTGCATCTAATTTGGTCGGAAGAGTGTATCATTACATTTCTCTTCAGAGGATAAATTAATAATCTGTACCATCTTTGTTTCTCAGAAGGGAAGAATAAATCCATCGCCTGAAAAGAAAGCAGCAGCATCCCTTGTTGCCTTGCCCTCCTTGTTATCAAATGCCAAAGAAGTATCCACCCGTATGTATAGGAACTTTCTGATATTGGCATAGTTTCTAAGATTGCCAATTTTTACTCAATGGTTTATGGCTCTCACAGAGACGTGACATGAATATATGGTGTGTGTATCTAATGAAACCGAAACAACTGCAGGTTGCCAAGGTAGCCATAAAAGAGGTCCGCAAAGTGAAAGAGATGATGGTGATAGACCTCTTCTGCATGTAAAACATCACAAAGGACCTCAAACACCAACAGATGAAACATTGAAAAAAAATGTAAGAATCTGTGATTTTTCCCTAGTATTTCTCTAATTCCAGGCTGCTGGATATAAGCTCTTTAGTTTTTAATAATATAAGGAATTCCTTCAGTATAGACCAGCTGGCGATGGTATTCTTAATTTGTATAAATTGCCACATTCATGACATGTTGTATTTCACCTGATCAAATGGTGCCACTCAAAATCCTCTCTTTTACGCTCTCCATGACAAATATACTGCTGTAGTCGGGTTGCTTGGTTAGAAATCCTACAGGGGTCAGTTTTCCATTCTAGTATTTATATAAAAAAATTACTCTAGTTTATTTTCCTCTGGCATTCACGGCAGCATTCCTCATATGCATGGAGCCCTTGGTGCTTTTAGGTCTGTATATAATGCAAATGCATTTCCTAATTCTATTGATGTATCTTGAAGCAGGACTCTGGAACCAGAGTGAGTTCTACACCAGTTTCAATCAACAATGGAAAAGTAGACTGCTTTAGCCACTCACCTCCTCGTCAAGTGATTGCTTCTAATGTACATTCACAAAGTGCTGATGGTATTGGAAAGAACTTGGGAACTCAAGAGCATCCAATTCATCTTGATTCAACTGCTAAGGTAGATGATGAAATTTCTCCGGAAACAAGCTACCAGGCACCTAATGTTGTTGAAACAGTTACAGATATTGGTAGTGGCTCATCTCATAAGATCTCAGAAAATGCAAAGTCTTCGTTTGAATTTTTTGTCATGTCAGATGAGGGACTTGATCTTGTTGTTGATCTGAATTCCACTCCATCAATGTTACTTGATAGCTTGAAGAAGGAAGTGTTCATCCCCTCAAGTACCTGTCGTTCTGAACCTGGAAATTTCTCTCATTTTATCAGTAGCCTGACGACAAAAGATGACAGCAACAACTCCATTTCTTCATCTGGGAATATTACTGTGGACATACAAAATAAGGGAGATGACAGCATTGCTCCTTGCACCAATTCATCACTAGGCTCAACCGGTGGTGACAATTCTCACTCAGAGCCCTATCTGCCTGATGCAACTGCTGTAAACTCTATGTCATTTGCATCCACATTACCTGGTACTTCACTAGAAATTTCTGGATCACAGGAGGGAGTTCCAGTCGTATCTTCTTCATGCTTAACCTCTATGACTGCTAATGCTTTGAATAATGAAGTGCTTCCTCAAGAATCTGTTGTGCTCTCAAAGTGTCCGGAAAGAAACCATGCTCCCCTTGCTTATGATTCCACACATCCAACTGGTAACAAAGACACAGTCAATCCTGTCAAAATCGGTTGCACTCAAAATGTTGTTGCTGATACTGATAGAGCTGGAGCATTCTCCTCAGGGGGTGTGGTTAGAAGTGCCTCCAATGAAAACTTCTGCCCAACTTCTGAAGAAAAACATGAAACGTTAAATGTTCCTGGAGCGCAGCTTACCCCCAACGGTAATACCCATGAAGTTATATTGGAAAATGAACCAGTGGAAGCAGTGCCAGTGGATGAAGATAGAGGTTGTCATGACAGGCTGTCAATGTCTTGTCAACTAGCCAGACAAACAGTAACTAAACTGCCAGTTACAGATGCCCAGTCAGAAGCTAGTTCTGCAGATCATTGTATTGCCGGAAGCTTCAAACCCACAAGCCCAACGCCATCACCTGCTGCTTCGGTAATTTCGCGCGCTTCATACTAGTTAAAAATTAGATTTGTGCTCTTATACTGATCATGCAAGCACTTGTGATGTATTGATGGTTCTAAAATTTTACAAATGTGTCTCTTTACTAGTCATGCTGTTGCTTTTATGGTCTTCTGAGAAGCTACCTATGCTATGATTTTATTCAGCCTCAGTGATACTAGTAGAAAATGATTTCTTCTGGAGATAAAATTAGCATCTGAATAGGTGAAGTAGATTAGGTATGCAGCAGCAGATGATGCAATAAATACTGCTATTGTATCCCATTTACTCTGGATGTTTCTTCTCAGCGTTCTACCTAGCAATGTATGAATTGTCTTTAAGTAGTTTTTGTTGTTCAAAGTTCAAACTTGAAACTTCGTGCCAACAAGGTCATGCATGTAATTCCCTCGCTGCTGCTGCTGCTTCAGTTCTTGATCCATCCCTATGTCTCCTTCAGATCCTTGCTACTGACATCCAGCAAGTGGTTGCGACGACCAACTTTACAGAATTTTTATGAAATCACTTTTTACCTTTTAATGTTGAATGTTAACATTTGAGCTGCGAATTTGGTTGTACTTGACATTCATGGTTGTACTTAGTATGTATTTATAGTTCGAACTCAGTCCCATAGCAGTTATAAGCTGTTTGATGGTACCGGCTTAATTTGGTTGGAATTAAATGGCGGCTTTTAATTTGGAGCCTTGCAGACCTGGACTTGCTAAGCAACCTCACGGCTCAAGGACCTCTCTTGAAGAATATGGTACAACAAATGTTGGTTCAAAAGAAAAAAAAAGAACTCAACTGACTGGGAAAAGACCGCCCCACGGCTTTTCATTAAGAAGAAGCCTCAACCAAACTGGCCGAGAAAGGCCACGAATCCTGGCCCCCCACACGTGGACTCGCCCCCTATGGATCGCTCCTTAACCCATGCTTTGAGGCCTTTGCTTCCTACACGAGGGCCCGTCCTTCATAGGTTGATTCTTAACACGTGTTTCTATGAGGTGCCAACGAGTGATGTTTTTTAACCAGGCTTGAAATTCACTCTTGTGGGGAGTCGAACCTAGGACCTATAGGTGCTACTTGAGCACGGTAACCGCTAGGCTATAGGCCCGCAAAGAAAAAGTTAAGAAAACCATAACTAATGACCTCTTAATGCATGGCCTCTTTGATCCTTTCTTGTTTTGGCATGGACTCGTTTCTTTGTTTATATGTTCTATTTTCCTTATATGGCACAAATGATACTGTATCCAAAGCAAACACACCTTTGAAATCTTGTGTCCTGTAGTTGAGATAAATCATCGAAGGTCCATACATAACACATTTGGCCGCATCATTTTTCTAGTAGCCCGCATTCATGTTCTAGTTGAAAGGCTATATCAATTTTTCTAGTATGCACACTGATACTTGAAACTTGAAGATGGTTCTCTCAATTCGTTACACCGTAGTATAGGTAAATCATGGAGCGTTATACAATATGCTCAACAATTATCTTGTCAAATTTGCTATCAACTCATCATAGTGGCGTGGATGCAAAACCACCATTGCTTACACTTATTACAGTTGTGGGCCTTCTGGTCCAATTCGTTCATGGTATATTCATCTTGCGGACAACTAACATGGAACAAGTTGGCATGGTTTGCTCATCGACCCACTTAGAGCTCGAAAATGCATAATGTATTTTCTTCCACATCGTGTGTAATATTCTTGATAATTCTAGTTAGGACCATCATGTTTGAGCAGAAACGAATCTTTACATATTGCACATTGGAAAGAACACAACCATAACTTCAACATGTATGTTATGTTTGCTTGAATGATTGAATTACTTATTTTAAATAAGACCAAGAGGCTGATAATTAATTACATCATGAACTTTTTATAGGTGCCTGATTATAAGGCCGCGTCGATCAACTTTTACTACACTGCTGGATTGTTGTACTGTGCTTGTTTTTAATTTGCTGTGGAAATTAAAGCATATAATTGTTATTGTTTGTTTTACTAATCAAATTAAGGTTATAAAAAGTATGTTATTCAATGGCCATGTCTCTCCCAAATGCCAAAATGTCTATAACCTGTTGCATTAAACAAGACGATCCGCTGCACTTACGGATGGAGCCTAGTTTGTTTCACTGGCAAATATATATATTGTCCCTACCGAGGCATCATGATTCCATATTTGTATTTCTTCAAAATGGTAGGATTAATAGTTTTTGCTGATATTAAGGAGGAATGGTCTGAACTCAAAAATATATTCATCAGTCAGAGGCATAATTTACTTTTGATAATCATTTTATTTACTGAGATGTATGAGAATTGCAAAACCTATTGCACCCAAATGCAGGATACTCGGTTTTTATGCTGTCACCGTTTTGTTTTTCCTTTATCCATTTTTACTGTTGTTTTTTGGTCTGTTAGTACCTCTTGTAATGCAACTTGTTCAACATTTGTGTAGTGTTTTTGGGTTAGCATAAGTAGATAGACATTTGCTTTTAATTTCCTTGTGCTCGTAATTTTGCTGTGTACTAGTAATGTACATTGATTGGAATTGGGTGTCGTTTCCTCATTTCTCAGCTTAGCGGGGTAATGATTGCCTGTTTGTGTGTACATGGTGGATTTGAATATATCCCTTTTTAATTTTAGTATTTTTAAGGCCAGTTTCTACACGTGGCACTATTTTGTGGAATCTAATTAGTTCGAATATCTAATTGTTTCAATATTTTTTCGTTATCATAAGCACCTTGATCAACCATGATATGGGTGGGGTGCATCCTTTTGATTCATCATACTGTAGGCAAGTTGTTCCATCTGAACCTTCACGCCCCCCCTGATAGGCATTGGTAGTGCGCAAGGTCATCGCATGGAGAGCTAGAGAGTTGTTTCGAATTCTGTAGATAGTCTTCTGATCTTCTCTATCACGCTGTGCATATAGGCATCTAGCTGTGATGGTGCGAAGGAATTTTCTTTTGCTTCCTTACCAATATCTAGTTCCAAAAAGTGAAAACTTCGAAAATGGGTGTAGTTGGACGGTTGTCCTATCTTACAAGAAACAAAATCCCTTTTTTTAATTATGGAAGATTGAGTTAGCATTGAATCCTGAAGAGTTTAAAATATTGACTTTGTAATCATAAAATGTCTATATGGCCAAGCAAACACTTTTTTGAAGTTTTGTGTCCTTGTGGTTAAGCTAAATCATCTAAGGTTCACATGTGATACATTATTTGCATCACTTTCCTAGTTATAGTTTGACGTCAGCTTCTTTTGTAGTCATCCATGCAAGGTCTTTTTCAACTAGTCTAGTGTGAGCTCTCACTGTACTAGTAAGTGCATGGCTGACTTGTTTTACTGATCTTTACTTTGTAGTAAAGGGGAAGAAAGAAGGAAAGCTGGTAAATATATTATTCTGGTCTAACTGTGGTCAAGTCTACATGTCCAAATCTTAGATCTGCAGCTGCAAACCTGCATATTTGGTAATTGATATTCGGATAACTTCCTAGGTTGGCATTTTCGGTATTCACTACCAGTGCCTACTTTGGCTTGGAAAAAGTCCAGCAATTTATCGTTTTCATTTAAAAATCCAAACACATATTAAGTGACTTTTATAAAATCTAGTGTTTTGTTCTTTTGACAGAGAATCCAATGTTTTCCTTCTTTATATAGTGAATTGCTCACTACATTTTCCCTGTACTGTTTTGTATTTGAATTTCTTCTACTAATGATGCTTTTCTTCAAACTTTCTTTATTTGGTAGTTAATAACAGAACATTCCATTTATGTGACTCCCATACTGTTGTTCTGAGTATGATGAAAACATCCATACTTTTTTTTTCCTATTCTGATAACATGCTGATCTTTTGTTTTTTGTTTTTCCCAGATCAAATTATTGACCTTTAACTTTCTTGTGCAGGGCAATGCTTTTAGCTCCAAGCATGATGCAGAGTATGTTTTTTTCTAAACATTGTATTTATCTTCTTTTTTGTGGTAAATTCTACATTCTTACATATTTCATTTTGGCAGGTCAGCACAGAGTTCTGATGAGCTTGAGGAGTTAGAGAGCAAGACACCATCAAGTTTTGAACCTCCCAGAAACATACTACTTAGCTTAAGAAGTGCTTCTGCTAAACAGACCAAACCAACATTACCTAGAAGGTCAGCAAGGCTTGTTCCAAAGGTTAGTAGACATTGCCGTTGATTTTAATTCAGTGTCATAGTGTGACACTAATCAAACTTGTGACTTCAGTATTACTAGATTATAAGAAAAACAGCTAGCCAAACATCAAGACTTCAAAATTCAGTTGCAAGAAATTATATTAAGAACATTTTGTAGAGAGCCTTGCATGTCTTAGGTGGTTACTAGTAGTTGGGCCTCACATTTTAATAAAATATTTTTGAGTGTTAATGACATGCTAAAAATGAATATTACGGAGACATGATTGTAATCATGTAGTCCATGTAATTGCATTTAAGGTGGCAAAACGAAAGGCAATCAATATGCTTTAAATTCTTAATCTGTATGGTAAATTGGACTTATCTTTTCGTTATTAAACACTTAAATGGATCTTCTAAGAAATACTCTTTTCATGAGCAAATAGAACCAGCTATTCTGCCCACCTGGCTAGCTAGCTTTGCTGTCACGTGTTGGATGGAAATTTCCAGTCTTGACATTTGGGGGGCTTGATTTTTCTCTACCTCACACAGCTATTTGAGACTGTTGGGTTGGAACACAGCTGTTTATGCCAAAATTTAAGTCCAACCTGGGTTCAGTTGCCTGGCTTATAGCAGGCTAATACCAGAAATGATATACATATACTAGCATGGACTAGATTGGAAGGTGTTAGGTCTGTTTTTCCCCTGGTTGAACTACTGGTCTGGTCCAAATCAAGACTATGATTTTGATTGATGTTAGTTACATAAATTTTCTCATTTGTAAATCAGACTGCATCATCTGTAATTTACTAATATATTTACATTGTTGACATGCAGTAATCGCTTTAAATGCAAGGAGAGATACATGGCAAAGAATCAATAGCTTAACTGCCATCTTAGTCAGGTTCTAAGAGGAGGCTGAAGGATAGAAATACCATTGTTAGCAAGCTAGTTTCCAAACTTGTCTTGTTCTGGTTCGTTGATTCTTTATTGGTAGCAGCTGAGTAGCTTAGTTCTATACACCAGTACACAGTCACCGAGCACCAAACGTTTTCTTCTTTTTCTTCTTCTGTTGTAGTACATCTGTTATACCTGGATGCAATGCTGAGCCCTTTACACCGTGTACAAACAATTCATAGTTTTCGGATAGCTCTGAACCTGCTGACTTATTTATCCTATACTTCTGAATACTGTCATATGCTTTCATGTCGTTTCTGTTGTTTGTTTTTACCTCAATCAGCGAGTGCTGTGCTTCAGCATGGCATCTGAAGATATTGTAATGCGGGCAGCAGGGCAATTGATGCCGTCTTCCTAAAAGATCTGGTTGGCTAGTTCTGAAATGTCCGCTCAGCTGTGATAAAATGCTCTTTATGCAGGAGTCTACTTCTAATGTTTATCCCAGATTGTGTGCCATCTGTGTTATGCAGGCAGTCTGGTTGGTGGAACCTGCAATCAAATGATTCTTTCCCTCGAGGTTTTTGCCAGTTTCTCGTGCGGTCGTGCCTCGTAAGCTTGGTGAAAGCCTTCTGTAAATTTGGATCTGATCGTTTGTTTGAGCTAGTTGGTTGGCTTCTTAAACCGTCTTTTCCCCTCTGTTCTTATGCTACGATAATTTGGTTTTAATAGATGGCCAAATTTCAGCTAAAAGTGTTTTTTTAAAAATATTATTTGCTACAACATTTTGGTCTTAATAATGGCCAGCATTCAGCATAAAATGTGTGAGGTCCCCCAAAAAATTTGCCCCCACGCAGGATCGAACTACGGACCTTCAGTTTACAAGACTGACGCTCTACCACTGAGCTATAGGGGCCTATATATGCTTCGCGTGAAAATATTACAAATGTTCATCATTCCAAACTTCACGACCTTTTTTTTGAAGACTATTCACACAACATGATGTTACTCCCATGTCTGTTTTTTTCTTCTAAGAACTACTCCTATATCTGTTCCCTTCCAAATTTACTATAAACTCGTGAGATCACAAACAAACAGACAATCCCAATCCCGAAGCTTTGGGTTCCTTTTTTTTTTTTTGAAAAATCAAATCCAACAATGCTCCTAATTAGAAAACCAAAAATTGGAATAGCTACCGGAGATCTCACCCTCCACGAGTATAGCACGACGCAGAGTGAAAAGCAATCATTTCTATTGGTAGTTTTATAGGATGTCCACATGTTTATTTTAAGAACTTAAAATTTAATCCCTCCGTTTCATAATGTAAGACTTTCAAACATTACCCACATTCATTAACATATATATAAGAATCTGAGCAATACTATTACATTATGAAATGGAGGGAGTAAGAACTTAAAATTTACTCCTTCTGTTTCATAATGTAAGACTTTTTAGTATTGTCCACATTCATTAACATATACTCCCTCCATTTCGAAATGTTTGACACCGTTGACTTTTTTAAACATGTTTGACCTTTTGTCTTATTCAAAAAATTTAAGTAATTATTAATTATTTTCCTATCATTTGATTTATTATTAAATATATTTTTATGTAGGCATATAATTTTACATATTTCACAAAAGTTTTTGAATAAGACGAACGGTCAAACATGCGCTAAAAAATCAACGGTGTCAAACATTTCGAAACGGAGGGAGTATATAAAAATATAAGTAATGCTAGAAAATCCTACATTATGAAATGGAGGGGGTAAGATACAAGAAAGATACTGCCTACATAAAAATATATTTAATAATGAATCAAATGATAGGAAAATAATTAATAATTACTTAAATTTTTTGAATAAGACGAACGGTCAAACATGTTTAAAAAAGTCAACGGTGTCAAACATTTCGAAACGGATGGAGTATATAAAAATATAAGTAATGCTAGAAAATCCTACATTATGAAATGGAGGGGGTAGGATACAAGAAAGGTACTTGTACTACTACATCCTAATTACTTTACTGTTTACATACTCCCAAGAAGAAAATTAGGGGATCCAATTTTTGGGTGGCTCTGAATTCCGATGATGCTGTAAAACATCTTCGCGAAATTTCCGAACGCATCCTCTCCTTTTACGTAAAATCACATTTCAACCCCTCCCGAGTCCCGAATCCGGGAAAGGCAAAAAAATTC